CTAGCCTTGCTCGCTTGATCAGTATGTTGTCGATTGCTCGCTTGATCAGTATTGGGCTGTTCTCGTAGCGACGAATTTTCATTCGGCGCTTTTGCAGAAACTCCTCTCTCGCCTCCATGGCCAGTCGATTCTCCGTTCTGATCTGCTCTTCCAGTTTGGATTCGTGCTTGTTGAAGCTATCCCCTAGTTCCTGCAGCATACAAAAGGCTCCAGCTTCAATTGCCCACGAGCGGATGTCGCCAAGTGTGGAAACCAAAAAGTCCCGAGAGACATTAACCTCATTTGCATGCCACTTGGTCCAGGCGGTCAGCATCAGTCCGCCTGCTAGCCACGGGACATACTTCAATAGCTGACAGTGACGGTAGACGTCCATGTACTTTACTGAAGAGGCTGGCGTCAGACTGAAGCGGAAAAGAGTTTTGTCGTTGTTATCCCAGATTTCGTCGTAAGGGTCCAGCCAGGTAGTGGTCACGTGACGGTATCCGCATTCCTCGTAGTCCGCGTAAAAGCTGTGATTTTTCTCCCGCAGTACTAAAATTGGTAACGGGTCGGTCATCTGGTACAGAGCTCCCCAACTGCCGCTCACCACCTGAGAAACCAAACTCTCCGCAGAAAATTGCACGTGGCTACCATACTGGTACGGCTTGTAGCACGGTTGGCCGCGCGGATTGTCTGCGCAGGTAAATCCCATGACCTTCTGAGTTGCCAAACCCAGCAGGATTTCCCCTCCGATTTTCGTTTCTTGATTGCAGAATACCTGAAAAAAACGGATTTCTTAGAGATTTTCGTTTTGTCAAAATATAATTTATAAGAATCATACTACAGCTGGTCCAGTGTTTTAGGCGTTGATATGTTCACTTTTCAATTTCCAAAACTTCACCTAGGTCGTATGCGTTTTTACCAGGAAATCCACGGGGAGATGACAATATCAAACGCCCGCAGGCCCCTGCCGGAATCGGGTCGCATCATCAACTCTAACGCGACACATCTACTCTCGTCGTCATTTTCGAGCCAGTGGTAGTCGTTGGGGCGCTTCGACTTTTTGGCGTCAGCCGTGTAATCGCGATAGTCTTTTTCGAACGCCACTGCGTGTCCTGCGTCTCTCAATTGGCGGACGCGGCTCCTACTAGCTTCTCCACCAAGCCGATAGACATCCAGCTCTTTTTCCAGTGTGGTCGCGGTGAGGCGGTGTGTGGGATGCTTTTTGGCGTAAGCAGCGGCAAGGCTAAAGTTCCCTTCTCCGAAGAGGATTACCTCCTTGTCAAAACGGGAAGTCATTTTTTGAATGTCTCACTCTCAAGTGAAAGAAACACTACGTATTCATATGAACAGTCACGGTTTCATTCGATTTGAAACTTTCAAATACTTAAAATAATCAACAAAAAAAGCAACAAGAAAGAGAAGAGTGTACACAACGACGTGTATTTCAGGACAAAGGTCAATGGTTATGGTAAAGGAAAAGGTAAGCGTAAGATCAAACCGGGATGATCGCCCCTTTAGAACGCAACGAGCGCTCGTAGTAGGTTTTTTATGACATGAAGAATAGCCAGGTGGGGTTTAAACGATCGCTGCGGAAACTCCGTCTTCATCTTTTGCTCGGGAACATTTCTGTAACAAGTATGTTGTAGCCGTTGCACATCACTGTCAGAGTAAGTATTATGAATTATTTCCTTTTTCGCATGGATGAAGCCATTCTAGTTCTGTTCCACAAATTTGGCCAGAGTCTGCTAGATTGCACCTCGGCCCCCTCATCTTGACCCCTTGTAGCTTCTATTTCATGAGAATACAAGGGTACCGAGAAAGAGGGATGCCGAGATTCCGAGAAAGATGGATAAAAGCTGACCTTAATCTTGAGTAGAGTACAAAGGTCTAAAAAACTTTTTTTGTTTTACCTTACACTTTTTCTGGTAGCATGCATCGTCTCAATTCAAAGAGTGTAAAAGGGGTACGAGGACTGTCATTGAAAGATGTTAATGCGTTGGCGCCTTGTTGGTGTTACTGCTTCATTCTCGTTCCATGTTGTTCTTCGTTTTCTTGAGACCCCTACATGGCTAAGCAGTGCTTCTTCAAATCCAAATACAAGACGCTGAGTCCTTCAGAAATCAATTTTCATTCATCGCCAGCGACAGTTCCAACTGGTATGCACTATGACTCAATCTTGTGTGACTATACTCCCTTTGTTTCCCTATTGCTCTGGTGGTAGCTACTTTATGATATATTCACAACTATTGGGTAGTACTTAACCACTTATCGTATTATCACATTACAACCCCTTCTAACTTAGACTCGTCGACTTCGTTCACATGAGAAGTTCAAAAAAAACAACTATGCAGCGCGCAGAAGATTGATCAAGTTGAAAATATCTATACTCTACTTCGATCCATTCCCTCAAAGATATGCCCCGCAATGCATTCTGTACAAAGGGTCTATGATTATGCAGGTGTGCTGATCTTGCGGGACCGTGCTCATTCGATGTTGCCTACTTCCGAGATGATTATTAACGTCAAAACCACCCGTTGTTCGTTTTTCAAATTCTGAATACGAGAGCATCAATAATTTCAAAGTAAGATTTATCCTACTTGTGTGAATCAGGTGTTGCATCACTATCGTTCACATCTGTTATCATGCTTAAACTTGTACTAACTTGACAGACTACCTATTTGTCCCCCCATCGAAACTCAACATGCAACAACTTCTATCTGAAATTAATAATACTCTCAAAAAGCTGTAAAAAGTAAGAAGCAAAGTACACTGCCGTGAATTCGCATTAGTTACAAGAAGTGTCTAAGTTTCAACAATCTTACAGTTTCAGCCCTGGCTCATAAATTCTTTCGTAGATATGAATCAAGTAAATCTAATTTCTGATCGTGTCACATGGTGTAACTATGTAAAAGAGTACCTCGCTTTATGGTTATGCGCTTATTTTTCCAATTTTTCTGTTGCTCTATCTTTTACTGGTATTCGCACTATGCAGTCCAGTTCCACCTCTTTGTTCCAGCTGCAAGGCGTTCAAATCAAAAGAAGTACCGTCTGCCATGCAGCGAAGCTTCTTCGCGCACAGCTCTAGCTTGTTCCGCTTTACATCCTCCACACTCTCGCCTCCTGGCAAGCCCTCATCCTCCCCCTGGTCGCCGCCGCGTGCTTCGTTTAGAGGCGTTCGTGTAATTCCAAGTAGTACTTTGACTTTGAGTTTTGGTACAAAATCTAAGTCTAGTCAGCGACAGCGGCTCTACCAACACCATCTACAAGATCTCAGTAGTAGAAGAAGAAAACATCTACAACTAAGTAGAACGAACATAACTTTTTCTTCCTTCCAGCTTTCCCTCCCTTCCTTCTCAGCAGCTGCTCGACAGCCCGCAAGACAACCTGCAACGCTCTTGGAGCGTTAGGTAACGTATTATCCAATAGTTTTTTCTCGACTATCTTGTCGTAGAGAACTAAAATGCTTTTGTCATCGATTAGTTTCCGGAGTGCATGGACTATGTGCAGCAACTGCTGGCGCCCCTTTGCGATTTCCCCGGATGATGTTTTCGAGCAAGGAGAAGAGCAGGAGTGGGACTGATTCTTGTCTAGACCAGGACCACCTCCACCAGGAATATCTTCGATTATCATTTCACGGCCTGGTTTCTGTCTCTCCGCTATGGAGGATTTAATTTTCTGGCGTTTCTGATCCTTTTTTACTGCGTCACGGTCATCCTCCGCAAGCTTTCCGTCAGCACCAACGATCTCTAATGTGTTCGCTCGCTGCAGAAGGTTTGCCACTAGATTTTGCCGCTTGTCTGCGCGCACGTGCTGCAAGAGCAAATCCGACAAAAATTCAACTTTTTCCAGAGAAGCCTCCGCACACGGCAAACGGACCAGTACCTTCAGACAGATAAATTATTGATATAAACCACATGCGCGTACTTAAGTGATATGGAGGAAAAAAGTGCAGACATTTCGTACAAAATTAATTTAGAAACTGACTCTTTCTCTTGCAGAGTAGCTTAGCAAAAAAATACCTCCGGAAACGCCGCGTAGATTTTCCTCGATTTATCCCCTAGGTGGCACATGTCTCGCAAAAGCTGCTTCGCATCGGGTGAAAAAACGTCTAAAATTTTCGCCAAAACATGCGGCCGTGGTTTTACAAAGTCCTTGAATAAGAGGTGGCGAAGCAGGTTCAAAAGACCATCTAGCACATCACGAAGATGCTCTTGACCTCCATCGCCTTTAACCACCTTATCCTCTCGACTAGTAGGGATGTTGCTATCATCACCTCCTGCTTCATCTAGCGATTCCTGTTCATCCTTTTCCGGTACAACTTTTGGTGTATCCTCTGTATCAAGATCAACATCGTCGCCTACTTGCAAAAGCGATCCTGATTTCTCCCCATCCATCGCGTTTTTCATCTCAGCTTTCTTCTTATTTGCTCTTGATGTCGCTTTTTTGTGCTGGTCATCAACAGCTTCGGCACTTTGTTCGAGCAGGAGCGCAAGCTTCTGCTGTACCACGCCCATCACGTGTAAAAACACGTCGCACACCGGACCTGTGATGTGGCCGTATCGTAAGGACAAATCAGCCATTCCAGCACAAGCGATCTCCCCCAAAGCCAGATCTCCATTGACACGACTTACTCGAGCCGTCGCATTCAATTTCGGAGGCTGCCACTTGGAAATCAGACCCGCTGTAGGCGAAGCAGCGGCTGGAAGAGGTACGTCCTCGAGCTTCTGGTCAGACAATGGCACTGCCTGCAAATGTGGCGCCTCGAATTGCCCTGGCTCCTGAGCATTGGCAGTATTTCCTGCGTGACCAGGCCCATCTGATGAAAATGCCTTTGTTCCATCATCAGGATTTTCCTCCTTCCAGACCTCGTTTTCCGTGGGCAAATCGCCTGTCGTGCGCTTGCGCTTCTTCGAAGAACCAGGCAGCACATGCAGGCCCCCCTCAAAATTCAAAAGGCGGGTCGATTCATCGGTATAGAGACTCGGCAGGTCTCCAGCAACATGAGCCAGGATCGTGAACAGCTTTGCCTGTGCCACTTCCTCGGACACGAGAAAGAACTTGAAAAGTGCCAACAAAGCCGCCCTATGCATCTGCGATGCTTGTGGACAAATGGCTGGACTTCGTATCAAACTGCTAGCTGTGCTAGTAGTTTCCGCAGTGCTGCTACTGAATGTCGTCGAGTCGCCTGCACTCCTACTACTACTACTTGACGAGAATGGGCCTCCGACTTCAACCGCAGCCACGGCGCTGCTACTCCTACTACTACTACTACTACTACTTGGTGCGCCACCACTAGTGGACATGAAGCATTTTTCGATGAAGGGAAGTAAGAGTGCTAAAAGATTTTGTGACTTCTTAGTGTAATTCAAAAGCGCACGCTCTGTAACATAGCGAAAATGATTCGCCAGACTAACATCTTTTGGAAGTGTCAACTTTAGAAACTTGTTACTGCTATCCTTCTTCTGGTGCGCTAGTCCCTGTACTGCTAGACTTGTACTAAAACTGCTTGAGGTAGAAGATGAAGTAGCAGATGTTGCTTTTGTTCCACTTTGGCCCGCTAATTGGTCACCGGTGACGTCGTAAGTACTATTTTCATGATCTTGCCACGACACGCCTTCAGCGAATGCCGCATTGTCGAGTATTTCTTCGCGAAAGATGTCTACCAGCATGCGCACACGCACAGCCAAATGCCCAACCACATGACAGAGTTTCGCGGCAACGGCAACGGGATTAGCACTCTGTCCTATCTTGTTGCGCTGAAGCACGTCCTGAACCCACGTTTGCCACAGTGCCTCTGCAGGATATAGATCAGGCGTAAACGTGGACTCCTCTTCGTGTTCGTCCTCAACGAACCGCATGAATGATGATTTGTGGTTCATAGAAGAGGACAACGTGCTCGCTTTGGAGTTGTAGGTGCTAGAAGAAGAAGAACTTGAGATTGTGTTGTCGACCAAAACAGCACCGTAAGGCCGACCACGCCTCTCCGCAGGTTGCAAACGTACGGTGTCCGTTGGCCACTCCTTCTTCTCAACTACGACAGTGAATTTTTGTGTCCCCGTTGAGAGATCGATTTCAGTCCGCGTGTCTGAGGAGAAAAACCGAATAATATCTTCTATCCCTTCTTTTTTGTGCTTTTCTGCCTCCTGTAGCACTTGTTTATCTTGGATCGCATTACAACTAGCAGCAGTTGTGCTATCTTCTAATGTCTTCTTGGACGCTTTTGCATCCTTCTTACTAGGGTTCTTCGTAGTGTTCGCAGGTTTCTTGACTCCTGCCTTATCTTTGGATTTTTTTTGCAGAAGTTTATTGACTTTCGCCCTCCCACCTTTTCCTTTTACAACACGTTCTTTCTCAACATTATCAGCAAGACCTGGCGTGATTGTCTTCGACGACGCCGCTGCTCTCGCTGCGTTTTGTCGGCGCTTCTGGAGTGCTCTCGCAGCGAGAATTCGCAACACTTTGACAGGCAATCTGCGAGACACCTCAAATTTTGTACGCCTGACAGTCAATGCTCCTCCGAGAGCCGCGAAAGAGCGGTGTTTCTTGCGAGGCGTGGAACATCCGCCGCCCCCTGCTGCTGCGTCGTCTGCTTCAAACGAAAAACAAGTCGAGTTACCTTTCGCAAGAGTTACGTTGTCCTTTCCCACTCCCTCCAAACGTCTGTTCGCCTCTACAATGGCCACAAGAGCCAACGCAGGAAAAGCACTAGCAAAGTCGAAGCTGAGATCGACTAGTTTCTGCGAACAACGAAAAAAATTCGCACCGCTGGCGGCATCGACAGAGTGTGATGTCTTAGTTCTAGTAGTCGAGGAAAGAGAATTCTTGTGCGCTCCGAAGTGGTCTGTGCTCAACATCTTGTGATTATTTTTCCCATTCAACAATTTACCAACGCTGAGAGTATTTTTCCCACGAAAAGCGGCAACTGTGGAAGCCTGTTCCTGCGTAGTCAGGAGCTGCTCGAAAGCTGGCATCAGGTAGTCCTCCAACAGCGCCCAGAGACGCGTGATTCGTCGATTTCCTTCTAGAGTTTGCTTCAGAAGCAAATCGAGTGCAGCATGTCGCTCGGCCACTAAGCGCGATGCTGCTTGCGCAGCGGCTTCCGCACCAGACGCAAAATCTGGCGTAGCCGAACCTAACACGCATATTTCATCCAATTGCCGCTTTTGCTGTTTCTTGTACGATGAGACTGCTTTGCTGGTGGTTTTCGATGTCTTCTTTTTCCCCACAGAACCCACCGTTTTTTGTTGTTGTACACCTCCACTCTCCGCTGCATCCAGTGCACTCGCTTTCAACTCGATGTATTTCTTCCGACTGTCGTTCATCATGCGCGTGATGCTCCTAACCGCTGCCTGTGCCATCGCCGTTAAGAAATACAGAACATCGTATCCACCTCCACGCGCTCGCGCGACAAAAAGGGTCTGCCTGGCCAAACCTTGCAGCAGGACATCGATAATGGCATACGGGTCAGCGATTTCGACCAAAACTACCTGAAGCATGCACAGATCTAGCACTGGCGGACTAGAAGGGCTACAAGTCTTTGTGTTTGTCGATGCAGAAGATAAATTGTTCGGCTTTCCCGCGGAGGTACCGCTAATGTTACTCTTCGTTCCATCCTCATTGTCCTCTCGCGGCGTTTGTCGCGGCAAATCGGCGTGGTTCGGAGCCTTCTCGCATTTGTGCGACAACAATTCCCCGATCCCCAAGGCGGCGACCGCACCCATCCCGACTTTCCCCTCCAGCTTGCGCACTTGCGCAACAAGGGCTAGCTCTTCGGCGCTCGTGGAGGCCGACGCGAACATCTCCTTGAGAAACAGCAGTATCGCAGCAGCACTCGGATCTGGCAGCAGTGCTTTTTTCAACAGAGGTGTTGATACGCTTACAACACTCCTCGATGAAGAACCGTCGAGCACCGTCGCAATGTCAACATCAGCACGCGACAACATGACAGCACGATCCCCGATCGCTGCCACGTGCTCCGCAAAGCATCTACTGGATGCGTCCGCAATCTCTTTCCTAGAGCCGTTGGCGTGCACGAGCAGAAGACCGTAAACTTTCAGGGCTAGCTGCCGCAACAAAGCGCCACGGACCACGTCATCCGCAGTTCCCGAGGGATGTGAACTTTGCTCTTGAACACTTGCTGGTGTCTCTCCTGCAGTGTTAATCGATGCGCCATCTGCATTACTTTGTTTAGTTCCCTTCGCAACCAGTTTCGCAGTGCGTTTTTTTCCACTCTTGATCTTCTGACCGACGAGCTTCTTGCTGTTGCTTGTGACGTTTCCTGCTAGCACTGCACGCTGATCATCGTTTTCGTGATCGTCTCCTTCACCCAAGCAACTAGCTACGAGCATCTTCTCCACTGTCGCGACTACTTCGAGAACGTCCTGGTTCACCGAACTGGCCAGAAGATGGTCCATGCTAGACATCACATCGTTTTCCATGAGTTTCAGAAATTTGCGTTGCTGCTGCTCAAGCATAGCTATCGCCGCACCTTTATTTAGAACACAAAACAACTCATATCTTCCCTTCATTTCTTCGGAATCCTGAAGGAAGGAGAAACGAAGAAGATGACCCTTGGAAATGAATTATATCGAGCCTTAATTCTACATGGTTCTCCACATGAGGACGTTCGTCCAGACCAGGCACCACAGACGCGCTAAGAGCAACAGATGCACCGCCTGCACTAGCGGCTTCTTCGTTGTTGATGACCTGTCGACTGGAGTGGCTCGGACTTCCCTTCTCGGACGGCGCTAGCAAGTCGTCTTCAAGACTGTGCAGTGCAAAGCTATCCATAGAAGAGGCGGCAGCGCCACTAGTGCCATTTTTTGATTTCTTGGAAGTACTTTTCGATAAAGGAAGTAATTTTGCCTTGTGTTTTGTCATCTTCAACTTCATGGTCACCTGCAAATGGTCCTGGTTTTCGTTATCTAGGTGTACTTCCATAGCATTACTTGCAACGTCGTCTAGCACTACCGCGTTCGCACGACGAAGTAGTTCAGGAAAAGGGTCAAAATCCAAAACGCGGCAGCATAGCTTTAGCGCCTGGCGTCGGATGTTGGAGCTCGTGTCCCGCAAGCGTCGTGCCGCTTCCTCAGCAACTTGTAGGAAAAATACCGGATCAAGCATCTGTTTCTGCGATGCAGCCGCGACAATCTCACCAAGCAATTTCAGACAGCGGCCACGCACGTAGGAAACTCTGTCTGCACAGTGAAGGAGTGCGGTCTCCTGCACTCGTTGGACGTCGACCAGCGATAGAAGGGGTAGGGGCTCATGGTAGTTACTAGCGCCTAGCGACCCATCTACAGTGCTGCGACCTGCTCTGGTCCCGAGACTTAGATTACTGACGACAGTACTGCCACCCACGAAAAGCGACTGCATGGGCGTACGGATGACGCTCGCTGTTCCCGGACACTCCGACTCGCTGTTTTTTGCCGAACGATCGCTCCTCGGCTGTACCGGGTTCGAGTGGCTCGCAGCACAATTAGTTGCGGCCTGCTGAAGTTGGAGATTGTTTAGTTCGGCCAAGAAGTGCTCGACCGGAACAGTGTTGTAGTAATGCTTTACGACAGCACTGCTGAGCGCTGCCAGTACTTCCTGACGCACCTGATGGTCGCCGCAAGACGGAAGAAAGTCAACAAGCGCCTCAAAGTTCTCGGAAAAGAGTGCTGGAGCTTCCTTTTCAAACGCAGGAAAAAAGCCGGCCCCTAACGTCCGGACAGGCGCCATCGCTTCCTTACTTTGCCCCAGTTGGGCGAGCTGCGCTGCTTGCTGCTGCCGCTCTGCGTCGGCTCCCTCGTCTTGGTTCGCCTGTGCGCCCATCCATGCCATCGCGCGGGAAAAGGCTGCTTGCTCAGCTGCTTCCTTCAGAAGAAGCTCTATCACCCGACTCTTCTTTTTCGCTTTCCTAGACCCTCGCTTTCCGAGACCCTCTGCGAGAGAACTGCTCAAGAACGAGGAGTCGCACATAGCGGTCGTCCTTGTGTCACGACTAGACGCGGCCACAGAGGTGGACGCCTCGAAGACACCACTCGCAGGGGTATGTAGCCCACTTCCGTGGTCGCGTGCCGATAACATGGACTCCTCGTGACCACCTGCGGCTGCCTCAGCATCTTGAATTTCGTCCGGTGCCTGCTCAGCACCCACTTCGTCCGTGTGGCTCACGACGATGCTGTGCCATGTGTCCAGCGTTCGCACAAAAACCGCCATGCAGCGTTCCTGCATGCTTGTTTTCAAAGCACTTCCATCATTTTCTGCAACTTTGCCTATACAAGACACTATCTTTGCTACCAAATTGCGAGGATCCCAGGCTCGTTCCTCTCCGCGTAGAATAGCTTGCCACAATGCTGACAAAACCTCAAAAATTTTGCGCTGGAAGCTGCTACTTCTGTTGCTCCCAAGAAGATAAGCCGAAGATTGCTGTGCTGAGATACCTGAGAAATAGCTACATGATGACGATGCTCCTGCCTTCTTCAGTGCACTGTAGCTCTTGTTGCTAGCTCCTGTAGGATTTTTCGACGCTGCAAAGATATCGGCCAGAAGAAGCACTCCCTTCTCGCCGCCACTGCTCCCCTGATCGTCCTTCGTTCCCATACTATCCTCAAAAGCCGGCAGTGAGAAGAAAGCCTTAAAAACTGCTTCCCGCGCATAGGCAATGATCGACAATTTCGTCGCTGGCAGGCTCCTGCCAGTACGCGAGGGCAGATCTAAGAGCCACTCCAGAACCATAGCCAGACTCTCCCCTGCAATGACGCACAACTGCGCCTGCTCGTGCGGCTGCACCGGCCACTGCAGTAGGCAGCCTAGGAGATAGATGAGGGGTTGGACATCAGGATGCGGACCACCCTGATGGTCGACGCGCAAAGAAAGTCGGTCTAGCACGTTGACGCGCACTCGCTCCGGACTGAAAAGGGAGGCGAGATGCCGACGCACAATCGGCGACTCAGTAGGCGACATCAGCACGTTGTTGTCAGCACAGGAAACACTGCCACGACTCGAAGCACTAGAGGTCCGCTTCATCAAACCTTGGTTATCGTTATCCAGGCTCACTTCCGGTGTCCCATGCTGTTCGAGCGACAGCGCAGCGTCCAAATCCTGAGACGGGTCAAACGGGTCAACATCCTCCTGCGACAGTCTCATTCTACCAGAAGTGCCAGATACTGCTAGTGAGCCACCACTGTCGCGTGCCTTTTTCGGTTCCGCCAAAGGTGCAGCCACGACTCCGCAAAGCGAAGCGAATGCGTCCACGTCGAAACTCTTGTCGAAAACTACCCATTGATAGTTCTCCGGCAGCGTGTCGTTTTCTTTCACGCTAAACTGGTGACCGCTCTTTGCATCCCGTGTAGTTACTGGTATGTCATCCTCTCCACCCTCAAACTCGCCTACGAGCTCCTCTATTGAGACCTCAGGTGCTGCTCCCTCACCGTTCGTGGTATTCCTTCGCACAAATGCGCCACCCCGCCACCACGACGAGTTGGCAGATCGCGATAACACAGCAGGTTTTCCTGGTAAGACGAATTTGGCGCCTATTTTAGTTTCGTGTTCGCCATCGGCAACATCAGGGTTCTTCACATTTGATGTTTTCGCATCTTTAGAACTAGAAGTGGTCACGCCTTTGTTCTTATTCGTCGATGAAGCGGCTGCGCTGCCACTACTTGGCTTCGCCGTGCTTGTGGCAGACTTTCCGCGCCTGTGAGGTGGCACAAAGCCGGAAGACAGAGCACTGCCGACCACGATACGACCTCGAGCTTTGGCCTCAGAGGCGCCATCGCTTTTCTTCACAGGCCCAGAAAAACCGGGAGGTGGTGGCGGCTTATTCTTCCGTGGTCCTGGAGGCATTTTTCTCGTTCTCCCCAGTAGCTGGTCAACTCCTTTCTAACCAAGTACACAAAAACTATGAAGAAGACGTAATCGTTGAGACGATATAGACTTCTTGGAGAATGAATTCTAGCTCCTCGTCTCAAACGATCCATTCATTCCAGCGTTCGCTGATAATCCAAATTCCTTATCATCTAGATCTTCTGAATCTCTTACGTAATATACAGTCAACCGTGGCAATGAAAGTGTCATGTTAGTTTCGCATTTGCCCTAGCAGCACTGTTTTCCTTTTTACCAGATCTGCCGACTACTTTGTCTTTGGGTCACAATGAGTTGTCGAAAACGCTCCACTGAGATCAACAACAAGAAAATTTTGGTCAGGAAAAAGAACACAAAAGCAAACGTCTCCATTGGAGTTGCCAAGTGCTGACTGATGCCTCCTTTTCCATTTTTCCTTGTTGCATCCAGCGAATCGTTATATTTTCCTGCGCATCTTCTCTTTTCGTAGCAATCTTTTCGTTTGCGTTTGCAAGAAGTGCTGGTCCTCGTTGTATCTCCTGATGAATGGAAATCTTCAAATACATGATAGATATTCTGTAGTTTCCACTTTACCCAATTAGATAGTTTGTGTTTGTAGTTGATTCAAAAGTATAAGTATTTAAGTGTTTGTATTTCCTTGTTATAGATAGAAGTTCCAGTTGTAAGTACTTAGTTTCGGCAAACTGTTACAAGACGTCTGGACATAGCGAGTCAGCTGATCTATCTTCTGCGGCAAAAAGCTCTGCGGTACTCGGCGTTAATTTACAACAGGAGTAAGTGGAGCTGCTCTGCAACTTAGCTATCCTGTAAACTGAGCAAATGCTGCATCTCTAATTCATTGTAGCAGGCACTTCTCTAGTATGTGAGACGAAAATGGGCGTGAAAGTTCGATTCCCACACGAGTCGTCACGAAAGGACTTGTTGTTCCCAAAGGAGTAGGAATAGGAGGGTAAAGATACAGCTACTGCTCCTCTTTACCAAGGGATACAGTCCGGCTACCGTACCAGTGCTTGTGCAACTCATCTAAAAAGCGACGTTCGTCTGCGATTGAGAAATTGTCAGGCGACGTGGCCCGCTTCGGTGACGTTAGGTCGACCTGAACGAGATCACAAGCAGAATTGCGACGGCTAGTACGACCGCCTGTTGGACCACCTACAGCAGGCCCTACCATCCGCGTATTTGTTCGAGTGCTGTTCCGGCGACTGCTCGTCTGTGGAGAGATGATGTTATTGCTGCCGCGAGGACCATAAACTGCATCCAAATCTGAAGTCGCATGCCTCTTAGACGGACTGCTTGAAGTTGATCGAAAAACACCACTTGGCAACGCGTGCTGGCCTCTGGCCCCGTGAACGGCACGCGAGGAGATGAGCACAGACTTTGTTTTGAACGGCTGGTGAACCTCACTGTGATCAAGATCATTCAGTGACGCGTCTCGTTTGTCCACGTTAATATCTTCGATGTCAGAAGCCATGCCGGCAGTGGACGGAGCCTGCTGCGCGACACGCCGAAATTGCTGGCTGAACCTGTCTTCTCGACTTCGATGCTGCTGCTGCTGCTCAACTTCCAATGCCCTTTGATCCTCAGCGACAGCGAGCTGTTCGCTTCTTGGTGTGCCACTTACTTCCGCAGCTCCATCTCCTTCTGTGACCTCAAACGAGCGCTGCGCCCTTGCTGGTATCTTTGGCTTAAAATTATCCCCGAAACAAGGTTGCTGCAGCTCCTCCGTGCTATTGGTAATACTCTCCCCGCCGTGCCTCGACATCACACTCTGAATCCAAGCCGTTGCAGCGCGGCTCGGCGACACCCGCACGTAACGCCGAGAACTCGACGTCGTCCCTCTTGGTGTCGATGCACCACGGGCAGCAGCGTCTTCCCGAATTGAACTGCTTGCGCCCTGATGGATAGATAAGTTTACGCATTTATGACCTTTGTACTTTCTTTGTACTCATGTTAGCTGGACCATAAGCATAATTCATCACGCGCCCAAAAGGAACTAGCGAGAGAGCTACAGAACAGTGACAAACCGATTTCGAATACCCCGTCACCTGCATCGTCAGTGCTCCGGTCCTCCGAACATTGTTTTCCACCTTCACTTCTTGTTTTTTCAGTCCAGATTGCATCTTGCGTTCCTGCCTTCAAATCGCCGGTAGCAGCTGCTACGTCTGTCCCGCTATTTTTTCCAGTTGTAGAGATCGCGTGCGCAAATCCTTGCTCCATTCTCCCGTCGTCTCCTCCTGATTTGACTACGCCCACTTGCGCCTGGCCTTCAACGTTCCCTGCTGTGGTCTCGCTTTCATACGCGGCCATGACCTTGGAAATCAAAGTACCGACCGAGGAGAACCTTTCGTCTAGGAGCGCATCCACCCTGCGTCCTGTTTCCGCGAAGCCCAGATGTCGGAGTGTGAGCGCGTGAATTGTCGTGCTTGCGGCTGGTGAGTTTGCAGATGCAAAAGGCGGGGATGCAGCGCTCAACGTCGAGGGTCGCGGGACAGACTGCGACCGCCCGCCTTGCACCACAGAAGCCTGCTGCGCGGAGTTAATGATTTGATTCATCAACGAGAAATTCAGACCAAAAGCCGGAGCACCAGCCGCAGCTGTTGGTGTTTGCGGGCCGCTGTATAAAGAGGCGCCACGTGGAGTCAAGAGGGCGGCTCGTGCCGTCACGCCCGGCGGCACGACGGAGTTCCGTGCACTCATCGGGTAGGTCAAGGTCGTCTGTAAACGCGGTGTGAGAGTCCCTGGAGTGCTCACAGATGACGTCCGCCCAATTACAACACCGGCGCTCCTATTATCGGCCGAGGAAGAAGAGGCTGACGCGGTCGAAGAAGAAGCTCCCTGCTCCTGCCTTTCTTCTGTATCTCTCTGCGAATTAGCGGTTAATGTGTCACCAGCACTGCCAGATGGATCTCGAACCTTACCAGGCTGAGCATGAAGTATTTCATCCTCGGATTCATCTTCCGATTCGCTTGCAGCAGTAAGATCTACCATGGCAGTCGTCACCTCCTCTGAAGTGCACCCGGCTTTTCTAGGTCTCGAAGACCGATGATTTTTCGCGCCTCTGCTAGAAGAGGCTCTGCTAGATCTCCGCGAATGGCCACCCACACGAGACGACTCGACCGACGACGATCGCGCCGTTTGTGCATCTCCTGGAGAAGCAGACCGTTCAGCACGCTGCATCCTCGAGTCCCTCTCATCGCGTCCTTCATTTCGAGCTGCGGAGGAGCCGTGTTCACGACCATAATGATCGTCGTCTGCAGATGGAAAATGCTCTTGGTCAACAACATGCCAGCGATGCCCCTCATGCTCACCGTCTACTCTTACATCTTCACCGGAAGTCGTGCGAGAAACCTTCTGCGCAGAAAGCACCTGTGTCTCGAGCATGCGCACGCGAGCCGCCAGCCGCCGGTTCTCCTCCTCTAAAGTCTTGGCGCGTTGGCGGTAATCCACGGCCAAGTGCGGGCTGGGCTCGTTCTGCAGCAAAACGCTGCTACAGCGCTGCGCGAAGCGCAGGGTCGATAAAGACTCTTGCGCATTCTTCAATAATGGAGACAACGTTGCAATCAAACTCGTTCGACAGTGTCCTAGAAGTGCGTCTTTCAGCAGAAAAGTCATTAGCGAGTTGCGAAAAGGCACAAACGCTCGCCCGCTTCTCTGCTGGATCGCTATCACAACCTGCTCCAGAAAATGCAAGCTCTTATTGATCGCGCGGGCCTCAGACTTTCGTTCGCTCTCGCCCTTGAGCTCGACCGCGCCACTGGAGGACGAAGAGCTTTTATGTGCGCGTTCCGAACCCGCCAAGTCCACTAGATGCAGCTTCGCATTGGAGTAGGTGTCGCCCTCCCACTGTTCTAGGACACTTTTTAGAAGTCGCACCGATCATCTGTTTCAGTACATGAAGATCATCATCACATGCTGATATTTTTACCTATCTTCACAATCATAGACCCACCTTCATCTAAGAAGGATCATATTCTCTCGTTACAACACCAAGTCCAACAAGTGGAACAAGTAAGAGTTGTAACTAAATTCAAATCAAGAAGCATAAGACAGTGAAAATCGCATGACTTCGGCTGCTATTTGCGTTCGTCCGAGTGCGCGCATCACTCCGATTTAAGGCCGCGAGGAAAACGCAGTCAAGCGCATCGCGCTCAGTTTCACAGAGGCGCTCTGCTAGGTCTGGCTGTGATTGAAAGCGATCTAAGCGCAGAGCACCTCCGTGTCCGTCTGAGTCCTGGTGAGCCGAGGCTAAAAGGTCGTAACCCGCATCGTTGTAGACCTCTAAACCCTTAACGGATACCGCATAACGATAGTCCCCGTGGCGACCGGGGATGGTACTAGAAGGGGTACTGTTTCCTCCTCGTCCTGGTTCTCGACTGCTGGCGCTTCCTCCACCTTGATGTTCCGCCGCACCACCACTGGTACTATGCGCAGTGGATAATTGTTCATCTTGTCGGAGCCGCGCTGCTCGTTTCTCGCGTAACTTCTTGAATAGTGCGCATACAAGGCGTGGTAACAGTCCCCGTTCTCGGTACTTGGATCCGCCATAAACGGTATACGTCTTGCCGGTGCCGGTTTGGCCATAGGCAAAGATGCAGCCACTGACACCCGAGAGAAGAGAGTCGAGGTAGTCCGTGAACTCTTCGAAGATTTCCTCCTGTTCCGCTTCTGGCGTGAAAATTTCCGCATTGAAAAGTCCTCGATACGACGCCGTTGACTCGCATCCATACTGGCTATCATTTTCTCCGTGATACGAGGACGAAGAGGAGCCACCACCTGTACGTCATGTATTGAACAATATTTGCTGTTCATTCTTATACATTTGCATACTACTAGGTGGAGGTAGAGCTCAACATCGTTCTTGTGCTTGATGTAGTTACATCTAGTCATATTCTGGATCCCACCACGACCAACATATTCGATAACTAATGCCATACCTCCTGGTATTACGGTCGGTATCTCAAGGCTGAGCCAGTGTGCATCTGGGGCTGCTGATTGAACTTCGATCTGGCATGTTGCTTCTCGCTCGTCAAACACAGGCGCGATGCGCGCGTAAGTGCTAAGTCGAGACATCTAGTCGCTGTTGTCATCTACCAAGCGACAAATTTGCCAATGAATACAGATTTTGATAATCTTAACGTCTGTGTCTGTCTTAGACTAATGCTGATAAATAGTCATGCGCTTTTCTTTCTTTCTGTCAGTCCTGTGTGTTTTTCGCTCGTGTTCTTCTTGTTGCTCTCTGTTGCTCGTCAGGCAAGAACTTGAACCTGAATTCACAAAATTATACTAAGTGACCGACTGTAATGATGACCTCATGCGCATGCGGTTTGCTCCATTTTTGTCCTATTTTCCACCTCGTTTTGACTCTCTCTTTCTCGAAAACATAGATATCGTCGAAAAGAGACACTTCCACATCCACTCCTTTTCCGCTTACAGAGATTTTTTTTCCGAGCTGTGTAACAAACAGCACTACTCCATTGCGATGGGCTGAATATGCTCAGAAATTGTGGTTGAAACGCTATCAGATACGGAAAAAAATGTTGTTGTTTTGGAAGATCAAGAGTTTCTTGTCAAGATCAAGGGAGCGTGGCAATGGTACATAGTGCTGTAATATGGTTCTTGTGGAGGCATAGCAGTGCTGTAATATACGTAGGATATTATGAAGCGTAAAAGAAGGGGTAGTTGTACAATCACAAAATGAAAATATTACAAGAGGGGGATAGGTCGCGATAGTGACTGAACCACTACGAGGGAACAAGAAGGGGCGAAGCTCCTAGACTTGTTCCCGTAGTTCTTGAATGTTAACTTTCCCGCCAGGCAGCTTCGTGTAGCGCATCTCCATGGTCTCCCCGTCATCCAGCTGCTCCATTATGAAGTCGTAGATTATACCGAGTTTCTGATAAATTTTTAAGGATTTCGATTTTACTCATTTTCACTCATGAAATGAATGAGAGGAACTAGGAATATAGAGACGTCGAGGAGGTCTTCTGTTTCATGTGAAATTAATGCATATCAATTAAGTGAGTTTTCAGAATAGTCACCTTCTGCATACAACACAAAAAGAGAAAAGAAACAAAGCCGGTAGTTCATTCTCGTTGTACCTCTTGAAACTGCTCCGATGAGGTCGCAACTTCTCCCGGCGCCACTTCTACACTGTCCTCTTCTTCAGCAGGTGGCTTGGGCTTCGCGCGTTTAGCAGCTGAAGAATCAGCTGCAGTTGGCGGGCGCTTTGAAGCTGCTGCTGCACTTGGTGGCCGACCTCGTGAGCGGTTAGCACTAGCAGTTCCAGCAGATGTTCGCCCCCCTTTATTCGGACGTATAGCGTCCTCGGCAAGCTTCCGTTGTCGTTTCGTCATAAAACCCTGTGGCCCCATGCTCTCGACCCGCTTCCGCGCTGACGAGAGTCTCTGTGTAAAGATGATTCAAATTAATTGTTGTAGTCTATGGATTGATGACCGTTGGAAAGTTGATATTGCGTACAACTACATACCTGCACACCTTCGTCGATCATTGTTCATCTTGGTTGTCTGCAGTAGTCATTCAAATATCAAAACGGAAAAATCCAAGATGGACGAGAAAAAAAAGACCTCAAAAGTTTGCAACTAAATATACCCTGTTGATTTTCTTTGGCGCTGTGTTTTCACTCGAACTGACATCCGCGACAACGCCTCGCGGCGCAAGGACTGCCTGAGCCATCTCAATCTCAGCTTCGGTGAGCGTCAGCTGCTTCTCAGCGTAATCTAGACCACGGGGGACGGTCTGGTCAGTGTCCTCCGGAAGCGTGCATGCGGTTCTGAGAAGATACTTTTAGAGCTACCACGTCGCATCCCTGGGGACATCCCTGAGCCCTTTTTGCCCTTGATAAAGGGCCAAGGATGAATCTGGGGATGCTTGAAGGGTGGCACTAGCCTTAATACTTACACTGAAAATCGCGGCCCGTCTCTTCTTTGAACAGCGCACATGTCAGCATATCCACGCGCCGCCATTTGCCGCAAGCCTCACATTGCACATACGCAATCGGCTCACTCTGTTGTAGAGTTCGTGGTTAGCGTCCGTTATTTACAATTGAGTTGGAAGGTGAATCGTGGTCAGTTGCAAATGAATTGAAATTGAGGGAGAATCGCGGTGAGAATCCGTTGTGCGTTCCAGTGACGTGGTCGAGATTGAAATATATATATCATTTTGTTCTCCTGATCGTGAAAACCTTTACTTACAATTGAATCATGTTCATGCGGCCTCGTGATCGGTTCAAAAAATAAGGAATCGAAAGAGAAGGAGACCTGTAGGTACCCTAATTCAACTTGCGACCACTAGTATTCAGGCGGAACAAGAATTAGAATTTGATTCCATCAAAGTGAAAGTTGTATAAATCATCTAAAAGTTATTTTTGGATGACATATTCATATTAGTATCTATACCATTGCTTTCGCAACAACAGAAGAGGCGCTAGGCTGCTTCGCCTTCGGGGTCATAGCGCTCATGGCTTTTAATGCGGCTTTTCTTGGCTGATGCGCTTTTCTATGAGGTCGGTCTTGTGGCTCCTCTTGCTGCCCTCGCTGCGGCCTGGGCGAGTTCTCCTGTAGTTGTTTCGTTTTTATAATGGTCGAAACAGCTGTGACCCTGATTCCCGGTTGCAACTAGTCTCTGCAGCCTACTTCATGCAGTCCGTGACAAATTACAGATTGAAGATGAGGTAGTGCTGGTGCACATACTAGAATGGAAGCGTCCAAGAACTAGTTCTTCGAGCATAATTCTGCATGATGCATGTTTATACTGATAGGATAAAAAACTGCTAACCACGCTCCTCACTGCCATCTGAATTTCTGGGGCGTCCTTTTCTTTCTTTTCTTTGTCTTTTTCTCGTTCGCTTGAACTCGAGGAGGATTTTCCTAGATTACTGGCGATTTCAGCGGCAACCATTTTCGGCGATCGCGGACTGCTTGGCGGCATCTGACCGGCGCTCCCGCTATTCTTTCTAGCACTCGATACTTCCTCCATACTGACATTATGACTGGAGCCAGCTGTAGGCCTCTTTTGCTGTGCAAACGGTAGATTTGCCGTTGGTGGTTGGACTTTTGGTGAGGAAGCTCTAGGTTTCTTCGCACCTGCAGTACTCGAGGACGAAGCTGTTGGAGCCGGTTTTGGTGCTCCTACTGGAGGATCATGTGGAGGCACTTTACTAGTAATAGGTCCCGAGGACCCAGCAGGCGCTCCACCTGAGACTGACAACCTTCTGTCAGAGCCGATCGAACTCCCGCCTGACCTCCTGCGGAATTCTGGTGGTGGCTCCGGGATTCCACCAGGAGGTAACTCGAGTGACGGCGCGGGATGTGGATCGATGTCGAAATCAGCGAGGTCTTCACGTCCGCAAAGGCTAACCTCAAACTTGAATTTCGCACCTCAGGGATTAGAGAATCTCAATCTTAATCTTTGCTGTATCACAATCAAACAAGCGTTTTCTGAGTCCTCAAGTACAAGCTAAAAAAGATTTAGATTACTCAATTGCTCGATGGAGAAACACTAATAATCTAGTTTCTTTTGTGACCAGATCTAATGAAAGTGAAATATCCTTGCGCCTTAACATCCCAAGACGCGATCGTGTCGGAAGTGAAATCACGCAACCCTTTGAACCGTTGATCCACTTCGGCTATGAGCCGCCTACTCCTGCATCCGCAAATACGAGCTTGCTGCTTCACTGTGGAAATGGATGCAAATATAATGTTTCTTGTTGGTATGAATCGAATACAACCTATCTAGACTCCTACTTCTATCACGACAAAATTTCGATAAAAATTTCAATTTCCATCTTCAGTACTACGACTATAATTTTTAATGGATAATTTACTTAACATCTCTCATCGTATGTATAGAAGATGTAGAAGTACCCCAATCCCGTAGCGTTCCCAATCTCGTTAGAGCAGCTTCGCATGACTCCGATGAACCGTCTGCTTCGCGGTCGACGCGAACCTTCACCAGGAAAACCGTAGCTGCTGGCGAATTCATTTCCTCTGAAGATTTTCTTTCGATGTGATGGGAAAAGTCTTGTTTAGAGTCTTGTTTAGAAGAATCAGGTGGGGAAGGATGGAACCTCCAGTAAATATTACAATGAGCAAAATGAATAATCTCTTTTGCAAATTGCCAGAGGAGCAAGACAGACGCTCTGTATAGGAGTGGTCAAGCCGTTTCCTACTTGGAAAAGCTGACACCAAATTGAAATTTCATGGAATGATCGATAAATTAGTGGTCGTCCTGAAGATTATACACAACATCTAAATCTATCACGTCATTAAAAAAAATTCGTGGTCGCTTAGATTCATCTAGCTTTCCGTAAAAAACTGCCTCTCTTCGTCATTAAAAATCGACTGTTGTTCATAAAACATCAGACGGCGGCTGCTACTGGGAAGCGTTCCAAAGGGTGTTCTTTTGAGGGTGGGGTCTCTGCGTACATGATGGGGCACGAACATCAACTAGCTACCGAAATTCGCTCGATTCACCGAGTAGAAAACGAGAAAAGAATCGACTCTACAGATAGCACAGATGCATCGAGACTGCGCAAAATTTCCGTCACAACCACAGAATTCTTGCTAAACAATAATGAGGCATAATCCATCGCAATAGATTTATTCCACCTTCCGAGGAGCAGTCAGAAAAGATCATGTTACACCGATCGGAGGAACGGGGAGCGACGAGAACGACGCCAGTCATTTTTAGGCACAATGCATGCACAGCATCTCCGAAGCGGACTTCATTTTCGGCATACAGCATCAAGTTACTTTCTTGCTTCAACATCATGCAAATGCTTTTTTTGCACATCACGCGTTATTTGCGATGACAAATAGAATGCTTTGTGCGTAGGTACGTAGGCAACTTAATGGTAAACGATGATTGATTGATCGTTTCATGGTAAACGATAACTTGATGGTCAGCGACGTTGATTTGTATATCTGTTGGAATTATCTTAGGCTAATAGCGTTGGAATACTACTTGGGACGACCAGCCGGCATGCCTGCAAATTTATGATGTGTAAAATAATACAGAGCTTGATCTTGGTGTTGATGCACAATGGATTACAAATTTAATTTCTGTGGTCCCCGTACGCTAGTAGTGACTAGCTAAGAATAAAGACTGTAGTTTAAATGAGTTGGAATGTAGTAGTTACTGTTGGAATGTACTTATGTATGATGAATACACATTCTTGTATGCTACTGCGAAAAGACTTCTTTGTTGAAGCTCCCTGCACGCGTCTTTTCTTATCTAGGCGCCTAAAGGTACTTGTGTAGATGCCACATGTTATCGGGAAGGTTTTCGAATTGAGGTCGAAAACGCGGCTCCTGCTTGCTGATAACCCGGAAAATCTCCATTACTACCGAGCTGTGCTTCTCGTAGTATTTCGAGCAGTGCTCCACGAAATCCACACAATTCTCGTAGGCTATGCAGCTTGGACTCTCCACCGGGAGACCTGAGCTCTTGAGGTTATATTTTATTATAATCATGTTCTGCACTGACCACTTGGGAAACAGTGGCTGGCCCTGGCACGACCCGTGGAAATTAGTATAGGGTAGAAGGGAAAAATTCTCGTCCGACGTTGAGTGTGTAAAAATGCGCAAGAAAAGAACAAGCTTAAACAAAGTCAAAGTCACGATGATCAGAACCACTAACTACAGTTGTACCAAGTCTCGCTATGCTAATCATGTCTGGCCGGCCATCCGGAGCGTTCGGTCGAGTGAGGAAATGCCGCAAACAGGTCAGGACTTGAAGTGGAAGCTCGTGCAATAGCGTGAAAGCTGTTGGGATAACGTTGGCGCCAAATATTTCTTCCAAAACCTGTATTCTGTCTTGCCGGATAGCCTCTCTAATAAAGCTCGTCCGAAACGAAGGCTTCGCCGCTGCCGACTCGATGTAACTGTGTGTTGTGGATTTCTTCGTCGAGGGGGATCTTCGAAGAAGAAGGGAATGTAGAACTTAATGTAGTGCGTATTACTGGGAGGAACAACGAACAAATGAATGTCTCAAAGAACTCTTTCTACTATGCATCAGTCAGGACGAGCAATAGACATAGTACCTCGTTTTGAAACTGCTATTATGCTTCGCTAAGTTCTCGACTAGTTTTGGCAAGTGATCAGGGACCAAAAATTTTTCTATCGCGCCTTTGCCGCGCCCTTGGAGACATATGCACGCACAGAGCTCGGCTGCGGCATTCTGGACTTCAATTTCGTTCGCTTCAAACAGTAGCAAACAAGAGATCTTCTCAGCGTGTGCTGTGGTGGAAAGATGTTTTTCATTTACTACTGATTCAGGGACTCGTTCTTGATAATCTCTAAACTACATGCCAAAACAGTATACTTTTGCACATCGACCATAAGAACATACATTTCAAACTTGCGTACCATCCACGAGCTTCGTTCTCCCTGAATCCAAGTTTCCGCCTTGAACTAGAGGCCCAATTGCCGCTGTGAGTAACAAATCGCAATTTGGAACTTCTGCTTTGCGCTTATGTACGCTAGTCATGAAATCCACTGTGAGCGATATCTGTGGTTGTTGGTAAAGGTTTTTGCAAGAAGCACATCGAATTCGAAGATGCAGTTCTTGGGAAATAGGCTACAAAAATGAATAAGGCCCATTAAGGGTAATCCAGTAGGTACCAAATCGCTATCGATCAGGGGCTGCGGGCAGTAGGCTGACATATACTTCAGCGCGCAGTAAAATTCTAGTATGAGCAGCCAATCCACACTACTTCTGCTCTCTGGTGCGCGGGCCACGAAATTCGACAAGAGGTGCACTATTGCAGTCACTACTTCTGTTGGTCGCGTCTCGTCTCGGGAATTGCTCCATCGATGACATGCTTTGCCGATGGCGTAAAGCACTGGTAAAGTTTAAGTTGTTGTTACAATTATCATGTTGAAGGCTTACAAAACACTTGCAGGCGTCGTTCGTGCTTTCCCTTTCTTTTCTTATAATTTTTCCTTTAACTACTAAATGAAAATGTCCTCCTACCAAGAGTATGTTGATGATTCGACGAATCTATTCGGCAAAGTGCCTACCAACACCAAGAAAAAGAGTTTACCTAATTTTTCTTCTTCATCTGTTGCTCCACTGCTAGATTGTACGATTTCTCCAAGTTTTTTTCCCAAGGATATGGAAGCGCACCACTCACGACCCCCCTTGTAATGTAATAGAGGATCAAGAACTTTCGCGGTTGCTCGCCGGAGCTCCTTAACGTCCAGGAGCACATTGAAGTCCACTTTCGATAAACCAAACTCCACTGCCCACTCAGGATCGCTTGTACCTGAAGGAGACTTTCAGGATCATAGACGACAGACCAGAAAAACCAGGAGCACCGTTCGTCAGGTCATGTCATGTCACCTCAGGTACTACATGGTTCGTTCTATACTATGTATAGTTATACGTACAAATCCAGATTCTAGGATCCACCCCTCGCGACTAGCACTAGGCTGGCTGGAAATAACCTAGAATTAGCCTAGCTCTCGTAATATTGTTCCATACAAACCGTTCTAGACCAACCAGCTAGTAAAAAGTTTTTTACATTCTTGTGCAGCAATCTCTAGCACGTTATTCATCGTCGCTAAAGAAAAGCCGTTCTTCGGGAACGATTTCAACTGTTCCGCTATCCTCTGCCACGCCCGATGACCGTATCCAACGGTCGCATCGTCCGCCTTTACAACAGCCGAATGCTCTGGTAGGTACAGATTAGACAGCTTCTCCACTCAAGAAATGTCAAATTATTGAGAACTCAGCTATCAAGTTCGCTAAGCAGGGAAGACGATTCCTAAATCAAGTCTCAATTAAGCATGCTACTTCTACTTGTTCTAGCTCCTAAATTCAAACTTTCTTCAGCCTGAACAAGAAGTACTTTGTTTTTATACTTGCATGAGTTATCAATGTCCTCGATCATCAGACCAGCCTTAAATGGATGTCGTTTTGAAAGCGACGATGACACCGGATGCTCGGTGAATCCGTCACCAGCTGCATTGGGATAGACTGCCACTATCGTCTGCGCATCTCCCTCGAGTGGCAGCGTATGCGGACAGATCTGTTCACTTTTGTCCGGCATCTTGGTGGTCGTATCTGCGATCTGCGATCGGCGTATCTCCGACGTATGAGGTAGTTCTAGAGTATGAGGTAGTTATCGAAACTGTCAGGGCACGTTGCAGATATGTCGGGATTCGTCACTGCAAAACCACAGCCCAGTCGTTAATCGAAACAGACAGCAGGTAAAAGCAGGGCGATCAATGACATCGAGAACTCACGTCGACAGGTGCTTCTATTACGCCATGCAGATGAGTTGTCTGCTGTGTGTGGTCTAAAACGTCATGTAACTAATAATAGCACGATGGAAGCCGTAAGCGGCACTACAGAGAGAGACACAGACAGAGTTCATTCATGAAATCCGTTCTATCAGTCTATCATGGATGAAGAAAGCAAAACATCAATCATGAGGCCAAGAAGTGGAAAGGCTGTTGTCCGTGCACAATTACTAACTACTTCTTGCGTATAGAAAACAACAAAGCGATACAAACACGAGGTGAAAGCACGGCTGAAGAAGATCAAGATACTGGTTTTGCTGAAGCTACGATAAGGGCGACTCTGTGCATTTTCAAAGGTTAGGCTTCGGATACAGTGCATGTGGACAAGGCTACACAGCGACTGCACCATACGAAACAGGGAATTATACAATACAATAAATAATATAAATATCCATCATGGTTTCTACACCGAAAGGGGTATGGGACAAGTCGGAACTGCATGTGGGAAATTGTCCGATGCCTCTGTTTCGTGCACGCAGTACTAGATTGAGCAGAGATTGAAGCTTGTCTTCACCGATGGTCTCTGACTTTCTTACCCTTAATCGTAGATGTCAAGGCGATTCTCCGTTTTCAGTGCAAGTAACTGAGAGATAGAGATTGGCCCGATCTTACACCGAAGAAGCCCATCCACCAGAAGAGGACGTTATCTCTGTGTCTCTCTGCGAATTTAGAACACAAACACACACGCGTAGTTGCCAGAGATCCCGTCTCATTCCCGGGGTATCCAGGCCGATGTGATCTTTCATACTCTGGATTCTTTCTTAATGTGCACCAGATAGGATTTAAAGATAAGGCAGCAGCATCCTTTATCTAATGGGGCGGGGGCAATCAACGTCAAAACTTGGTCATTCTTCCCATTCACAGGTACATGAGAGAAAGTCGTCGGAGTTGGGCGAGCAGGTAAAAATGAATTACAATTAGGTATCGTCTTGAGAGGCAATCCCTGTCCCACGCCAAGCAATGGATGAGCGCCATATATCCTTGATATCCCACGACCAAACCTTGAACAGAGCGCTTTCTTTCGCTTTAACTCTGTTAGCCAACATACAATAAGATGAAGATGAAAATCATTGTCTTAACACAGCTGCAGGCCTAATCGATCCTCAACGAAAACATCTTGTGGACGACAAGAACCCTAGTGCGGACAAATCACAATAAATTCATTCATTCATTCATTCATTCACGCTGCCACCTTGAGCGCCTTTTTTTTTGTTACCTGGGTCGACAATTTGGTCTACAATTTCCCGCAATAGTTCCATTCAATCACCCCGCGGGAAGCCTGAAGGCACAGCGACAGCGCCAGATAGCAACATAAACGTAAACGTGTCTAATTACAGAGGTGTTCGAATGAGATGGATATGTTGGCTTACGAGAGGATATTGCCAAATAGACGGACGACGAGTCTTTAAGGAATATTATGATCCTTGTAAATGTACGATTTTAGATTTAGGTTCTGGGAAATCATGATAGCAGCTCTAAATTGTTCATCCTGTAAAAGTACGACTACAAACTATGTTCTCAAAGAAGTTTTGGTTGAAACTTGATTTTGAAGTTTTGCATCAGCACTTCGGATATTTGCCTGTGGTGTAGAACTACCAGGGAAATCAAAAATCCGAAGCAAGAAATGAATCCAATATCTAATTCAACTCTACTATGGTCGTTTTACGTCCATCGCTCTTCAATACAACTGTAGGAAGTCAAGCGCACAGTGCAAGAAGACAAGCTTCTAGCACTTACGCTTACCTACAATCATACGGAACGACAGACTTTAGCCTCAGCCTCGTCGAACCGGTTTAGGCAGGTCCTTTACTGTTTTCATCCTCGGTCGGTTTGCGCCGCCACTGGGTGGCGGACCTCCGCCCGAGCCTCCGGACCCGCCACCACCAGAAAAGGGATTCCACCAAGACCCGCCGTCGTCATTGCTTGGCTGACTACTGCTTGAACTACCCTGCAAACGATTCTGGTTCTGCAGGGCCCTTTGTTGCAGGGCCGGGTCGTTTTTGTACTGCTTATACTTTGCTTTTTGCAATGACCGCAAGTCGTCTTGCGCTGCTGCCTTCTCTGTTGCCTCTCGCTCCACTTGCTTCTGGAAGTTATGCGAGGGCCTGACGTGCGGATCTGCTCCCACAGTTGGGTCCCCTCCTCCACTCCGATCGGGTGAGAGCAATGGCTCGCTCATCTCCCGTAGTTCCACATTGCTTCCTCGGTACCTCCCTGTACTAGCGCGCGAAGAGGACGACGAACCACCGCCCATAGGCATGTTTTGCTGATACGCTGGATTCGCATTGCTTACTGTCGCACTCTGTGGAGTAGGTGATGAACTCGATGTTGATCCTCCAAAATTGAAGTAGTTCCCGAACGAGTTAGCGTCCGCCTGCTCCTGGGCCTTGTTTGTATACTCTGCGGCCTTCTGCCTGCGCAGATCGGCTAACGAGTTCGCAACTGCGTGTCGAATAAAGTTTTTCTATCAAATGTTTTTGATGATCTAAGTCTAACTCTGTATTCTCAGATGAATCTTGTTCTAGCAAGTAATTCTCCACGTATCCCAACAGCACTCAGTCAACGTCACATTCACAAACAAATATTACCATTTTTCTCTGCCGCTTCTTTCGCTGACCTATTCTGAAATTGGAATGCGCTTTTTGAAGCGACGCTGGATTTCGTGCCACAAGACGTCGTCGTTGGCGTGGAGGCTGAAGGCGCACTTGGTCCTGCAGTTCCTCCTTGATGTACAGGTGATGTGCCCGCAGCTGCTCTAGGAGCTCCTTTCTTTGCAAAATAAGCCTTTGCAGCCATGATTCTGCCCGGGAAATCGCTCACATTCATCATCAAGTCGTCCGGTAGGAACAAAGTATCTGAAGATTTCACATGATGGTGGATAGACTTTCGTAAAAAGGAACTTAGAATAGTCAACATGATCCTTGTAAATTATTTGATACAACAAGACCTTGATCTTTTGATGGCTTTTGCATTTGCCATGTCCGTAATATAAAACAATGCTTTCAACTAGTCAAACAATGCAAGTAGCACCTTCATCCAGCAGCTCCCATCCCATGAGCAGAAGCGCCTCCAAAGCCGGATCCACACTGGTGATGCAGCTATGAATTTTCGGATTACTGAGCTTTATCCGCTTGAACTTATCGTTAGTCGGGTCAGAAACGATGTTTTTGATCAATTTCTCGATGATCGTCAGCGATGCGTCTGCCTGTGCGTCTGGGATGTTCCGCAGACTCTCCTCCCAAGGCAGGAGGTTCGCCGGGCAAGGCGGCATCTTGCTGATGTTTATCCTCTACAACTTGTCCAATTGATGATTATTAAGTAGGTGCACAGAAAAATCAAAGGAAAAGGTTGTCGTTGTAAAGCTAAAATAATGAACTACCATGGATCACAGCAAGGATCTACTTCAAGATGCACGGTATGCATTTTGTGCCTAAAATGAAGCTAAAACCTCTGCAGCATGGGCAATTTGTAGCCAAAATCCAAATCCTGTTTGTAGTTGAAGCTTCAGACGTATTTTTCTTCTTTGGAGATGCTCTAACGCTAGACTCGTTTTGCAACTCGCTCCCGAAAACGCTATAATCGCTCCTTCTCTCAACACAAGAAACAATCTAAGGGGAAAAGAGGTCACACCTTCAAACACGAACAGAAACACTGATGATCTTTTGAGCTGGTCGTGGTAGGTAGGCCACCCTCTGCTGCCAGATATTTCTTCTCGTTGCTTCTAAAAATTTCAATCATCATCATGGAGGTGTCCCAATTAGTTCTACTAGCCTACATTTCTATTGCAACTACTTGTTCATTTCACTCAAGAAAAACTCTTCTTGGAAACGCCGAGCAGAACATTTTGCATGCAAGGCAATCATATTGGTGCCATCATCATGTTACAAGAAGACAAATACCAGACAAGAATTAGATTTCGTTGTGTCATTCATGCGAAAATGGATTCAAAGTTCAATAACGCAAAATTATACAGCTTCTCCCGCAACCACCTCTCTCATACATACATTGCTAGACTGATCTATTGACTGCGTTCATTTTGATCCCAAAAGTATATTTAAGAAAAACAAAAGTCAATCGATGGAGTGAGTGCTCATTCATTCATTTGTGTCTTAGACAGTACTACTCCACTGCCAGCAAAACAAAATAGTGACGAACGGTGTGTCTATGGAGACGGCCTCGAAACTATCTACCCTACGTGAGGGGATGGTGAGTCAGACCTGTACCGGGTCCCTCTGAAAGAGAGGAGGCAAGGTTTGGCGGTCCGTATCTTTAGGGACTCTAAAACTTTGCTGACATTATGTATCTATACTCTTGGTCTTGACGCTGACTTCTTCCTTCTCGGGGATCGTCCGAGAAAAGTCCCAGAGAGGATTCACTTACATTACACTGCAGCACAACTTCTATTCGTTGCATCTTTTGCCACATTCTATGACAAGACTGTTCGTGAAAGAAGTATGAATGACGACACTAATCTTCAAAAAAACTCGAAACTTCTGTAAATCTCCAAAGTAGTACGACCATCTTCGATGTCTTCGAAACGACTAAAAAAAATCAAGTAAAAAGAAAAACTAGAAGTATAAGTATTTCTATTTCTGACTAATATGATTGCATTTCTATTTCTAACTAAGCATGTTGTAAATTATCGAATTGACTTTCCTGACTTACTGAAACAACTCATCCTTATCATCTTCATCATCCGGGGTATCATCGACTGGCGCCTTTTTCTTCTTGTCGCGGCTTTTAGAGTGTACTAGAATGCATCTCGGTCCCCTCATCTTGGCCCCTTTTACCGTGTATTTCTTGCGAATACAAGGGAAAAGGGTACTAAGATGCCGAGAAAGATGGATAAAAGCTGACCTTAACGCTGGAGACGCGTGGCAGCTTCGCCTTCCACTCCGTGCGAATTTCTGGTCGAACAATGTGCTTCAGCTCAGCGATCTCAAGCTTCAAAGCGCTCTTGGCGCCTTTGCATCATGAAAGAATTGTGTTTACAAGAGTAGAGAGAGTAGTTGTGTTTATAAGAGTTGTGTGAGATGGATTTCGAAGTGAAAGAGAGGACTAAGACAATGGACGGGGTAGAAAGAACGACTACGCCTAGAAAGATGAATTCCTCTACGGCAAAATTTGAAATACACAAACTGTGCCAGCCCATTCGCCCCATAACCGGCTACATCAAATACACAATCACAATTATAAACTCTTCGGCTTAACTTGTTCGGTGCTGAAGCACAAATGGCGTGCCAGCCCATTCGCTCCACGACCGGCGCACGCTTTCCCGACAAAACGCGCTGGGACCGAAAGTGCACTGCGGTGCCAGCACGCAGAGGAATCTTGAGCCCCTTGGCCATACTAGGATCCTCGACAGTGGTAGTAGCTTTCATCGCGGTCGTTTTAGTATTCTCTTCGTCCTCTGTTGATTGTTCAGAATCCTTACCCGCTGCTGCCGAAACGGAAGCCTGCTCAGCACTGTCGTCATCCAAATCGTCGAGATCATCATGATCATGGTCTTTGTTCTTATCCGCAGCGCGTCCATGGTCCTTCTTACTCGCAGATCCAATCTTCTTCCCAGCTTGTTCGCCTTCCTCGTCCGTACCAGCACTCTCCTCATCGTATTTCACGGTCTGGTCACACATCGCAGCCACCACTTTGTACAGGCCATCGCGATGCATGTGCTGGTTCAAATTGCCCTCTTCGCTCACCGACCAACGCCAATTCCAACGGCGCAGTCCAGAATCCTCCTCCTCCGTGAAAACGTTGTGGAACATGCCAAGTTCGGGATGAGCTTCCATGTACCTGGGTCGTGGGAAAGAACGGTGAAGAACAACAAAGTCTAAAAGTAGGTGGAAAACGATGTCCGTATGACTGCAGTTCTCGTTGCTTGGGGAAAGACGATTAGGGACCTAAGAAGTGGTGTAACTTGTAATCAAATTTGAAATTGCATGCGCCGGAAGAAGTAACTTTATCAGCCAAAATCACTTCTTGTTCTTTGCCGTCATCGAAAATCAATATCAAATCACAACAAAATGTACTTCAATCGGGAGTGTTCCGACTCGTGGTTGATTCCGTAACGAAGACGTTCCAATAGTTTCGAGTGTGCGCCATCCATAGTATGATATGCCGTTTCACAAATCTTTCGTCGCTTGTTCCACTCTTTTGGCTCAAATTCCTCGGTTTCCACACAAGGAAATACTAGAAATGGACCCTTTTTCTGCCCGCTCTCCTGCAGCCAGGCATACGAGGACTGCTTCTTGCCACTTCCCTCACGACGCAAGTGCGTCTCCTGGATTGGTGATGGACTTTTAGGCGAAAAAAGTACGCTTAGGAAGGTCGTACTTTGTTCGTTCTTCAGTTTTGTGTTTCAAATATTCTGGACTGCTTAAAAAATTTCATCAGCTCTACAACCCGTTCCGTATGAAACATAAAGTCACATATCCTCTGATGTCAGGTTATCTGAGTATTCATCAAATAATTGCTATACCCCCTCCTGCCCTTCGTCTCCCTCATTCGACGATCCTCCTTTGAGTACAAATAGCGACGTTCCGACCACATGGGGCGCCAGATGCATATCGAGATGCGCATCCTCGCGGCCGTGCGGAGGGTAAAGCGGTTTACGGATACGCAATTCTGCGTCTGGCATAACTTACAGGGAGTTTTTCACTATCCCGCGTCGAGTGGGTTGCCCTCTTTGCCCTTTAGTTTCCCTTTCCCCTTCAGATCTTCAGGGGTATTTCACTCAGCATAGAAGTCCACATGGGATTTAGTAAAAAACTACCCTTAAACAACGGTTTTGTTCCACCCTTTACCCAGATGCTTCGAAAAACCCTCGCTTGTAGACCGGGCCAACAGCGTTTCCATCAATTTCGAGTCCTCCTCCTGTCCGAAAATGACGTCGGAGCTCTCAAACTCCACGTCGCCCTCTGCAGTAGCGTAGGAGACAACCTGATGCATGCGGAGAGGTACTTGTACTTCAAAATGAAAAGGTGAGACGCGATGATGGATCAAAATCAAAAGCAAAAGTTGTATAGCTCAATTTACTTAACTAATCTATGCATGTTAAATCCATGCAAGAAATCGAAGGGCAGAAGTGCTGCTACATCTTGCTCTTACCACAGTCGTCGATAATGCTAGGTCAGAAGAGGTGCCTCACACACTCAATGGACGTACCTTCCCAGCTTCCAGTGGCAGAATCGTTATTCTTCCGGCAGGTTCATCGCTGGACGTGCCTGCATTATGAAAGCCCATATCCAAGCCCAAACGGTGGAGTCTCGTGACTTCGTCTTTAGAGAGGAAGTCGGGATCTGCATTCAGAAACGCTCCTTCCTCGTCGACAACATATGCCCGCGACTTAGCTCCTAAAGCGACATTGCACCGAAGGTGGAGCGTCGTAGCTGCGGTAGTCAGAGCCACAGCGAGAATTGTACTCTTGGCATTTTTATTGGAGACGCCTCTGCTGGAAGCCATCCTTGCTTTCTTACTTACCTCTCCAAGGCAGGCTTCGGAATAAACAACCGAGGGGACGTCAAATAAAACAAATCTAGTACAAGTACTGAAGACTTCTCAGTAATTTTTTATAAGAAGCAGAAGTCGTGAGAAGGTCGAGTGACAGGAACTTGCGAACAAGTGGCTTTTAGTGACCTTTTTTGCACATCTTTTGTCAATGTTGTTGATGTCAGCAACTAGAACTACCGATCACCATTTGCGATTTCTTCCTCGTTTCTCGTCTTTTTGTCTTTTCTTCTCATCAGGTTGCCATGCTTCTACCGTCTCTCTGTCTCTACATAGTAGAGCGGAACACGTCCTCACAGTGTATCTCCCAGACCACCAGTGCTGATGGCGTACATTCCTGAGATTTCCTTGAAGTCAAGAATGGCGTTCGCTGGCGTCGTAAGAAAAAATCTTAATCTTTCGTCCTCAGTTGTCACAGGTGCAAAAAAAGACTTGTATTCTTGCGGTCATGCCCTAATTCCACTCGCAGTATCTGGGGAATGGTGAATCCAGAAACTTCATTGCTTTGTGCAACGAACAAATGAAGGATGTAAAAGCAAGTGGAACTTCTTCTCATCAGACGCCTAAGACCAGCCTTCAGACGCCGAACGTATTCTGTTTCAGCTGCTGAGCCTGTCCAGCGAGATTGGCCATGTAGTTTTTAGCCTTCGCTAACATGAGTGCGGGACCAGTCTTCATGTACATCCTCTGTTGGTTTCGGGCTTCGGTAGCGGCAGGCGCGAAATCGAGGATATCCTGACCAGGATAACGGCGGTCCAGCATTAACCGCATATCTTCATGGAAATCGTTGCCATCGTGGAATGAAAAAAAAAACGGGTGGTGAAGATCCATGAGATCATAAAAAGTGTATCCCCCACTTTCATCTGCTCCTGCTATGCTAAAATAGAACATGAAGACGATTGAAGCTACAAAGAAACAAGGAAGACGAGGAACTACTCTACCTAGACAGAGTAGACCTTGTATGTTGTCTAATGATAATAGCAAACTAGACTTAGACCTTGCAGAAATCCATCTTCAACAGCATTTTTCGTCCCCTTTTCCCTCGAAAAACGGAACCAAGACGCCTTTGAAAATGTATTTCCTATACCCCTGATAGACATTTTCTTCCTCACGGGCCATAAAGTAGTATATCCGTCGATCTTCACATCGAAAAAGGACACCAGACTCGGCTCCATGTGCGTCTGATTAAACCGGCCAACATTGCTCCCGCTGAAAACATGGTGCGGCGGTGCGTCACAGAACTTGGTAAACGGTGGAGCACTAGCTGTCGGGAGTATGTGGTTTCCGCCGCCCAACGAAAACGTCGCATTCCACAATACCCGTCGCCGCTTCATGTGCTCAATAGCCTTTGGATTCGTCTCAAAGAGCGAAAACTGTAGTTTAAAACAAGGAGCACGACGATGAGAATCGATGCATGCAGTCAGCAAGAAGCGAGCAAGCAAAAGTATGTATCGGTCTTTGGGGTGGAACATACTTCATGTGCTGTTATAGATGATCATCTGAAGCAAGGGAACTTTTGACGAGCATGACTAATTTGAAGTGTAGATTCAACGCATTTGGGTCGTTACGTAATTAATACGCTCACAGCACAGTCGATCTACTTGCGTGCCATGGCAAATCAAAATAGCCAGTAAGCGTGAGATAAATGGTGCCAAGACGAGAAGACATGCATTTTGATCTGCCAAAACTTACTATACTAACTCAGAGATATGAATACCAAATCTAGAGAACAAGGTAGATCCAAATTATAGATACCTTGGTCCCGTCCAGAATCGTGATTGTGACTTTGCTGATTTTTTTCGAGAATATGAATTCTGGGTGGATGCCCCACGACTTGTTCAGAGTCCCTTTCATGCCTTTCGGTAGCTTCTTCCACCAGTAGGAGTTGCGATCGCAGACCAGATATGGAGCATATTCGTCGTTAAAATTGGTACTCCAAACCAGATCCGTGTGCCCTGGGTAGATGACCTTCAGTTGCCGCCCATTGACGCCGTGATAGCTTCCGCGTGAAGGCGGCGGGAGAGACTCAGGCTCGTACCAAGGATAGACACCACTCAAATACGCCCACGGGTCTGCGTTCGCTACGGCAGCAGACGTCATGATGTCTACTGGCGCTTGGTCAAGTTGGATCAACAACAATAGCAAGATGCACGAAACGGAGAGTCCTCATTTTCTGGACGACCTTGTGACGTCCTCGAACCATATTTTTTCTAGACAAGCTGAGAACCTCGTCTGGGAGTGCTTTAACATTCAGCTAGTATGGTTCATAGACCCACACGGACTCCTCAAAGCACCAAGAATACCTCAGCATTTCGTCGTCACTTCGACACCTTCTGAAGAGAACTAATATTCGCCGGATGCGCTGTAGTACTAAAATCACCGCTGGCGTAACAAGGTCAAGGCGAGTCCTCACAACTGCCATTTACTGGCGCAACAAGGTCGTACTTAGTCAGAGTAGATCTCTGTACTTGTACTACTAGTGGCGGACGAGTAGCTAATAGTTAGGGGTGGTGTGTTCCTTCACTATTGGAAAGAAGGAGATCTCCATTTTGGACCGCATAAAAAGTCCATTGCTGAGATCATGAGCACCGATCAACACTGGAGATAAACAGATTCAATCTCGGGTACCGATGCGTTACGACCGACGCGATCATGATTCAAGAACGCCTGCACTGGATAACACATCTTTGTAACTTCGTGTCATACTACAATTCCTTTGTACCGAGTCAACACCGACGTGCGGCGGCCGATTGAAGCAGGCTAGAACTTTCGCCGAGTGACATCAACACCACGGAAGTGAATAGTAGCGTTACACCGAACAAACTAGTACACTGAATCTAGTACTCACAAAGCTCTCTATGCCCCTGAGCAAGCAGAGCTGTTGAGCCTTCCGTTACAATGCTAATGCATCATTTTCCAAATGTTCTAGGCTAGTTACAGCTTCGATGCTTCCTCCCTAGCTGCGATTGCTTCCACGCGCATGATCGTCCTGTTCGAGTCTATATTTTTTCACCATTGCTAGGGAACGAAGATCTCACAAATCACGTGGTAGATCGGCCTTGATGTTGGTAGCATGTGGTTAATTGATGCAGTTACAGAGGAAGCATACTCACATTTTTAATGCATAGATATGGACTATTGGATAAACTAACTCTGTACATCGAGCTGACACTAAGGATGGATGGACACAAAATGGAAATTGAGCAAAACTGAAAAAGACTACTCTGAGTCAAGTGAAAACTACATACGCATCATGTTAATATCAAGAACAAGACTAGCGCACTAGTTACACAGATGATTTTTGCACTGATCCTGCCTAAATACTTACTTATGTTTCATACTTCCTTGGCGCTCGCCATACTAGAAGACTTTCATTGCATCCACTATTCAAAAAACGTCGGGCGACAAAGACAAACTCAGTAATCTACTCTATTTGTTGGATACATTCGAACACAGACTGTTAAGTCGCGTCTAGTTTCTCGGTGAGAAACACTTGAGAGTGATACTGTTTGCACAATTTGCACTCACAGCCTGAGACAAATGATCTCTGGTTGGTCATTTCTCCGGGGCGAGCACAGGACGGGCCGGGCCCTTCCTCTGGGTCGCCGTGTCTTACCTCGTACACAGGCCTTGCCCGGCGGCTTCGCGGCATGGATGCCGTTCCTTAGCCCTCCCAGTGACGGGTGTGCCGAATTCTGACATCAGTCGGATTCGAACCCTGCGTCATTCAGATCCGGAGAAACTGAACTGAGACACTTGACCACTAGGCGAAATGATCCCTGTGGATATTCATTGGGGTTGCAAGGAGGAAGTCTCAGCTTCATCATTGGGATATCATGTTGCATGGGGAAACTTTCATATGGAAACGCTTATGCTATCATCATTGATTCATACGATCATCCTATGTTGATTCTCATCATTGATCAGAACTGACAGTACGTTATGAACCTGATTACAGCTATGAAACATTCATCATTTCTTCTATCTGAATACGTTGAAGGTCCTTTGCCTGATGATCACTGTTTTTGGAACTATATGCATTTAGGTCTGTAGGTTATCTTTGAGATCATTCCGGTGCTGTTTTGTCCTTGACTGTATTGGGAGGCTTGAGCCACAAACGAGAGAGAGAGGAGAAGCCAGAGACACCCGCGCGACGGTAAACCCGTCGGGCGTTTGGATGGTGCTCCGGTAACCTTTTGCCTGGCGATCTTGGTCATTTTGCTGATCTTCATCCTTGTGATCTTTGTGACATTTCGAGGATTATGACCTTGACCAACACCTCTCCTCAATCGTTGCGTGTCGAAGTCCCTAGTCTCTGGACTACCACGGAAGTCATATCTCCTAGCTGCTCTTCTATGGCTACGGTATACTCGGCTAGAAACCAAAATAAACCGAATATACTACACTATAGTAAGCTAAATCATCCCCATTCGTTTCATCGTCTGAGGAATCACAATCATCATGCTCAACTTTAGTTATCGGGTTATCTATATGGTGAAGTAGTAGTCTACGTTGAGACGAACTACATTCTAACTTAGTTAAGCCATCAGCCTTCATTAAGTTAGTTGGACAGAAAACTATCTTACTGGCCGCATCACGCACACGCAAGTAGCGAAGTGCATAATGGCGACTCTTCGGGCGTGTGTCAGTTGCTTTGGCTGTTGTGATCGCGGATTGGTTGTCGATCCAGAGCACAGCATTGTCTAAAGAGGGAGACAAGCCGTTCTGTGTGTGTACCAACTGAGTTGGTAGAGGCCTATAGAAGTCTGTAAAGTCATGCAGTTCACTAAGCACAATAGTGTCAGAAGCTGCAATATATTCACTTTCAGCCGTAGAATAGGCACGGACAGTTTGTCGGTTACTTCTCCAAGCAATTGGAACGCCTTTGAAATACATGATCGATCCACTTGTACTTCTCATAGTCTTTACGCAGTTGGCGAAACCTGCATCACTAAAGATATTCACCTCTGGCATATCTCTGCCTTCAGGTAGTAACTTTGAATAGATTCTATTGAATTCTTCTTCTTGCTCTGGTGAGTATTCCAGTCCTTGGTCTCTCGTTGTCACCAGATACTTTAGCACTTTTCTGGCTGCTTTAACCATTCTTGTTGACGCGGGTTTGCTGACATGTCTAGCCAATGCTGCCACCGGTACAGAAATGTCCGGGCGCGCGGTTACAGCTACCCATAGCAAGGCACCAACTACCTCACGAAAGGGATACCCTTCGACTATCTTGATCCCCTCCTCAAGAAAAGCCGACTCGTCAAAATTGGGCGAGTAAACCGGTTTTCCGACATCAATTTCGAATTTCTTTGCGATTTTATCAATGTACTCCTCCATATTGAGCCGAAATGTTCGAGCTTCACGGCAGTAGTACACGATGGCACCTAAGAAGTCGAACCTGAGCCACGTTTGACCCCAAGGGGTTGGAACGGACTCCACATCAATCGCACGGCCAGGGGCACGCGAGAAGATGAGTTCTAGTTCGGTCTTGAGCTCATCAAGATCAGGACCCGTTGCAAGATTGTCATCAACATAGACTGACATCTTGAGGAACTTCCCAGGTACCTTCGCACTCGGCTTTCTCCATAAGCCTGGCGCAGAATCACACGGCTCCCAGCCAATACTGGCTAGTATGTCGTGATATTTCTTGAACCATGCTCGTGGTGCGTCCTTCAAGCCGTATAAGGCCTTCTTGAGCTTCACGATCTCGCGTCCATGCTTCTCTGCCCAGATGGGTGGGAGACGGCAGAAGACATCGCGATCGAGTTCAGCATTGAGGAACGCAGAATCTAAATCGAACGGGATCACATAGTCCTGTTCTGACGCAGCAGATGTCAGGAGCAGCCTATTAGCGGCGTGTGAAACTACGGGAGCAAAGGTGTTTAGCTCTCCTGAACGATCTAGATTACCGAGGACACAAGCGCGAGCCTTGTATCTTCCACATCTTTTAATAGTTAGAATTATGGCAATTGGTAGAGCCTGTCGCGCGGTCGCAAGCTCCTCGTCAGAAGCTTCTTTCCACGTTTCAAAGGCTAGTAGTCTCGCATGCTCTTTGTCAATAACCTCCCGCCATTTGTCGGCATCAGGAGACTTGAGTGCTTGAGCAACGGACAAAATCACATATGATTCGACGAATTCCTCATCTTCGTCTAATTCACACGTGCCACCTACTGCACTAGCGAACAGCGCCACATTCTTTCTCAGTTCTTCTAACTGTTTCTTTGTTCTTCGAACCCTGCTGCCTGCTTTGTCCTTCGCTCCTTTTGGTCGGCCACGCTTCTTGACGTGTGTACGGCGTTCGCCTGCCACAACACGTGCTGGAGAAGGCGCTTTCGACTTAGACGGACTTAGCGGAGCAGATGTCTCGCGATCCTTCGCTTCAGCATTCCCCTCCTCAAGTGAAACACCTTTTGGAGAGTCAGCTGCGTTGGATTCCTCTACTTTATCCAGTGTCTCAATAAATAATTCGTCGGAAATCGCGGTCGGTCCACCTGGAATGTGCTCCGTGCCAGAGAACCCCGATTGATGATCCAGCCTTTGCACTGACTGTCCAAGCAAGGGGGAGCCCAGCGACGACGCGCCACTCTGCAGATTTTCCAGTTCGTCATACTCAATGTAGATGCCCTTCTGATCTGGCAAAAGCCAATCGATATTTTTAATTAGATAGTCCTCTCTGAACTTTACATCTAGGGTAGAGTATTCCGCCCATCGATGTCCAAGCTTGCAACGATCGTCATGAGCGAAAGTTCCAACCAACCAACCAGACGACTTCGGACAGAGTCCAAGGAAGACGCCACGGCGGTACTTGGCCGAGAGCTTGGGTTCAGGAGTGTTGGCTTGAATTTGTTCACGAAAGTAAACTAGACAACCAAATCGGCGGAGCATGCCGATTGAACTCTTCGATGAGTTTCTACCAGTCCTTTCTTCTAAGATTTCAATTGGACTCTTTCCATCATGTTGAGGCATTTTTGCATAGTTATGCGGTAAACGATCCCAGCAGTCACCAGCGTACTCGACGCAGTAACACCAGAGGCGTTTATCAACTTTAGTCAGCATTGTGCGTACACTGCCGAACAAAGTCCGCATAAAACGTTCGCAGGTCCCATTCATCTCCGGATTATAAGGAACAGCCGGACTGTCTGAGACTCGCAGCGATTGCATAACTTTGGTCATGTCATCACTGCTCAGGACAGGTTCTCCATCCCTCCGGAGGAACCACACTACCTTGTCATCAAGTGATAAGGAGTAGTCCTGGCGAATGCCTTTGATAACTTCTTCTATTTCCTCCACACAGTCACTTTTCAGCTTAAGCGGTCGACAGAACACCTTCTTAATTACATCACAGATGATCACTAATACACATCTCTTTGACCTGACTGATACGGGTTTGATTCCAACAGCAAAGTCGATTGCTAGTAACTTCAATGGTTCAGGTTTGTAGTTCGAAGTATCTCTAGCTTTTGCATGTGGTGCGCGTTGGCCTTTATGTAGATCACACTCAGGGCAATTTACCTGGAGGCCATCTATATGAAAGTGCCCACATCTTCTATGAAGTTCGAGTCTTGTAAGGTAACAACTACTGACTCCTTCTTCTACTGTTGAACAAATATAACCACTATCAGTCTCTTCTTTAAATAAGTTGCATGCAAGTATGGGAAGCTGCAAGCGTGGATGACTTCTTATGGGTATGGCCTGGCCGGTGTCCGTATGTACGAGACAACCACCTGCGCCTTTGAAGTTGAATTCCCATCCTAATTGCGAGCAGTTCCCTTCACCTAACCAAGGTATAATACGATCTAAGTCCTTTGGTAGTGAATCATAATAAACACCATACTGGAGCCCTAAGATGTTTGACTTTAGTTTTCCTACTCTTCCGTCTTTACTTCCAGCGCTACCAGTAATCCTACAAGTTCTCATAGTTATTTCACTAAAATCGTCTTTGTGTCTTGAAAGATATTTGTTTGCACAACTATCGACTAGACTAACTTCTTCTCTTGTAGTAATGGAACTAGTTGAAAGACTATGTCCCACAAGTTTTACCTCCCCTGTATTATTTACGTTTATTTCTTCACCCTCATCTTCATCCAAGTTCAGCGAGCAAAATCCGCTTTCCACCGGTTCCGCAACTCAGCTCTGCTTTCCGCCGTTGAGAGCTTGCCACAGCTCCGCAACTTGGGACATGTGAACCATGCCATTACCCTTTCCACCTTTACCCATAGCACTACTAGATTGGGAATTGGTGTTCCAGTTCCAGTTTGCCTGGTTCTGTGGATTCTTCCAACAAGACGCGGATTTGTGACCCGGTTTGTTGCAGATCCAACAGACTGGACGGGTGTCTTGTTTTCCAGAACCTTTATTATTTTTGTTCTGCGGCTTTCCTTTGCCGTTCGAATTGGAGGCATAGACCTCGGCGGCGATCTTCTTCTTTGTGTTTGCCTTGAAGCGCTTGAGAGCACTTTTAGACAGAAAGATCTTACCACCTTCATTGGCCTTTTCCTCGTCATCCTCCTCTTCACGAGAACGTTTATTCGAGGTCTCCTGAACATTGACCGGGAACGCCTTCCCGAAGGAATCGTTCTCAACTTTGTAGGTTCCCTCCTCGATCAACGTCGCAAGACGCTTTTCAAGTCGGTCACCAATCTGGTCAAATGTCAGACCATCTTCTTCCTGCATGCGTTCGATCGTTGCCTTGAAGTTCTTGCAGAACAGCTCGGGCAACTTCTGTAGCAGTGCACCATTTTGTTGGTCACTTTCTGGCACTCCTGCTTCCGGCGGGTACACGGTGGGCGACTGGTTCATGATGTCTCGGACTTTCGACAAGAATCCTGTGACATCTGCAGGTTGATCCGCGTTGTGGAACTTCAACACGCCATCCGTAAGCGGTTTTACTTTCATCCGTTGTTCCTGACGGTTGTTTTGATCGAAGTGTCCTACATCACGAAGGAGCACAACAACCTCACCTGCATCCATCGCATCCACCTGCCCATTATCGTTCTGGTTGTTGATGAACGACGCAGCGGCACCTTTCAGACTACGAATAATCGCATCTTTCAGGTTGCGCCACTTCTGCCGAATTGTTTCCTCCCGATTGGTAACTCCGTTAGGAATACCATGAGGAGCTGCCGGAATGCCGACTACATTCGTGTAGTTTTGAAGCAGGCCGAGACGGCTAGCTTCCTGACGTATGGCAAGTTGCCATGCTCGCCAGTCGGACTTCTGTCCGAGTTTCTTCGAAATTTCTTTCGCATCGCAGGACATTTTGAAAAGTTGTTTCTAGATGGATTTCTACTCTATACTTAGCTCAAGGGTCAAAGTAGTGTTGGATACATTCGAACACAGACTGTTAAGTCGCGTCTAGTTTCTCGGTGAGAAACACTTGAGAGTGATACTGTTTGCACAATTTGCACTCACAGCCTGAGACTAATGATCTCTGGCTGCTTTGATCCCTGTGGATGTTCATTGGGGTTACATGGAGGAAGTCTCAGCTTCATCATTGGGATATCATGTTGCATGGGGAAACTTTCATATGGAAACGCTTATGCTATCATCATTGATTCATACGATCATCCTATGTTGATTCTCATCATTGATCAGAACTGACAGTACGTTATGAACCTGATTACAGCTATGAAACATTCATCATTTCTTCTATCTGAATACGTTGAAGGTCCTTTGCCTGATGATCACTGTTTTTGGAACTATATGCATTTAGGTCTGTAGGTTATCTTTGAGATCATTCCGGTGCTGTTTTGTCCTTGACTGTATTGGGAGGCTTGAGCCACAAACGAGAGAGAGAGGAGAAGCCAGAGACACCCGCGCGACGGTAAACCCGTCGGGCGTTTGGATGGTGCTCCGGTAACCTTTTGCCTGGCGATCTTGGTCATTTTGCTGATCTTCATCCTTGTGATCTTTGTGACATTTCGAGGATTATGACCTTGACCAACACTATTACTTGTACTTCTGCTGCTAGATTTTCTAACAACTACTACTTACGTGCTATTTCTTCAACATATCCGGTTCCGATCAGTGGTCACTCACACTCTCTGTGTTAATTGCCTCGTCATTAAGCTATAGAACTTGCGTCTAGAAGACCTAACAAACCTACAATTTGCAAATGAAGTTTCCTATACCTAGTGAGGTGTAATAACGATAGCAATCATAGATAGTCTCGGAAATTTTAGTCGTTCCTGCTGTTTTCCAGTAACACTTTTGGACATGTCACCCCCCTAAATGTGTTCGACGCGAAATAGTTACACGACAGCAACATACACAAAAGTGAGGGCGAATCGTCGACGTCGACAAAAGTATAATTAAAAACTAGAACTAAGGTACACAGGAAATGATACGCCACTTAGACCTGCAAGGACAATCCAGTCCGGAAACAAGATGACTAAACCTGATATCAAAGACATATCTCAACAGGACGTCTTCACCTTGCTAAATCAGGAGCATCAACCTCAATAAGAATGATTTTACTGGCGGTGTTGATGTGCTTAGTCGGTCCGGATTTCTTTAGTACAACTAGTTACCCACTCATACCTACATCAAGACTCTTTAGACTCTAGGCTTATTATAATACTATCATGTCTCGCTATATATTAAATCTTAGACTTCTCTACAAGCCTTAGAAGTACTATGTGTTCGTAAATTCCGATTAAAAGTGGTTGCTGCACACTTCCCTTAAGTGATCCGCGGTGAGATCATCGACGCCGGTTACGTACTGGAGTCGTTTCTCATTGTGAGAGCCCATCATCATCGCCATTAGCAGGACAAGAAAATACAGTCCATTGCCCCAGAACATTCGAAAGATGACATCCTCGTCCCAGCTGAACAGGTCTTGGAACTGCCCCAAAGATTCGGTCCAGGACTTCACACCTTGAGAAATTGAGTCGAAAAACTTCCAATAGAAGGCGCGGATTAGTTGTAGTACATCAGTAGTACACACAAGAAATATCATTTTCGTTATAAAGATTATATTTATGGTAACTTTTATGAATGGGACTGGGAAGACGCAAGAACAAGATCGATTGCAGTACCTCTAAGGTGCACCTTGAGCGTGATGAGGCACCAGGTGAATCCATCTGCGATCATGAGTGCCAGAATATAAGCGACAAATCGCAGGTCGAGACTAGGCTTTCCGACTAAATCTCCGTCGTCCCGAGGGTAACCTGGCAGAAAAGCGGTGTTGCTCTGAACTGACAGTGCGATGGCAATGGCCACACCCACCGAAGTGAACAGTTTCGCTGCCATCCGCACCTGGAAACGAACAAAAACCTCCTTTTGCCAAAATTCCATCAGAGGCATGACCAGTTCGACCTCATCGTCGGTGACGGGGAATAAATAGCGAGAAGGAACGTCGCCTAATCCACGAATACCACAACCCTTGACACGCGGGAATCTGGTGTATAATGAAAAAGGAGTATGAGAGAGGTTTGCCAGAATGAACCACTACTAAGAAGTGTCCACCTGCTCCTATACAGAACTGTATGAATCGTTCTTAGTAAAATAGATCAGCTGGTTACTTTGGAACGTTGTCCGCGATCATCCTTGTGTTTCCGAAGGTCATGCGTCGCTTGTATTTGACGTCATCGTCGCTGGCGGTCGAGACGCGTCGAGTGAGCACCTGACTCATGGAGAGACTCGCACGTCGATTCTTATCTCCTACCGAAGCTTGCCTTTTCACCTCATCGACCGTCAAAATGTGAGCACTGCGTTCGTTTTCGCGGTCGCAATCAAAACTGACCCACCAACAAATCACACTGTCGATTCCGCAACGGTTTAACTGTGGTTTGTTTCACGAGAATAGTAAAATGGGAGTCAGTTTGAACTGCATCAGGCAGTATGTTGTTGTTGGCAAAGCTCGTTCTTATAGTTATACGTCTTCGAAGAGAGCCAATACCAAGAAGGAAGAACCTGAAGACCTCTTCAGCAGTGAATTTTCGAAGATCTATGCGTATTGGATACAACTACGGTTCTGCAACAACAGTGGTGTTGTATTAGTACCTTCCTCCACCAGTTAACCATGTGTACTGCATAGGTCTGCCACGTGTTGAGTTCCATATCGGCTGGACTCATCTTTTGGTTCTGGTCAAGCTTCATCAAAAACACCTGAAGGGATTCTTGATACTTGAAAGCAAAAACCCAGAAATCCGAGCAAACATCTTTCGATAGCGTGCACGCAAACACCACGGGGTGGACCCGCAACAGCACGGAGCGTCCGTAGGCAAAACGAAACATATCCAGGACAACGTTGAAGCACGCACGCGCGCACGCCAGAAAAGACTCGCGAGCGCGTCGCGAGTGGATCTCCATCGCCACCATCTTTGTCAGACGCAAATACTGACGCGCGACCAGCGTGGCTCCGAGAGGCATGTAGAAGGAAAAGCCAACGTAAACCAAGAAAAAATCGAGGAGGATCTTCTTCGCCGTCGCCTGTCAAAGATGTGAGGGTGAGATGGAACAAGAAGGGCTAAATGTTTATGAACTGGATTCTAATTGCGGATACTTAGTACAATAGTTGTGTGCATTAATTATGGTGGTAAATCGCTTTTAGAGAAGTGTTGAGTCAGTTTTCATGCGTAAGTGCCGTATCTTCCGAAACGTAAAACGTCTTCTGTGATGGAATGGCACTTGCAACAAAAAGGCACTCCTACAGTCTTCAACACTTCGAAGATGTTTTCTCTTTCATACATCATCTTCACAACAAACATACATATCATAGTACGTCTTCTTTTTCGAATTTACGCGCCCAAGGCACCCAACCGCTCTCCACGATGGCAATACCCATGAGAAAGTAAAGGCCCATGGTCAGAATGTAGAAACTGGCACGAAAAATACGCGGCCACATGCCCTTAGGCGGACGATACCCCCAGGATGCACCCGCGACAGCAGAGAAAGCAAATGGTAGCGCAGCTGTGCAAACTGCTCGGAACACCCACTGAAATGAGAAAGAAAGAGAGTACGAAAACATTATACATATGAAGTTCTTAATCTATTGAAAGTGCTAGAGAGAGAAGAGAGAGAGAGAGAGAGAAGCCAATGCTTCTCGTAGGTTTTCTCACGAAAATGAGGAATGTCGTGAACATATAGTACGTAGCTTTGTAAACCAATATCTTCAAGACATGCGCACTGGATAGCACACTCTACTTCCGACAAGAAGAATAAAATTTCTAAGCCAGCCACGATCATCTTCAAACGAATATGAAGGGACTAGATTTTTGACTGAGTAAGGTTCAAATAAACCACCTTTATCGTGGTACCTGTGAATCGTAGTTTCCGTTTTTCCAATAGTGCAGGAAACCGAAACTAAACACCGTAGGCTGAATTATCAGGAAAAGGGCGCGCCACATCCAGAACGTTTGTCGCGGCATCACACGCCAAATTTTCAACAAGATCCAGATACCTGATAACAAGGGTCATACTCTTCTTAATGTAGTAGTTTTAGAGAAAGATACTAGACGCTCCACTGGAAAGACAGTATGGCTTTGCAGCGTACTGCTGCGAGCAGCAGCATCATGTTTGCTCCTGTTGCAATCGTTTCGTGACTACCGTAGAAGCTGTTTACAAGGGGTATTCACTAATGTACAGGATAAGCAGCCACAAGTTGAAACTCGTCTTCCTCTTTCTATCAAAAAAATACAAAATTTCAAAGTACCTCCATAGTTGAGAAAGAAAAGCAGTAGCCATGACTCCCATATAGCACCACTGGTGACTGAAGGGAATACGAAGCGAAAGTTTTTTATGTCTTCTAGTTCCTTGATGTCGCACCGAAAATCGGTTCGCACCCAGCCTTCCTTCGATTCATGCCATCCGCATTTCGTGTTCGCTATACAAGTTCCCTCCGTAGTGAGCAAGCGGCACACTGATTACAGAAAGAGAGAGTGAAAGTGATGTTATTCAGTATATACGGCGATAGGAAGCAAATGCTGATGGCGTAATGTTGATGTCAGGGGGCAACGGCATAGGCAAGGTGGTCAGTCACTCGCAATACAAGAAATACTTTAAGTATCTATAATATCTGAGGTGAAATACCATCCGAGTCTACCGCTTTCGCTGCGTCCTTTGTACGAAACGCCGAAATAATGTCACTAGTTTCGAAGAAGCATCCACCTGTTGCGCGAAAGACGCACCATACAACGAAAACTATCGTCGGAGGAACGATCAAACGGACCTGATGCGTTATGAATTCAGCACGTGGATCCTGCCAAGTTTTCTGCTTTTCTTAGACTTGATCGGTATGGGTTTGTAAAGCAGAAATTCTGGAGGTTCTAAAAATGCACAATAAATCTAGATTTCTTCTTCGAGATAAATCTAGTTGATCCTTGATTTCTTCTTCGAGATGAATCTTCCCTGGCATGAGAAGAATCAACCCCCGTCCGCTACACCAACTCAACCAAACATATCAACCATCTCCTACTTCGAGGATTTTCATAATTTTGAAAAACTGAGACTGTTTTCCGCATGCTTATTCGTCCGGTAGATAGCTGATGCCCGCCAGAAGAGAGCTCCGACGTCGTCTTGAAGACCTGCATGGAGGCTTCGATATCCGTGTAGTCCTTCAAATCTTCCTCATCTTCCGCTAAAAGCACTGGCGCGACCTCTGCGGAGTTCCCAACCGGGGGCTCCGCTCGCTCTAAATCTGTATCACCCATTTTTCTGTTTTTCTCACTATAATCACTATAATCTGAAGCTCTGGGACTATAATGATGCTTATGCGTTCCAACTGTAGCTTTTTTCCGTTCCGAAAGTAGAAATCCTAATCTTTGGTTTGAGGAGGTTCCTTCGTGAGCGTGCGGAGATGAATTAGGTCGCTTACTGTCGTTAAGACATTGCTGAGAGGGCAAAACCACGCGGCTATTGTTCACTGATGTCGAAACTATATTACCTAGCGAACTGCTGATTACAGTAGTGCTATGATTGTCCTCGCTTGAAACAAAGTTAGGGCTTAGTACATGATCACGTCGTTGTTCTTTAGTACTATCTGTATCACCATGATCTTCAGTGAGACTAGTATCGCTATTGTTCTCCTTCTCCTCCTCCAACTCCATATTAGTATTAGGACAGTCCTCAGCTTCGCACATGACATCCGGAAAAAAATCATCATTGTCATCATCTGCACTCCCAAACAGAGCATTAACCATCGCAGTCACTACGGAAGAACCACGACGGCGCTTCTTGTTCCCTTGTGAATTCTTCTGGGTAGTTGTCCTTGTGGTCGTTTCGGGAGCACCCACAGCATTTTGAATCTTTGGGAGGCCTTTCTTTTTCTCCTTGCTTCCACCAGAAGCAGAAGTAGAATTATCTCTAGTCCCTTTTACTTGCAAATGCACGTCTTCCACACAAGAAGCAGCACTGGTCGCACTGGTAGTACTCGTCTTAGAGTGCTTTCGAACCGCAACAAGGGTATCTCCGTCAGCGCCTAGAGTCTGCGCAATTATATTACTACTGCGAATGTCACTAAGATTAGACCTTTTACTTATGAATATTCATCTTGGAGAGCATCTTTGGCGCGCTTTTCCCTGCAAAAGGGACCAAAGTAAGATGCTTCTTAAGATGGATTACAGTAAGCCTTACTAGGACTTATTTGATTAACTTTCACCGCACGGGCCGAATCGTCGCCACGTCCGCTACCTGGAAGCTGCCCTTTAATATTTCCATGATGAGGTGGAGCTGATTCTTGGGGTGACGATGTCATCCCGTTCTTGCTAGATGATCTCGCTGTACCACGACTCGCACTACGACCAGGATCTGAAGGCGCAGCTAGTAGTAGATGTAAAGCTTCCTGGCGTTCACGCGATGACGTACGGTCCCTAGAAGATGGAAACAACGCGGTCGTCGTGCCTCGAGCCCCAGCACCAGCTGTAGTTGCAAGAACCAGAACAACTTCGTTCTCACCTTGCAGATGTCCCTCGTGACCTTGAGTCGTCGACGTCGACTCTTCTTCACTACTACCACATTCGTCTGAGGCCTCTGCGATAACCTCTAGGTTCGCTGGTCTTTCGCGTGATCGCGTTCGGCTGCGACAACTACCATGACTGGCACAATCATCGAATTCCAAAGTGGTTGGCAAATTCAAAGCAGTTTCTTTCGTGGACAAAACCGGTGGTTCTTGTCGGTTTCCTGTGTAAGGAGAAGGACAAGAAGGTGAGCCGTTAACGCTGAGATTCGCTGGCAAAGACGAACTTTTCTCTTCCGGTGCACTCATTTGCAAGGGTGATGCTAGAGTGGTTGGCGATCATGAAGAGCGTGGTGAATCTTTCTTCACACGGCTTCGCGCAGGAGCACCACACTGCCTCCTCTTGATAGTACGTAGTTATGGCACGACACTGTTCGCCAGGAAAAGCTCTCTAGAAAGTGTGCACTGTTCTTCACTACTACCGGAGACCCGCTGGCAGCAACCATGAGATAAATAACAGTCGGCAAACCGAACCAATGACACAAATCACAACGGTTCTGGGTTTTTCAGACGGAAACGCTGGTCATCGTGTCGATATACATAGATAAAGAAACTAAACTGATTTTTCATATTCTAGGAAAAGAAAAATTGATATTGAGAAGCATGAAGAGGATATGATTACACAAGGACTAACGGAAGGTCTGCAGGGGAATTTTTCATGACAAATCTTGGAAGATCCCTATTGCACTGGACCAAGCGTCAGAACGTAACACTACCATGATGTGTAAATATTGCGGTACTTTATTCTCCAGAACGATCTACATCTTCCTAGTATGCTTCATCATCACTGCATCCGTACTGGTAATCCGGTACCAGCGGCGTAGACAGAAGCAGAAAAAATGCAAAACTCTACTTCTCACTCGACAGCTGTTTTCCAACATTCCTCGCTCGGTTAGACTCCTCTCTCAGGATCCACAAAAAAACAAATCTCCGTCCATATTCAACTGAGTCTCCCGCTGATTGGCAAAAAAGTGAGCATGTCTAAACAAAAAGAACCGACATGCAACCGTTTGTCAATCAGCATGTCAATGCTACGGTCTGCTTGTACACCGATTTGCAAAAACTGTCGAAAAACGTTATGTCTATTTTCTATGCATATGTTGGTGGTCCCGCACAGATAGTTTGTGACTTGTTGATCGAAAGGTGAAAAAACGCTGAAAGAACACAACGAATGACAGAGGAGCAGACAGACCAATGATATGAGTGAGAGTGCTCCAACATGTCGTCCCTAGTTTCGCGGTATTATCTCTTCAGAGTCATACAAGTTTATTCATCCAAGATTTTTGTACAGCGGTTGATGCCGTTTCATCTTCATATAGAAGACCAACATCAGAAGAACTAAAGGAGTCATAGAGAGCCACTCGAAAGTGGATCATACAGATGTCATCTCTTTGCATGATCACAGGGACACAACAGAAGAGGGTGATTAGCTACTGCTGGGACACAACAGGAAATGAGGGTTAGGGGCGGACCGGAAAAATGAGCAAAAATGCATGGAATACAAGAAAGTATTAATTGGGATCGGCCTATCAGTGTTCATTAGATTTTGAAAATAGAATGCAAGTTGTGGACGACTTCTGAGTTCTGCTATAAAAATGTAAATGATATGATCAAGGCCGGCAAGAGTTCCCGTTCGCAGCGTTATGTACTTACATATCAATATTTTAAGATGACCGCCACTGCTTTCATTAGTCCTTTTAACTTTTTACAAGCACTATTCGCCCTATGACTACCATATGCGTCAGTCTCCGGGTCGATTTGCTCCGAAATTGAGTTTTGGTGGTTTTTTCGACGCAGGCATGACACCTGGCGCTCGCCAGCTATTTCGTTTTTGTGGAGATGTGCTTGTAGTCCCAGCCGTGTTTGACGGTGATATTGGCATAAATTGGTCTCTATCTCCTGTATCTGCGCGTCCTCGCGCTGACGACGTTGTAGCTCCTCCACCCGGTGAGTACTGTCGTACCTTCTGCATTTTCTGGTCGGGAACGCCCAAAGTTCGATTTGTTTTCAGGCCAAAGGCACTTGTGCCAGGTCGGTTTGGAGAGCCACCTGTATTTACAGTTCGGCCGCCTCCTCTGCCGCGTCCCATGTCTTCCTCTGCCGAACTCGAGCTTGACGATGAGGTGCCAGATGAGCTACTAAAGTCGATGTCCGTTCGCGCTTGTGGCTTCTTCGGCGCCTGCTGTGCAGCCCGACTGGCAAAAAAACCTTTATCTCCAGGTCCTTTTTTCGAAGAACTTCTAGTCGAAGACGCTGCGCTCTTCTGTTTTTTCAAATTCTCTTCCATCTGAGCGCGTACTTCATCGATTATCTTCTGATTGTTTCTATTGTTCGTTCCAGATGAACCAGACGCGCCTCCTTGTTGGTTGCTTTTAAGGATGCTCCTTGGCAGGTCCTCGTCTTGGTGTTCCGCGTAAGCTCCTGCACCAAGCTCGGTGCGGATCTGGGTGCCCTCGCCTGTTGGCAGTCTCACTTCCAAACGCGGCATCATCAGACCACGTGCCGTCGTGCCATCGCCTGCCTGGCCGGATAGAGCTCCACCAGCCAGTCCTAAGAACTGCGCAGGTCCGGACCCGTGCAACAGTGCAGGAAGGATGCCGTGTGCGAAGAGCAGCATTAGCAAAGAGCTGCTAAAAGAGTGCGCCACGTCGCTGCTTGTTTTAGAGCTGACCCTAATCCATCGCCGGACTCATCTCGTTGGACCTATTAGTTTTCACCCTTTTATGGGGCCGACAGGTCTAAGATCGATGCTTCAGAAGATGGATTAGGGTGAGCCATAATTGTCAACGGTCCTGCGTCGTAGTCGATGTCGCTGCTCGCTAGCAATAGCAGGCACACCAGGGTAAACCCGAAATCCTCAACTGCAGACATGGATTGCCTGAAAAAGCGCTTGCCATGAAAGGCGCGCCACAGGGCTTCCGCATCCCGACCGCCTCCGGAGTGTATTCTCGATTCCCCTGAGGCCGCCGTGAAGCTTGTGCCGGCGTCGCTCACCATCAGGGGTGCGAACACGCTCGCTGGGAAGACAAAGAGCAAATAAGAACCGCATTCAGGCTTCTTCTCGCGAGCCCCACGATAATGGACGTGAAAACGCCTGGACCCGAAGTTGTCCACGAACATAGGGTACAATCCCAGTCTTAAAATACTCCAACCGAAGATGCATGAACTCCAGCAAAGTAAAACCACTGCGAAATGCTGCATGTTATTCACGAACTCTGTCTGCCCGTCTCCGCTAATCCGACTCAAATTCTTCGTCAAAACCGCGTCGGACAAGAAATCGTACCTGGTCCAGTGAAGAAGTCATGATGAGGTTTTTATTCGTTGTAAGTATTTTTCTGTATATCAATTTATTATCCGTTCTCTGGGGATCCAAAACAAAACAACTGTCACTAACTACAGGGTTGCACTTGATGAAGTTCCGAATCACCTTCGGAGAGGACACATGGAACATGCGGTCTTCTATGAAAGCTTTTTCGGAAAAGAAATCCTTGTCCTTCTAAGATTCACCTCAGACGACCTCACCTTTCCATGTCCTGTATTCTAGTACTCATATAATTTTTCGTACCATTGCAAAAACTCGAATCCGCTCATCAACAGTCTCTGACGTGTTGTCAGTGTTTCTGGAAAACTTAGCTCTTCATGGTCTCCACGACAGCCGCTGGTTGTCATCCAGCCGACTGCGACCATGAAGATACCGAGAAACGTCATCCCCGCAACGAAACCCCCTGAAATTGGGTCTTCATCACTGCGCATACGCACGGGCGGTCGGGGAGGCGGATTCGTCGTTGTATTAGAGAGGAGAGGACAATGGATAGTTACAACAGTAACCGTCTTTTAATGTTGAGATGAAATTGTCGTGAGGACCTGAGTGACTGATCATCCTTGTGCGTTTAGCAGATTATACATTCTTCGCGGATAGGAGGATGGATACATAGTTCTATTACTTTCTAACAGCTTTTCGTGTTGATGTAGCAATATTAAAACAGGAAGCTTAACTGTCGGAGCTGCAGCCGCCGCTTGTGGCATACCGGCTGAATCCTTATACCAATTCTGCAGAGTATACTGCTTAGCCGCAAAAGCATCGTATGGACCCTGGATTCGATGAAGAAGAGAAATAATCACATCAAGCGAGGATCTGATACTTATTGATTCATCGAACAGGATTTTGAATTTCTGTGTTCACAAACGCAATAAATATACTCATGCACAGTTGCCTATACCCAGTCTGTCTATGTATGGTAGACTAGTAACGGGTTCCAGTTCGTCTTCGTCCTGTATAAACCCTATAAATGTCAATCTCGTAGGCCTTAGAACTTAAGTGAAACGACTGCTCTTCTAAAAAATGAAAGGATAATCTACCTGCTGCGGCGCCATCTTCATCTTTATCGTTCCTGTCTGGAGTTCGCAGAAGACGTCGTAGGTTGCGCCATGGTGCAGATTTCGGATGTTTGCCGTGCAGTCTTGTCCAGTCGGGCAGAAGGCTCGATCACTTCCGCGCACCGGTAATGGACGGCCGTTTTTCCCTAATTGGTTCTCTGAGACGCCCGCTGGCTGTGCGAAACACTGGTACTGGATGGCGCGCCAATCGAGATTTCGCACCGCCACGTGACCTATGCCCCAGTCGACATCGATGACGCCGAAAGTCGGTTTGAAAACGATCGCGATCTGCGACGTCTGCGCACTGTAGTAGCGGATGTGACGCGGCTCGTGCAGATCGCTGTCCTCCTGGCATTCAAAGGCGAACTCATGATTCGGCGGTACCTGCTGCGGATGAAACTCCACCACGCAAGGCTGGTCAGATCGCAGACACAAGGCTGACGCACGTGCGAGCGAGCTTATCGTAGTCAATTTCCGCCCATCTACATGACTCGTCTTATGCGTTGGTGGTTTCACCTGCCAAGCACGACCTGCAGGCGCATGGATCCTGGTACCTTCGAGTTGCTTCTCGTTCCCATCATTTAATAGTGCTCTACTTGTTGCACTTGCCATGATAGCACCATCTCCCTCGAATGAAGATGATGGGAGGGCTAATATGGCTTCATCAATCGCACCCTCATCCAACAGTCGTCGGGTTGGCGAAGCTCCTACTCTGCTTTTCGAGCCAACGATCGTGCATTTCACTGTTGGCTGACCACCTGAGTGCACGAATTCCTGAGGGTTGAGCCATAGTCCCAACTTGACCTTGCTAGCGTAGACACGCGTTGCAGACCCAGAAAGGCTGTCGATGAGCGGGGGAACCTGTTCCCAGACACACTGGACATTGTAGCCGTAAATTGGTCCGTCGCAATCGCACCCTCCTGACATTGACTTGCCGTACCTATAGAAAAATCGTCCAAAAAATAATACAAGTTGGTCCATTTATAGATAGACAATTATTGGCTTCTGCGTTGTATGTTTAAACAAACCTGTTTTGGAGCAAAATTAGTGGACCGATGCGAAATCGAAAATATGTCAATCAGTGATGTAAAAGAAGGAGTACTCTCCTTTTCCGTATTTGCGAACGGTATTGTTTCCGCAGCGACACTCTCCCATCATTTGCAGGCCAAAGTAATGAAAATCGCGACAGAGATATGCGCACTCTCCTTCCGTATGGTAGTTGCCGTCCGGTTTGTCGGTTGCGTTCATTTGTGTCGGCAGGTCCCGTCGTACTAAATGGTCCCGATAGCAACCCGAGCCCCCGTCCGCTGCGCCTAGCTGCTGAAGCACCGGTCCGCGCAAAGTCCGCAATTCCCGTTGGTACTGGATATGCAGTGTCCCGGCAATGTCTTCGACGCCGCAATACACCCTTTGCGTCAGATTTTGCGGCAGCTCCTTGATCTGCGCCTCACAAGTCGGTGGCGCGCATGCCTGGCTGAGTCGCTGCTTCCTTAGTGCATTTGCGCTCATGTCTGTCGCGGCCGTGACTTGACTTGCAGCTTCTGGCGGGAAGGCCCTCGATCGCGGGTCCTCACTGTAGGCTGCGCAGATCAAGGTCCCGCCGGGATTGGAGATGCTCACCCGCATGGCGAGCACATCGTAGCGGTCAACATCCTGGATTGCGATTGAAGTGATCTGACCCGGATCCGGACATGCAGCGACGTTGCACGCCTGCTCCTTCACTTGCGTCGTAGGATCGTAGTCGCTGCACCGGCGGCTGATAGTGGTAGGTGGTCTAAATGAAAACAATGGATGAACTCGGACTCGGAGAAGGTATGAAGCAAGGGACAACAAAAAGCTCACCAAGTTTCCTAGCTGTACAAACGAGTTTGAATCAAGTCTCTACCGTGATCAATCCATGAAGATAAATCAGTGGAAAAGGAACTGCCTGTTACTTAGTAAGTACAATGGATAAGTTCCCCCATCACTGCCCTTGCATTTCACTGTCCGCGTTTGCGTTCCTCCACCGCACATCTTACTGCAAGTACTCCAGGCACCCAGCTCTACTCCGAAAGCCACTCCACGATTAAACAGATCAAAGTCTGCGAAGCCAACCTTTGTTCAACAAAAGAAACGATGTTATAAAGACACAATCAATTATCATTAAGATCTTTGTTTAGTAAAGTCATATCAGGGACGATGTCATAAAATAAAAAGTAGAGCAAGAAAGGAAAATGAAAACAACTAAGACAGAATTCGCTTGTCTCCACAGGATCGACAAAGAGAAAAAGTCGACTCAGTCATTGCTATCGACAAGACCCGACAATTTTCACGAAAAGAGTGTGATGAAAAAAATTAAAATTTATAAGCAATGGGAAAGAAGATCAAAATTACCTGTGCCGGATAGGTGTGGGTCTGCAGCATCTTTGCGTTGTTATATGTAGTGTCGCCAACAGCAAGGAACTCGATTCTGTAGAAGCCCCATCTGTTTGGATCTACGATTTCATCGTTTGTGGGAATCACGAGCCCTGCAGGCCGATTTGCAGCTGCGGGGAAGCTCGCTGCCAGCAATGCAGTTAACTTGTCTTTATTAGCTGCGTCCGAGTTGATGTCCACAACCGTATACTGAATTGTGTCGGACAAAGAGCTGAGATCTCGGTTGCTTCTAAGCTGTCTAGCTCGCGGCAACGGCGCTTGCTCGGTGGTTGCCGCACGCCACTTGCCGCTCGCAGGTCCGTAGTTCACGCGCATGTCGACGAGCGTGAGCCCGGTGTACACTTCGTGCTGTGGTGGCGGGCCACCGTTTGGGCCGGTGGTTAGAATGTCCACGTTCTTCTCTTCCCAATCAGGCGGACCGGCGTACAACCTCCACGCGGATGGGGTTCGGGCTGAGACGTCTGCCACAGCGAGCGAATAGCTGCCGAGAAGTGGCGCCGTGTAGTAGGGTGCGACGGCGACAGAGTCCAGTACGCCACTCGTTGCGATACTTCCCGCATCCGCGTGTCTTTCGCCAGACCAGGATAGTCTGACCAGACCACCACTGCCTTTCAAAAACAGCTTCTCGCATCCCAAAACCGCGCTGTTGGTCGAGCTAGCCGCGCAGCGCTTTGCATGCTCGAGACACGTACCGACGCAGGCGCACGGTTGCGTGTTGCAAGCCTGTTCTCGTGCTCCCTCTAATGCCGCATCACCGCCCGACACCCCACAAATGACCGCCGAGCGAACCTCCCCGTTAAAGACGTTTGCGCACGTAATATCACGTCGCTGCGTGCCGCCGCCGCACTCCGCCGAGCACGCGCCCCAGGGGTGCGGCTTCAGACCATAGTACTTGTCCACCTCTACCACGATGAAGGCCAGCTGCAAAACATGACTCACTGGCGGGTTAGGAAGGTTCAGCGACACAGAAACCTCTGTGAATTCGATGAAAAAACGCTCTGCGGGTTGATGATTACCGGCGTTGGCAATCTCGAACTTCTCAGTAGAGTCGCAGATTCTGTCCTCCGTCCGCGAGTCCAGCTGTGCACCATACTCATCGTACACGTACCATCGCAGCGGGCTGGACGAGGGAGAATTGTTGTAAAAGATAAATCTCGCACACGGTCTTTTTACTGAAAGCTACTAGAGAGAGCTACTTATAAAACAAAAACTTGAGAACCCATCAATTCACGAGAAGTAAATGGACAATATCGATATCCAACATAACCAAAGAGATCATCAAAGTAGCAAAGGCAGCTGAGAGAGACTCAGTTTACAAAAAAAGTAAGTACTGTCCATCCGGCAGAGAACCTAGCGCTAGCCGGTAGTTAAAAATGTATGTACTGTCCATCTGGCAGACAGCCTAGTCGGTAGTTTGTTAGCCGCGTGCGAGCTTGAAACACGATTTCTATTTGCGTGTGTCGTGTGACGGGACCCTTCGTTGCAGCAGCGCTGTTCTCGAAGAATCGGCCGTAGTAACGCTGCGTGTTTGTATCTCGCGCAAGCACGTTGCAGTCGTTTAAAACCGGCGCCCCTCCCGAGTTCGTGGTGTTTGAGTGACACACAAACTGAGGAATCTTCTCGATGTTCGACTGCGCAATGACTCCTTCGCTCTGAAAGGCTATAAAAATGCTGAAAAAGCAAAGGCTCGTGCAGAAGGCAAATGCCAAGCCACTGCGGACCGGGGTTCCTATTCCTCGAAAGAGGTCCAGAGACGATGGGCCCTCGTCGATGCCGTTTTTGCGCACGCGGAATGTGCGACTCCTCAGAGACATAGCGTTGCCTTACTTCTTCACTCCTACTTATAAACAACTGAGTGGTCGTGTAGCAATATACACCTCACCAGAAGAGCCTCTTGCTCAAACAATTTTGCGTTGCCGCAGTGGCCTACTACTTTCAGAAGCGCACAGGCACACATTGGAAAGACATATGAGTTTTCCTTCTTGGGTAGGTAGTTTTTTTCGGAAAGTAGCCATCATAGGAGTAGCATTTTTTAGTCGTTTCTAAGTTTCAATGGAGGGGCAAGCATCATTTTGGTGGGGGTGTCATTTTGGAGTTATCATTTCCATTTATTTTGCGAGATGGGGGACAATGGAGGCCTGATGATTTTGTGTTTTGATAGTAAAACTTACATGAAATGTTTTGTCCAAAAGTCAGCATGTTCCACGCTCCTCGTCCGCTTCTCTTTCTGTCCCTCGTTCACGAACTTCTATGTATAATTTTGTACGTACAACATGCAAAAGCGCGCAAAACTGTAACTCCTGTTCTTCACGTCATTCCTGTAGAAGAGAACACGTATTTGTGGAAAGTCAAACCTGCAGACGGCCCTGCACAATGATGCTTCTTTCATATGCATTCTCTTGTTTGTGTTTCATCAGTTGAAGTTGTACTATTTTCCCCAATAAGAATATGTTCTTGGAACTACAGCACAGCACCTATACATCTCTCTGACGCGTCCGAGTGTTGAAATAATGGCATGTGCCGCACTCTCCATCTCCAAACCCCCAATTAGACTTACATATGGGAGTGTTAGTTCAGTGATGTAGTCGAAACGCGAATCCCTCCAACAAGTTTGATAGCCTCCGCAGCAAGCGTGTTTGCATGAATTCGCCGGTCGTGAAAGATATCTGCATCTTCTTCTTCGTCATCTTCATCCTTAGTTGTGCCTGGTAGTTGTCTTACTCCTGTTGTCGTATGTTTCTTGATGTCATTAGTTTTATTCACTCCCCACATTTCCCCCAGCTGCTTACGAAGCGCACAGTGTCGTGTCCAGGCACGCAGGAACATCGGCGGCGACAGTTGCGTCATCTGTTCCGCGATGAATCCATCGATCCACTCGTTGTATGAACAGAGGCCTGGAAGAATATTTTGATGTTCAGGAAATCAGTTCTAATTTCTATTTTTGATTCCATTAAAGATTTCTGCAGAGAGAGTGGTTTTTCTTTTCCCCTAATCGATTGTAATTCTGACAGTAGAACTTGTACTACTTGATGTGCTTCAAATCATTATAGTCGAAATTACAACTTGCTACCCACCAAAACTAAGGTGCCTTCTTCATTCATAAAAGGTATTCGAGTTGGCGTTTGGTGTTCAGATTATCGCTGAGCAACGTCTGCACGTGATCTTCGGTGTACTGTTGAAACTTGTCTAGGCATTCCTGCACCAAGGCGAAAACGTGGTCTTCTGCCTGCTTCCCCTCGTCTTGCACTTGGCTGATAACACGAAGAATTAGAGCTTTTCACGACAATTGCTTTCTGGCTATATTTCGAAGTACTTCATCATCGTGACGTCTCAAGTGATCATAGTACCGAACCACCGGCAAGGTGAAGATAAAATAATTTGTAGAGCCATTGAATGACGATGATCATCGCTGTTTGTGAGTTTCAGAAACGCTGTCCTGGGAAGATTCTACTGATGTAGCTTTACAATTGATTCCGCTGTGTATGGAAATTAGTCGTGTTACATAAGTCGATTTGTGCGAGCTCTCGCCGAATGACCTCGCGGCGGTCGGCGGTGAGACTTTCGACCTCTGGCAGGCCCGCATTGCGCTGTCTCTGGTAAGCCTCCTTTACGGGAATGAGCCGCCGAGGTATGTGTGAGCTGATCGATGAAAAACGTTTACGTATCTTGTCTTCCTTGTGATTAAACGAGGCACTCCACGACAAACTGTACTTTCATATTCATAAAATCCTTTCTCATGCTCATAGTAAAGGAACGACCAGCATCTTCAATTGAAATAACAAGAGGAGATGAAACACAAAGACAAACACCTCCTTAGTCTCAAATGTTCAATAAGACACAAAAAGGAAAAACTAGTACTCTGCCACTCGGAGGCATTCTGCGCATAAAAATTGAGCTGTCTCCTCGCAATAGTACTCTACAGGATAAGCGGGGTGGATATCGCAGTTCCCCATACTTCTTGGCATCTCGGCAACAGGTACCCGAACGTGCCGTGCCGCAATCTGTCCTGTCATTCGTGGGACAAAAATTATTACTTATATAAACTTCGATACTGGTGCCAATCCCAAAAGGCAATAATATGTTTCATTTTTTGTTAATACCACCTTATACGGTGCCTCACAACAAGATTATCACCTTATACGGTGCCTCACAACTATGACAACGACTAGAGAAGTAAATAGTAAAAACGAGAGTCTCAACACCTTATTCAGCGAATGGAGTTCTTCGTCGCATGCGGGGCAGAGCTTTGCTGCGTCAGCTTCGCACCACACCGTAGCCGGTGCCCGTTGACACGAGTCGCATATGAGTTGGGCAAATTTTTCTTCGCCATCGAGCTGCAACTCGAAATGCACTAGGAATTTAGGCAGTAGCTGGGACCCCTCTCGCAGAAGGTATTCGTGCTGGAATGTATTTCGCTGTTCTTCCGCATCCGAAGACCCTCCTGGCTCGCGCTCGTAGGTGGAAGCGTTCGTTCTGTTAGTATTATGTTTGCTGGGACTCCTGGAACGCGTGGAAGATGTGCGTGCGTAGGACGAAGCCGCCGCCGTGCCGAATTGCAACCGCTGCCGTCGCTTGCGGTGAAGATAGACAGAGTCGAAGAGGTCAGCATCGCAGGCACGAAGGAGGCGCGCAGCCTCTCCTGGGTGTAAACCACGGTGAAACTCTTCTTAGGGGTTCAATATTCACGGTTGACCGATCTATCTCGCATATCTATCTATGTGTGAGCAAGAGCATGACTTTCAGGATCCTATTTTATGAAGAAGCCATACCAATAGGTAGTAAATCAATAAGAATATGCTCTTCATAGATGAGCATGACGAGGGATAAATATGCTCATAGATGAGCATAGGAGGTCAACTTGCAACGGCCCTTAATCTTCGTCTCCAGACAAATGGCTGCGCGAGACTAGCTGCGAGCGGCCGACACCTGCATGACACAGAAACACCTCAAATGTCCGTGTTCTACCTGCTCCACCTCCGAGTGGCGTGGACGACCTTGCCGTTCTTCCCGGCATGGTGATACGATCCGCCACGGCCGATACTGATGATATCGCCACCTCTCTGTCCCCACCGGTCGCCATCGTGGGCTCTAATTCCGACAGCTCCAGATTTCCAACTTGCACAACCACTCCTCGGTCAAACCGAAAACCGCGTCCGCAGACTTCAGCCACTGAGTTCTCCTCCAATTCAGAAACGGGAAAGAAGCAAGGCAATACGAGCCGGCCTCTTGTTCGGTCTGCAAAGGCCGTTTCCAAATGTGGAATGGACAGAGACCACAGCCGAGTCACACGCACTAAGGAGGTGCGCGCGCAAGCTTGCAGCATGTGCTCCGTAGCTTCCCAGTCTGCATCCTGCGCAGCAATCGGGACAGCAATCGGCGGGAGAGACATGATCTGCCTGGTACAAGAAATTCCAAGTAGCTTCCAACCTGTCTTTTTTGTTATGCAGCGCCAAGTGTTTCAGCGATCAAATACTTTGTCTCGCTTCTATCTTGCTTTTTTGCAGAGAATTGTTCTAGTCTTTTCTTCTTCTTAGCAAGCTTTTCGATGTGAATCACGTACACTTTCGCTATGTGTTGTGAATAAGCCCGATCTTTTCCAATACAGACAAAAGTCATCTCCCGGTGTCCCTCTTCCTCCGAGCGACTCGGTACAGATCCATGTTGTATTCGATTAACAACTCGGCTACCGTGTAGCTCCAAAACACTTCCCCCCATAACGAAGTCGCCAACGAAAATGTTGATGCTCATCCCTTTTGCAAGAGTTGGAATCCAGCACCAGAGCTATATCTATGCACATGGCGATGATAAAGTTACATCGTCATGGACTAACACAATGAGTGTAGACACCGCACGAGGAATCATCTCTTGCTTGCTTTACCGGAAAATGAATATGTCAGTGTAAGATTTTGCAAGTTTTGTTGAAGATTCTCATTCCCTTGACCGCAATCTCCCGGTCAGCATGAGTATTCGTTACCCCAGCGTTGCATCGCATGTCTAGGAGCTGTACTCGAGGACCCGCTTTCGCGACTGCTGCGATTAAGGTGCTAAAACCGTCGTCCGTAATGTCTATTGAGTGGCACGAGAGCGAAACTAGTGTTTCACAGCACACCTCTCCCGTCTTATCCATCTTTCCGGTATGCAAGCTCCCCAGCCGCTTTACGCGGTTCACCTTTATGCGATGAAACATGACACTCAGGACGCAGATGACGAAGTGGCAGCACAGTGGGTACATGATTGACATTGCATTGACTACTTCTAGTACATAACTAAATCAAATGCTAATGCTTCATCCTGTTCCTTTTATAACTAAAGTTGGAAGGTAAACCTCGCTCCCATGATAATAAAACGTTTCAGGTAGAGGCTCTTTAATCCGTGTATTCAGACAGTTCTAAAGGAAGATCAAGAAAGGAACCTTGTCTTTTTGAGCTCTTTTGACGGATTCAGCGCTGGTGTGAGAGAGAAACTGCGCGACGACTCCGACTCCTGTATCGCCGATGGGATTGCAGTCGAGACATAACGCATGCAGCGGAAGCTTCGTTTCCAGTATTGCTGCAAAAATGTGATCCAATCCCGTTTCCCTCAGTCCACAGGCTCGTAAGTTTAGAACGAAGACGCGACTCAAGCTAAGAGGCTGGACTCCGAGACACGTCAATCCGCCATGTTGCGAAGAAGATCGGGCTTTACTTATCGCCGTCTCTGCCGCACGATTGTCGCGAGCCTCGTTCGCAGCTGGTCGTGTTGGAGATTCGTAAAACGTCTTTCCTAATCAAAATCTTTATCAACATGAAAGATTATGATTATCTTAAATCAGTACTAAAACCAATGTTAGTTGATACTACACAAAAATGTGATATGTGAAGATAAGCATGAACCTCTCTCTTGTTATTTCATGATATTCGCAGTAGTGGAAAAAGCACCTGCTTCGTCGTCCAACATCTTTTGATATGCGCCTGGTGCTGACTGTTTTTGCAATGCGTCCATTGCGGTTTCAGTCGATGAAGATTTCTCTTTGTCTGCTTCTGCGGGATCTACCTCGACAAGAGTCGGCTCTTCATTTTCCGAAAGAGAACTAGAGGAAGACGAGGACGCCCACGTTTGGTGCCAAGTAGTTGCTAGTATTAGAGGCTACCGAATTCCTCGAAAACCATCTTCCTGTAGCGGACCTTGTGTCTTCATCGACCTAACGAAGCCAAGAACAACTTTCTTCCACTTACAATTGTTGATCACCACGACCTAATACTTTCTGGAGATGCAAGTTGAAAGAAGCCACCTCCTTTCACCAACTTGATAAGAACTCAGCGTCAGAGGATGGATCAATAGATTGGGCCTTAAAAGTAAGTGAAAGGGCAACTTAGCAAGCGAAGATTGTAGGTCCTTCATTTCTGCTATAAGCTCTCCTTTTCGTTCATCCGATTCGTCCTCTAACAGCTTCGCCTGTTTGCGTTTCTGCGTTGCCTCCGCGAATTCCTTCGCCTGCGATGTTTGCAAATTTGTTGTCTTCGACTACGGTTATCCGTCATGTGCGTTCATCTTGTTCCTATCATCCATGCCAGTCCATTTCAGATGCTAAGTAATGTAAGAAGTCACTGGTCGTGATATCATACGACAAAAAACAAAAAGGAGAGAAGAGAAGAGTACAACAAAAAAGGAGAGAAGAGAGACCACCTGCACGGTATGATGCTATGAAAACATCTAGTACCTTGCCAGCCTTCTGCCTCAGTTCCAAGGCTTGACTGCGCTTTCGGACCTGAGCGTCGTAATCGGAACGATTTTGCGTCACCGCGTTCTCCACCTTAGCGTCCCCCATGCGGATGAAGCCTGTTAGAGCAACCTCCCACTACTTAACACTGAATCGATCTCCTGTGTAAATAATGTCCCCAACATGCTGAGGCAAACTGTGGCGACAAATTTTCACGACTAGTACTGTGTGATGTAGAGTAGAAGCGCGGGTTCAAACTACTTAGAAGCATTCCGTCTCCTGTTTCTCAGTAGTGCTGCGTCTACTGGTGAAGAAAAAGATTCTCACCAGAAGTAGTACGAAAACATGTCTACTACTGCTTCGTTCTTCTACTTCTTGCAGCTCGTTCCTTTCTTGTTTATTACCAGCAGTAAGGACGACCTTACAAATTCCAGTCGAGCCACCTTCCTTCAGAAAAAAAAAACGAATGAAAAAGTGGAGCACCAGTAAGGCTAAGGTGGAGGTGGACTACCTTATATATAATAGAAACATGACAACATGACTAGTTAGTACAACGACTAGATGACAAAGAAAGGACATCATGAGACATAAAGATAAGTCCAATTTGTAGGCTGGCTCGATTTCTTCGAGTCCCTCCACCTCTTCCATCCCTATTATTCTTTCTTCCACTTGCTCCACGAAGTTTCTCCCCTGGAAAACTCCGATTTTCTCGAATAGTTCTGTTCGAGTAATATCCGGCGCAAACGTCGGGGGAAAAGCCACCATCTTTCTTTTTGTGAGTCGTGGTGCTGCGCCGTTAGGTCAATGTCAGTAAGTAGGTACTGTAAGTTGGTACTGTAAGCGTTGCAGTAATATGCGTCTGCTGTTTTTTGCAATCAGGATTACTACAAGTACGCGTACGGTACCCAATTGTATTCTCTAAGTGAGCAGCTCTCGGACTTGAACATATTCATAAATTTGTAGTAAAACGACCTTGGTGTTGTAGTTCTTGCACCAGATTGGTCTCTTTTCTACCACGTTCGCTTGAGCGGAAAAATAGGTGATCGATTTCCCTCTACCTACTCAAAAATTAGGTAGACATTACGAGCATACTTCGCACAGCTGCGTCTTGCGATATTGCAAGTGGCTCCTTATGTTCCACGTCTCAGGGTTGAAGGCCCCCCCGATCTAACTTTTTGAGGGGGGGCTTCCAGCCCCAGACCCTTTTCCGCGAGGGACTGCCAGGCGGGAAGGCCTCCAATCACCCACCCCCGACCCCTCCCGGCTTCTTGCCGGGACCCTACAGAGCCCCCAGCCGTGAGGCCGTTGAAGCACCGAAGGCCGGGGTGGAAGGGTTCCGAAGGTGGCCAAGGTGGCAAGGCTGGACCCCCTTGCCGTGGTGCATGTACCTTACAGACTTGGCAAAGGTGGCAGGGCTGGACCCCCTTGCCGTGGTGCATGTACCCGACAGGTGGCAAGGCTGGACCCCCTTTCCGTGGTGCATGTACCACAGACCTGGCAAAGGTGGCAAGGCTGGACCCTTTTGCCGTGTTGCATGTACCCTGTGGACCTTGCCCGTGTGCGGGCTCCGCACCGGAGGAGTTTGGCCCCTCCTGCACCCCAGGAGGGCCAAAGGGGCCAGGCCTCGCGCCGTGGCCGCCTTCGGCGGCCTTCTTCCCCAGGAGACCGCCCCTCTGATAGGGTCCAAGAGTCGGGACGCGTGTGGGGTACACGCGGAGAGCCGCCAGGGGCCTCCGGCTCCGCCTTTTGGCACCTTCCCCCCCGTGAGTCCTTACATGTCACCACCGCGAAAAAAATGGCGCGCGGACGCCACCACCGCGCCATCTACAGGGGGGGCCTCCCTCCCTAGTCGTACAAATAGAAAAATAGCTTCAATCCCGCTAATATGATCTCTCAAGAAACATCTCGAAGTCAACTCGGTTGCCTTGTATCTCATTTCTTCTTCTTTGCTAACATTCATGTCGCTCTCTTTAATTGCGCTGCTCAACTCTCATATTCGTCTGAGGCAATCGCAAGTCATAACCTCTTTCACACAAATCAAGAAGAGCGCCAGGCGTTCCTTAGACATCTTCAGCGTCATCACTCCGTGTTCGTCCGATGCCGACAATTACCAGCACTAGTTTCGGGACCCTTTTCCCGTATTCTGCTTTGTAGGCAAGCGCTCATGCGCCGCTCTTCTTCCAGCTCCAATCGCGCGCCCTAAGAACACGACTCTACACTTTTATAGCGGTAGATCTCGGACTTTGTCTACTTCTCTGGTCTATTTTCGTGACTGTACATCCCGCGTCTTTCAAATCTTTTTATGATGTGAGTTTCATCTGATCTGTATTTCAATAATGACGCGATGCTTCACGACCACTTTTTTTTTCCGTTTGGTGCGTGATGGTGATCGTACGCAGACTCATCTATTAACTTCCACCTCGTCTACGTGGAGGTCCCGTACGGGCCATCCTGTTTTTCTCTTCTTGTTCGACGGCTTTCCTCGCGTCGTCAGTACCTTTGAGGTACACCGTGAGCAGTTTGATTACTTTGCTGTCAGTGTCGGCCTTTAGAACAACCACTAAAGTATTGTCCAATTTCACCTTACATAGCAACATATGGTTTTGCGGGTCACTCTTATTCTCGTGCTCGCACTGCCACTCCGAACTTGGATCCTGCGTCGCCTTCCACACATAGCCTTGCCAGATAGTGCCGTAGAGACGTTCCTCCTCGCGCTCTATGAAGTGCTCGGTGGTGATCCACGTTGGCATTTGTCCACAGGGTACTGCCTTTTGCACGACTAAGTCCTTGGCGCTTTTCGTCAGCTTGTCCGCTTCCGTCATGTTCCCGCAAGAAGAGCCGCGACGCGGACGGAAAACTTCTTTCCAGGAGTCGGACGTCTCCCTATCGGAAACCCAAACGCGCTCACTTAAATTGAAGTCCGAATCTTGGTCAAGATCAGGGCTATTTCCGGCGCCACAGCCGAGATTTTGGCCATTCTGCTCTTCTTTTGTCTGCGGTTGCTCATTCTCCTTTTCGTCTGCCTTTGCGTCTGCCTTTGCCTTTGCCTTTGCCTTTGCCTTTGCGTCTGCCTTTGCCTTTGCCTTTGCCTTTGCGTCTGCCTTTGCCTTTGCCTTTGCCTTAGCCTTTGCCTCTCTTGCTTCTTCTGATATCAATTCTGCAGCTACTGCCTCCCGCAGTCTCTGAGCTTCTAGAGACTCAGCTTCCCCCGTAGCTTTGGTCTCAGCTTTCTTCGATCCTGGGAGCCGATCTTCAGGTCTCTTGCTCAGCAGCCACAAGCTCAAGCCTGCCGCCAATGCGCCACGGTCTTGCTCCGTGCTCAAAAAGTATTCCATATAAAAATCGAAGAATTTTGGCATAAAAAGCTTCTCTTGCAAGATTTTCGCATCAAAAGCCTCTGCTGGAACCAGCCCATTCATCTTGCCGGACATTATCGACAAAAGGTGAATCTGTTTGTAAAAGAAAGAGTTGTCGTCAAAAATAAGCCTGTAAATGAACTCCAATTTTTTCACCTTGTTCTCCGAATCGTTGTTAAGCAAACGCGTCATCGCCGGACGAAAATCCTTCTGGAAACGGTCGCGCCGCCCGTCATTCCCTGGAGACGTGTCCTGTTCACGTTCTCGTACACGCGCACAAAATTGCGTTGAGTCCCTATAGCATGGGCGCTCTAGGATTTCGAACATGTTCTGCACTTGCTTTAGCACAGTCTTGTCCCAAATATAAAAAATCGCATACCTCACGCACAACGCCAGCAATTGCTTCTTCTGCTTCTCGTGTTCGTGGTCCTCGAATTCAGATGAAATTTCTATCCGTGCGGGATGCGATTCAACATGACCCGTGCTTTCGGCTCCTGGATGCTTACCGGGGCTTTCACCTTTTCCATGCTGTACTTTCTGGCTATCCGTGTCGGAGCAACCCCCGGGTGGGGTTTGCTTTGACGCGGGTATCTGCAGTATGTCCTTTGCGAATCCTCGGGGTCGCAACGTTGGGAATCGCAATCGATTCCACTGCAGCTCACGCCCTTCCATTTCGTCTATTACAGGCTTCGCCACGACAGTCCATATTTTCGAACCGAGTACCTCAAGCAAGGTGGCGCGGATCTTGGCATAGCTCATTTGGTAAAACGAGAGGTCACCCCGTTGTCCCTCTTCGGTGACCATTTTATGTCCGGTGAAGAAGCCCTCTGCAACTGTACGGTCGTCCGCGCGTAGTACTTTTTGCATTCCCTTCTCGGCCATGTCGTAGTGTCGGAGTGCACCGTTGTATGTCGCTTCGTCGCTCATCAGGTTTTCCACGAAGAATTTAGTCATATGCGACTCGTCCTCGCGCCCGTAGAGCATCTTAACAATATTTATATTACTAGCTCTCTCAGCAGTCATTTGGTCAAAAGACTTCTTCAACTCCAGCGGTTTATTTACATTTTGGTTTTGTATGAAAGTGTCCACTACGCCTCGGATCGTGGCCTCCAGGTCAAACTCGTGATCAGGCCCTTCTCCTTGCTCTGCGCATACACTTTCCCCAGGCAGAGGTCTGTCCCCCCGTCCATTTCTGCGACAACACAAATTTGGGAGTCGGAGGTAAGCTGATGCCAAGAACTTAGTGGCCTCCATGTGCGTATGACTTTGCCAACGAGCTACAAAGAAAGTGCATGCCAGCAAGGTGCGAATGGAAGAGGGCAACATCTTGTAGTCGATTCTTCTTTTTTATTAGTTGTAGTTCCTTTGGTATTTGGTTCGTTAATTACTTGTTGGGGATCTGAAGAAAAACGTGTGTTGACGAAAACAAGTTGTAATCTGTTAGAAGTTCGTTCTTATTATTCCGGATTCGAAAAACGGCAAACAGTCACGTTTTTCTTGAAGATGAGCAGGAGCTGAAAAAGTAAATAAGCTGATAAAGGATGGAAGTTAATGTATGATATTTTGTACTCGATCAGGGTGCTAACTATCCTTGGAGAGAGATCTAATGCTTACAAATACAACGACAACGATGTTATAGGAGTTCTGCCGATGTTGAGGCTTTTCTTCGTTTCTTACGTAGGAGGTCAAAGAAAGGAGGTCAAAAAGATACGACAAATAACAAGAAAGCGTTATCTCGTGAAGAAAAAATCTCAGTAAAAAATTCTCGAAGTTGGTAGGTCATTTTTATTCTTGTAAACGTTGAGTCACTGTGTGTTTGGTAATGAGAGATTAAAATTGCATTGCACGAAACTGACAAAACAGACAAATCGATCGGATCCTAGTAGGGGTTATAATAAATAGTACACATGTGTACTCTGGCCTGTAAATGGTACATTTCTTTTGGTTATGTTTTGGATCGTTGGATCTTCTTTTTCACGATTTGATTAAGTATTTTGGATCGCGTGCCTCTGCTGATGACCATGATCGTAGTAGGAATGGATCTTCATTTTTCCTTATAGATCTGGTGCTGTCTTCTTGTTCTTGTAAAACAGACGTCATTCATCCAAAAATTTTTGATTGACAAATATCAGAAGATTTGGACATTGAGATCGACACAACTGTCCAAGAGTTGTATCCGATTTTCAAGATGGTAAAAAGTCTCGCGAAAATGAGACGCAGCAGCGCCTCACTCTGGCAGGGAAAACCCATTTTTCTTCAGTACTCTTCGAGCTAGTAAAAGAATCTGCGAAACAGATCATCTTCTCGACGTTCAAACTCTGAGCAGCTCGTCACTAGGCACTGCAACACCCTGAATGGCAATCCAAACAGTGGAGTCAGAACTGAAAAGTGTCTATCAACAACACTCCGACTTCTAATCATCTGGTACGAAATACCAGGTCTCTCTCCCACTAATAGCAAAACGACCGTTTAGGAAGCAGACTCATTCTCGGTCACATAGCTTCAGACGTTTTGTCGAATATGCCACGCATTAAGAGAGTGGTGTCGTGAGTTAGTAATTCATCTGTTTTTTCACTGCTCTAACATCAACTCATGTTCATCATGTATTCCTATTCTTTTTAAGCTTAAGGGGAGTGATAAATCATGAATAATGATGATCAGTGTTACGACCAATATCTGCTTCTCTGTTCTTAGAGCATTTTGCGCGTTGCGGTGCGTAAAAAATGACAAACAAAACCCAGGTATATCAGAGTAGAAACTGATTCAAAATGTGTGGAGCGGGTAGTGTGTATAAAATTTTCCGTGTGACAGGGTATACCAATGACGAAAGCGTCGACGGCGTGGCACCTGTTTCCGCGTACTATGCCTGTGGAGAATACTATGATGCGTACAAGGGGCTACTTCTACTCATCAAACATCTGCGTAAGTAAAAACCTAGCCTTGAAGATGTTTTACTTTTTCCCAGCTTTTTACTTTTTCCCACCATAGTAACCTCCTCCACCTTTATTCCCGCCACCACCACCTTTATTTTTTCCACCTCCTCCGCCTCCTTTTCCTTGATTTTTTCCGCCGCCTCTATTTTTTCCACCTTTCCCCGTAGGCATGTGGTCATACGCAGCAGCCTCTGGTGCGATTTCCCGCTGGGCATTTGCGGCTCTTGAAGCGTCACCCTCGCCATAAGCGTTGCTATCAAAGTTCTTAAATTTCTTCGCCTCGTCTCTTTCTGCAGCAGTCTTAAAACCCCCAGTGGTATGCTTTCTGTGTAGTAGTTGTTGTAAATTTTCTCGTGAGTAGTTATCACATAACATCACCTCGATGAGTGATGGGACTGTTGTTCTTCTTAAGATGAATCAAAACAACTTTTTTGTTCGGTCCTGTTTCAGATACAGTCATTGTGACTCAATTGCGGGAGATGCAAAATCAGTCATGAGTTGTACGTTATTGTTGAGGTCCTCTACTGGAGCAGCCTGAGAAATTTCAAGATAGAAAAGTTCAAAATTTGAAGGTCCAAAATTGTCCCAACATCATCAACGTGGCATTATTACCGAAAGTCTTGGCCACCGTATGCATGACCGTTCTCCGGCTCTTTGTTTTCCGTCTGCCCGAAGTTTCCAGTTGAAATCGCCATTCCCTTTAGCCAATTCGGTGCAATTTTTAGAGCTAAAATGGCCATGTTTTGCATAATAACCGGGCTTTGGTGGATTAATAGGGAAAAGATGTGCCAAGCATCATCATCTTCCTAGGTAAGTATACCTATCAAGCAAGAGAAGTATAGCTATCAACGATAGAAGCAAAGTAAATAACCAAGAAAGGTTGCGCTTCCTTGCTTTACAACGAGCGTCAAAACTATCTTATCTACAACGTCGTGGACGAAGATAGAGACATTTACATTCATCATAACATTCGTTTACTACTAGGGGTGTGGAAGTGCTACTTCTACCATACTCATTGTGATACTGCCATAACACATTGCCAGACTTTTCGACTTTTTCCAAAATTTCATGCGCATTCCCCTTATTTCGATTGTTCATGAACGTGATCGCCAGTCCTTGGTTTCCGATACGTCCTGTCCGTCCTATTCGATGGACGAAGTCGTCCGACGACAATGCGCAGTCGAACTTAGAGCTCAAAACATTTCACTTCTTGCCTAAATTTCTCCCAATGCCAAGAAGGAGAGTATAGGGAGAAAGGGCTTGTAGAAATGAATTGTATTGAGCCTTAACGTACTGTACTACCAGAGCCACGTTGGGAATATCTAATCCTCTTGCGGCGACGTCCGTCGCGATCATCACAGCTGAAATTTCGTGACATGATGATGTAAAAGACAACTTACTAAGAGATCTTTCACTAAACCTATAAATATGCATCTATATCTATTGAACGTTAACAGCACAGCTTAAAAAATGAGTGGTTTAAACTGGTCGTAGCATTTAGAGATAGAGGCTGCACAACATCAGTAGAAAATGAATCATTCAAATTTTTAGGAAGACGATAATCGATGATGGGGTACGCTTCTGCTTGTTTTTGAACTGCTCTAGGGCTTCTTCGCGTTTTCTCTGGTCTTTGTCACCATGGATACTGGTAGTTCTGATGTACATCCGCCCTAAAAACCTCTCGAGGTCAGCGGCCGCTTGCTTCGTATTGACGAAGACTAGAACCAAGCCCACTTGTCGTTGGTGCAGCAAGATGCCGTATAGATACGCATCCTTGTCGTCGTCATCGACCCAAACGATTTTCTGCCGGATCGTGCTCGCCGCTGCCCCTACCTGGCCAACGGCCACGAAAATGTAGTCTCGGAGGAAATCCTGCGCTAGAAATTGGACGCCCTCAGGGAAGGTCGCGCTTGTCATGAGCGTTTGCCTGCTTTTCGGCATACCTAAGTCGTGAAGAGCTCATCTTCGTCATCAAGGACTTGTACGGAGTTGCAGTTTTCGTGAGTTTCGGCAATGGTTGAAAGAACAGAAGCTTTGAAATGATGAACAACCACAACATGCATGTGTTTTGTCGTCGATCTTAGTGGCTAGTATTAGAATTACTAAGCGAACATCATGTGTATACTATTTCATTTTCCGTTCAGAATACTGTTTTGCAGGAGCTCAGGACCACTATATCTAAAGTACCTCTTTTCTGCACTATGCTACGAATTTGTGGCTCGAAGCCGATATCCAACATGCGATCTGCTTCGTCGAGGATCAGCATGTTGATTTTCGTTAAGGATATGTCCTTACGGTCCGCCATGTCTTCCAGTCGTCCTGGCGTGGCAATAATGATATCATTGCCGCGCGCCACTGCAGCTTTCGATGTCCGATACTCGATACCGCCATAGACACACTGTAGTTTGGATTTGGATTTGGAGATTTCAGAAAAAAAAGTTTTCTGGCCACCAAAAGGGGCACAGTACGTTTCGCAAGCAACAGACAGGCGCGAAGACAAAGGGATGCCACGAAATGATGGAAGGAATGAGACAAGTGGTAGACACACCGACTGTATCTATCGACTGTATCTATCAACTCATTGAATGCAAGTCACTTAGATTCAGTGTGTCTACGGCGGTATCGAGTATCGGATACCGCCGTAGACACACTGTAGTTGTGGATTCCAAGTGGTAGACACACCGACTGTATCTATGGATTCATTGAATGCAAGTCACTTAGATACAGTTACAATGAAAACAATCGCGTCCTCATATGGAAACCAAAACCAGATAGAAGCCCACGCACATTTTATATAAACGTGTGTCTCTCTTCACACGGGATATCATTCCAGTGATAAAGGTCTACGTAGAAACTGAAGATCTGTACGGCGAGTAGGAGATGCGTGCCTCGGCAGAATTTTTCTGCTTCTTCTGCAATCTGTTGGCAGAGTTCACGCGTTGGGGCCATCACTAGAACTTTCGGCGCTGCTACTCGCCGAGACTCATTCCCGACCTGCATTGTGATCGTGCTGTCGTTTCGCCCACCGAAATTAGAGAACAAGTCAATGACGCATAAGTCATAGATATCATATTACCAACCCGTAAAACTTTGTCTGCAAGGAGCTTCAAGAACGATCAAACAAATAATACTTATTCGTACACAGCTCTTGGATGCATACTCGTCTAGTAAGTATTCGTCGTTAGAATATGTCGTTGTCGTCGTTTTTCCATAATGTTATTCAAGAGCTTGGATATACTGGGAAAGAGGAAGAAGCAAGTCTTGCCAGAACCGGTTTGTGCAGATGCCATGATATCGTATCCTCTTAATGCTAGAGGAATCCCGTATTTCTGGACCGGTGTTGGTCGCTGGTAATCAAATTAGAGCGGCGCTATTCAATCATCGTCATGACGTCTCAAGCAGTCCTCCTACAGTGCTGTGAAGACGTAACAAATTCAACAAAAGACATGTGCTATAAAGTCAAATGCGTGCTTGGGTCAGTCTTGGGTTGGTAGCAGTACTTCTACTCTCAACCTACTATTCCTACCTACTCATTATGTATGATCATGTAGTCAGGGGGATCTTGTTTTCGTTTTCAGAGCGAGAAGAACCTACTTAGTTACCATTTATTAATCCTACAACAAGAGTTGTTTCGAAAGCTGCCTGCTGAGTAGAAGGATAGTCTTGTGAAATGAACCGTAGATAATAATCAAAAAAGAAATACCTTATTCATTGTTCAAGAGAGACAGAGGATAGTCAGGTTAATAATCATATATATTGGGCAGCAACAAATAAACATTAGTCATAATCACAATTTTTCAGCAATTGCGGTGCAACCTGCCAGTGCTGTGGAATATGCCCAAAGTCCTGGAGCAGCTGCAAATCAGGTACAGCAGGTGATACTTCGACGGGAATTTCATCCTGTTTCTTGAAGAATTCAGTTTTCGTCATGTTCGTACTTAGAGCTACTGCGCTCGCATCTTCCCCTTTGAGAGTAATAAGATCCTTGGAAGGGACTTCTTCTTCAAGTAGAAAAAGAAGAAGCAAGGAAGACATTGAGGATGCTTCAGCAGTGGCCTTAACGTACCCTGGTACTGTCCTGGATCATGTTGACCACCATGCTGTTGATGTTGCTGTCCTCCGTGTTTACCCCCGCCACGCTTAAAGAAATAATAATAATAATAATATCTTTTGGCATTTATTGGCTATCTGTGTTCAGCAGTTGGTCGTAATACCCTCCAGTTACAAAAAATAATGAAAACCCGCCCACCGCTAGCAGGGACCTGTCAATTCCTCGTCGAAGCCAGCACACGGCAGAGGTTGAAGAAAGGCTGAGATGTCAAATTTTAAGAATGGCGAAACTCCTACTCTAAGACAGAGCGTTAAAATTTTCGCCTTGAGGCGCCCACACGGTAGAGGTCGGCCACAGGAAACAGCCGTGGTTGAGAAAATTGGGCTTCTCCCGACCAGTAAGTGGGCTTCAGATTTTTCTCTTCGGGGCGCGCAAAGAGTAGAGATCAAGAAAAACTACATTTTTCTCTTCATTAAAGAGATGAGCCATAATGTAGCCAGCCGAGGAACTGTGGCTGTTCCCTCCCTGCCTCTGCTGACCTCCATCGTATCCGCCTCCACGGCTCTTCCCTATGAACCCAAGCGCATACACCAAACGAACATATTCGGAAATCTTGAGCGTGGAACGAAATCCCATAGCGAGCCACAAAATGGAACGAAATTCAAAATGGAACGAAATCCAAAATGGAACGAAATTCAAAATGGAACGAAATTCAAAATGGAACGAAATTCAAAATGGAACGAAATTCAAAATGGAGCGAAATTCAAAATGGAACGAAATTCAAAATGGGACGAAATTCAAAATGGAACGAAATCCAAAATGGAACGAAATTCAAAACGGAACGAAATTCAAAATGGAACGATATTCAAAATGGAACGATATTCAAAATGGAACGAAATGCAAAATGGAACGAAATTCAAAATGGAACGAGATTCAAAATGGGAACGAGACTCAAAATGGGACGAGATTCAAAATGGAACGAAATGCAAAATGGAACGAGATTCAAAATGGAACGAAATTCAAAGCGGAACGAGATTCAAAGTGGGACGAGATTCAAAATGGAACGAAGTCCAAAATGGGACGGAATTCAAAATGGAACGAGAGTAAAAATGGAACGAAGTCAAAAATGGAACGGCATGCAAAATGAGACGGCGCGCAAAATGAGACGGCATTCAAAATGGACCGAAATCCAAAATGGAACAAAATTCAAAATGGAACGAGATTCAAAACGGAACGGGACTCAAAATGGAACGAGATTCAAAATGGAACGAGATTCAAAATGGAACGAAATCGACGCGCAAAATGGAACGGGGTTCAAAATGGAACGAAATGCGGCCCAAAATGGAACGAAGTTCAAAATGGAACGAAGTTCAAAATGGAACGAGATTCAAAATAAGACGACACTCAAAATGGAACGAGATGCAAAATGGAACGAGATTCAAAATGGGACGAAATTCAAAATGGAACGAAATTCAAAATGGAACGAGATTCAAAATGGAACGAAATCCAAAAAGGAACGAAATGCAAAAAGGAACGAAATTCAAAATGGGACGAAATTCAAAATGGAACGAAATCCAAAATGGGACGAAATTCAAAATGGAACGAAATTCAAAATGGGAAGAGATTCAAAATAGAACGAGCCCCAAAATGGAACGAGCTTCAAAGTGGTAAAAATGGGACGAGATTTGAAACGGTGATGGACCGAAATTGAAAACGAAAATGGGACGAGATTCAAAACCAATGGAACGACATTCAAAATGGAACGAAATAAGGAGCGGAACGAAAAAGAAAACGGAACGAAATTCAAAATGGAACGAAATGGGCCCTATTGAATAGAGAGGGGAACGGCGTAGAGAGTGGAGCGAGCGAGAGCGCTACAGCCATCTCCCTCCACTCTTTACTTCGTCCCCTTCTCTATTTCGTTCCATTTTGAATTTCGTCCCACTCTCTCTCTCTCTCGTTCCATTCTGCACCTCGTTCCGCTCTCTATTTCGTTCAATTTTGAATCTCGTCCCAGTTTCTATTTCGTTCCAACCCTTTTGAATTTCGTTCCATTTTGCATCTCGTTCCATTTTGCATCTCGTTCCACTTTGCGTCCCCTTTCGTTCCATTTTGCATCTCGTTCCATTTTGCATTTCGTTCCATTTTGCATTTCGTTCCACTCTCAAGATTTGGGAATATGTTCGCTGGGTGTGAATTTCGTTCCACTCTCAAGAGTTGGGAATATGTTCGTTCGGTGTATTGTTTGGGTACATACTCTTCCCCTGATACTGTTGGCTACTTGCCCCACCTCCGTAATTATTGTAGTGCTGCGACATCCTTGATGATGAAAAAAGATACCCAGAAGTCAAACACGGGTCGAAGTGCTGCACCGACCTGGGAAAGTCTCTTCCTGCTCTTTCTGCTGAAGATGTTTATGCTCTTGCCGCTGGTTCGTTGTCGCTGCTCGAGATGTGAAATGTGAAGAGAGGTATGAATTGCACAACGAACACTTGTTAAAGCTGCCACACCAGACGCCCGGACTGTATAGCCCTACGGTTGCTTCCTTCCGTTCTTGGAGGTGATTTTTAGAGAAGAAATATCGATCTTCGGGTCATTTGAGTCGCGTGCTTCACCAGTTGTGTTTGCGATGCCGGCAAAGACCCGACCAGAGCATCTTCGTCATTCATTATTTCGTCACTCGTCAGATCAACACCTAGTAAAATTGTATAGTTAAGGTCTATAGGTATGATCAAAGGAGATCGCATCATAATCAGAAAAATTATAGGTAAGATTATGATAATAAACTAGAAGACGCGGAGTAACTTGAAGAGCTACAACATAGATCTAGATAGATTGTACATATTCATCATCCGAACCATTCCAGTCGTGAAGCAAGATAAGAGTTGAATAAAAAGAGCCGCCACGCGGGTCTAGCAAGGGACTACTGATTGCGTGCCAAATTGAGTATGCAGGGTCGGTCTGCTCGTGAGGGGGATGCCACATGCGCACGAGCGTTTCAAAATAGAGGACAGAACTCTTAACTTTCCGACTCGAATTAAGAGTTCCAATTACGAACAATTCCAGTCGTAAAGTTAAGAGTTCCAACTACGAGGAGGAATTCCATCTAAGACCTTTCTAATCCCATACATTTCCACCACCAGAAAAACGTCGACTCTGAAATCCTCTATAATATCCTACATGATCCTCGTTGTTCTTGATTGAGATAAATAATAGAAATATATCTAGATATCAGGACGCACATGCCTGCGAGACACGTAGGTATATGTGGTAACGCAGTATGGTTCTAAGAAGATACCTGTTTTTATGGTTTTTTTCGCGAAATGTCGCACCATCAGCCCTGACAGTCCTGTGGAGAAATCTGAAGTGGAGGGAAAATCAATAACATCAATGCTTAAGCGACACGGCTAGCTGATTTCGGAGGGACCGTCTGAGGAAAAGAGGCAGGGTTTATATACTAGGTGATACAATTATACTAGCGAGAAGTAGTCGCGCAATTCTATCAGTCGATCTTCAGCGAGTCAGATCGAGCCATAGTCATACACTGAACATAGCTTATAGCGTTAGGTCTGCCTGTGTTGAAGGAAGAATGGCTTGAAAAAACGTGAATGAGAAAGAATCGAGGCCATATTCCTCGACAAGATTGTCCAACTACTTCCTCACCGACACATATTGCAGGAAGCCTTTCCTTCGCATCGAATGTGACAATTGTCCTTAGACATATTTTTGATCATTGACTGTGATGAACCGTATTATTTAGTCTAAGGTTCTTGAGCTCCGGTGATAAGGAGGTCAAATTTTGATGACCGCCTACTAACAAATTGCTTTTATGGTACGACCGAACCGAGTAAGCATATATTATAAGATTAAGATCCGTCTCAACTTTGTCCAACAATTGATACAGGATCAAGCACACTCCATTCCCCAAGCAGATAAAGTCTTTCTGATAATTTACAGCGTTCAATAATATAAATCGTCTTCAGCACAAGCAAATCAGACGTCTGAACTGTGTCTTTTCGTGAACACATGGGTCATTAGAACCACGGAGTCAAATTGAGATTTTAACAACACCACTCTCTATATATGATGCTGTGTCAGTTGTTTCTCGTCTCCGGTCAAGAATCTAACAATGTAACAAAGCGTCAAAGGACAAGGTGAGATCACCTCTAGTTTTGAGAAAGTCAGAGATATTACTCTAATTTTTTGTATAGAACAAGACAGTCGGAATTTTGAACGAGTAATCATGAAGGACACAATAATGTTGATGTGGGTTCTGCATCTTCTCTCTCGAATAAAAAAAATAAAATAGATTCCAGTCCAACTGATCATGCAGCATCGCGATGTCGCTTCTTGCCTTTTGTCGGCCACCTTATGAGGCATCCGTTTTCGTCGCCAGTCCATAATTCGCGAATACTCAGGAACTGATGTTGTTGGGTTTGTTCTGCTGAACCGGTTCCTTCTGGCACCTTCAAGGCCAAAAAGCAGCGAGGCAAGCCAAAATGCCTTTTTTGACCTTGCAGTTGTCCTTCTACGGATGCTCCTGCTACAGCACTAGCAGACGACGTCATTACTGTTGTGGATGGAGAATTCAAGTTGGTGTCTGGCCGTCTCCTCTTGGACTGATCTGTGCCATGGTTCTCGCCAGTTGTTGCGTCGCCGAGGAAATAAGTCCCGGTTTGACCCAGAACTTGGGATACAGTCATCAAGTGCAGGTTCATGTGGAACATGACCACCTCGCCCAAACAATTTGCTGCTAGTACGTAGATCTTTCCGTTATCCTGGAACATACCTAAGATACAGCCATAGCTCATGCATTCAACCTCCATACCACTGTTTACGAAGCCGTCATCGACTGCTGATCCATTCGCGGACGAGGACGAGGGAGATGTTGTTGCACCTCCGGAGCCTGAGGAAGCTCCATTGGGTGCAAAGTAGGGCGTGCCATTTTCGTCGCATCTGTAGGGCTTATACAGTTCGGGGCACTTGCGAAACTCATCGGTGAAGGAAACTAGCAAAGACAAGTTTCCGAAAGCGGCGTCGTCGCTTCCGAAGCTCCATACGTTCAGCGTCTCATTAGTGCTCGCGCAAAGCACGGCACCGTATTTGGGGAGCGCCAAAAAAGAGCGCACATTTTCCTGGTTGTGGATCGTAAAACGCACACCCTCTTCCGGTTGCTCGTCGCTACCTCCTTCATCCATCGCGGTGTCCTCACTACCCTGGTTGCCATCAACCTTTGCGGCCGCTTGTTTTCTGAGCAAATGCGCTCGCACAGCGTCCTCCCACACCCAAAGATCCACAAAGGTCAAATAACAGTCGTCACCGCCAGACACGAGTATTCGGTCATCGTACATCGCGACCTGGTTGATCACGTCGGCATGAAGGTGTTCTAGCGCTTTGCCAATCCGCTGAAACGACAGCTGGCCAGAGCCTGGTTGTCCAACTAGCTGGAAAACTTCGAGGACACTATTGCAAGTCGAAACAACACGAATTTCATCCAAGACCGTCTCCGCTTGGTGCTCCTGGTGTTGCACCGAAGAACTCGAAGGCACTGAAGAAGCAGAAGTCGTGCTGGGAGACAGAGTTGCACTCGCTGTGCTACTGGAGGACGGTGTTCCTGCGGCAGGCTTGCGGTAGACCGCACAGCTGTAGCTCATGCAACGTTCATCCCCCATGGGAATGCTGCTGCCTTCGCCGAGGGCCACTTCACATGAGATTGACCTAAGAGAAGAACACTTTTTTAAATTAGCATTGAAACCACGACTGGTCTGCTAATAAATGTACATTCCTCATCAAACAAAGTGGAAAACTCCTCTTCCTAGCACGAATCACGAATGGCCTACTGAATCTTTCGAAGTGCTAAACACACACGAACAATTATTACCCTTTCGCCAGATCCAAGAGTCTTAAACGGCCGTCGAGGGCGACGCTGACTGCGCATGTCTCGTCTACAAAAGCAACGTGTGTTACAAAGGCCCCATGCGGAATGCTTATTGCCGATGCGGGTCCGGCAGTAATCGACTCCGCAGTACAATTTGCGTCCATGGCGTCCACTGAATACCTGCCATCTGGCCGACTCACCGAAGCAGCCACGACCTTGCCGCTCGGCGAGGCCACCAATTCGAAGCAGCCGTCTAATCGTTCACTCATTTTCATGGAAGTCGAACTCTTGGATAATTTTTCGTGGTGTGACTATATTAAAAGGGTGAATTTATGAATCATTCAGAATTATGACTCTTTGAAATTATAGAAAAGGTATTTGCCCGATAGTACTGCTACATACACAAACCACACAAACCAGCGGTCTTAGGCTAGCACTAGGCTATGGCTATGCGTGTTATGTTACTGTGGAGGGATCAATCTAGGTTGTAATCCAGTATCCATACATATAAATGTTTCTACTCTACTTCTCTAATTCTTGACGCGACTTCTTCATTCCAGGGAGTGACGAGAGATCGGAATGGGTATAGACTGTTCTTGTGTCTTTCTTAGCGATCTTTCATCTCGAAAATCAGGTCCTAACCTTTCTCGAAGATAATAGATCTTGTCTTCGGGATGATCATCTTTTTACTCATGATTGATCATTCGTTGTAAGGATCACTTGCTCATATCTGCAACAATGAATGTCTGAGACCAGAAAAATATGTGTGGGAGAAAGAACCTCTGCAGATACTAGCAGAGAGGGATCCTACGAAGAAAGATGCTCGCAACCATTCATGATCACACCAGGAGTGAGCAGATCTCGATGCTTTTTTTCGATTTTCTTTTTACCATGACGTGTGCAACACCGTAGAAAATACAAAGAGCCCGAAGCTCGCTGCTAACTCAGAGCTATCAATCACTCCGTCGACGTTGTTCATCTTCCTCTTCATCTACTATAAAGCAGACTAGTGCTAAGCAACTATAAACCAACCTACATGACTCGCACTACAAGGCAGACTAACTATGAACCAACGTACAACTACCCTACCGGACCTGCGGCTGCTGAATGTATGCACCGCCAACTGCCATAGGTTGATACATCACCGGTTGTTGCTGATACACCACTCCGGGCTGCATCGGTTGCTGCATTCCTGGCTGCATCAGCTGCTGGTACACCATCCCTGGTTGGCCGTACATCGCCTGAGCGCCGCCCATTTGCTGCATTTGCTGTTGTTGCATCTGCTGCTGGCGTACTTCTTGCTCTTCCTTCCTTTTCTCACTATTAGAACTGCTAATGACAATTGCTGTAAGTATCCAGCGACCACCTAAGGACAAATTTATGGACTAGAAGAACTAACAACCTCACATCTAATATATATTTTCAGTTTCACAACATACGAGAAGTTGCTGTAGGTATCTATGATTACTGTAAAGAAGCACAACGCTCAAGCTCGAAGGAGGACAAGCCTCGTTCGTTTGCTGAACACCAATCTTTTCCGACGAGTCGAGTTTTGGTTCATAATTCTCTGATGCGCGCAAAAAAAGCAGAGGCCGCCGATGATACAACACACGCATAGACCCACTCCGATCATAATGGCGAAGGATTAGCGCGACTCCTTTTTCATCTCTTCGTCGCTGGTGTGAGTCATGAAGATCTTAATTGATTCTACTGGTAGTGCATACCTTTTCAAGCAAACCCACAGGACAACAACGTGCTACCAGATGGAAAAAGTTCAGTCTTAAACCAAGATCACCACCTCGAAATCAATTGGGTTATAGTCCCCGCATTTCTCGCCTGTGAGCTTCGCGCCACCGGCATAGCCAGGCGGTGCTTCGCAACATGTATACTCGTAGTAGTCCTTGCCAGGAAATGAAGCAGGAGGCGTCCCGTCAACAACATTAACTTGGTACTATAATTAACTTGGGTCAAAGAGCGCTACCCTGTAGTGACGAACACTTGTCGACTGTCAAGGCGTTTGTATCCTTATAGTATACACAAAACCTCAAAGGTGAAAACGGATCAACCGCCTCCCTTTTGAGATACGCACGACTAATATTGATGTAAAAGCTAGAACCAAGGACGACCTATTTTGCTGTGTAGAACTCCTATACTCTTTAGCTATTTTTGAAAATATATATTTATAATGGTACAAGGATCAGCGTGAGAAATCATACATTGATTACGATTACGCAATGAATAATAATTAGTCGCCAGAACTCAAAGTGCTGCTTTCTGTCTGGAAGCTGCTGTGCCTTGCCTTGGGTGCAGGTGCAGGGCTCCGAGTCGGAGCCGGCCCAGCAATCCTTGGTTCCTCCCAGACCAGGAGAATCGCACCACTCACTCTTACACTCCATCTCAGGACCGTCATAAAGCCCCTGCTCCACGACCTGGGCTGCCGTCACTGTTCCCTGTCTTAGAAAAGGTACGTCTCAATGACACAGAAAAGATGGCGCATGGGTGTTTACACTGGTAACTTCTGAGAGTAAAAAAGGTGCTCCGTGGCACAGAAGACAAGAATGATTCTGGTTGGTGACTCACTGTGGGCAACAACGATTTACTGCATTTGTTCGGAAGTAATCCTACATTTCAACTAGAAGTACAACACTTCTGGCAACATAACGAGGGATAGCAGCAGGTCGAGTAAGAAGGACCAAAGTGACACTTACGTTTGTCTTGGCGATCATGGAAGAATCCCGATTTGCACCCCGTTGTGCCTGAAAGCCCACAGCAGTCAGGATCATTGCCACCGTTCTCTTTGCAAGCGGTGGGATCGGCAAGGTGTCCACAGTGGTCTGCGAAACACGCATTCTTAGAGGGGTAGCAACTTCATCTGAAAGATCATCTGGGTGCTTTTTTCTTCTTGTTTTCTCCTTCCAGATGACTTTGGAGATGCATCATTTCCTTCACCCATAAAATTCACGGCATTGCTTGGCGCGCAGAATTGACCGGTCTCGGTGTTGAACTGCAAATGGCGCGAGGATACTTCCCAGCTCTTCGAGTGGTCACTCGACGATGAAGGAGTCCTCCATGGTGAAAATTCTCCGTCAGAAATAGATGAAATCGCCGTAAATTCCGCACGAACACGGTGTGCACCAGCGAGTAGATATGCAAGTAGTACGCCGTATGTTCTTACAGTGGGAAGGCGGAAGGAGTCCAAGCCAACACATGGCGTGGATCGGACTGCGAACAGGAACATGTTGTATTTCTATTTTGTTGCTACGTCTTTTGCAATGCACTGTGGCAAAGATCGCGCGAACAGACTCAAAATGTCTGAAGCAGCCATAGCGTGCCACATGCCGGATTTTTTGCTTTTTTGATAAGTTAAGTTTGGGAAATGTCGACCATCCTAGAGGATTGAGGCTTGAGCTAGAAGGTACAGCTCGACGCTTTTGCTTGTCCTAACATGAAGAACAAGTGCACTTTTCCGTATGATGACAAGCGCGCTTTTCTATTCAGAAGTGTGACTCGTTCTCATTCTCTCGTCCTCTACCTATAATCTTTATCGTTCATCTTGAGGAAACCGCGAGTGCTAAGTTATAGAAACTTGGTTTTGATTTTTGGCATAATCATTTAGTCCTTGCTGTCTACTTCTTTGGTCTTTTTTCACCTCAGGTTCAAAAAATCAGGTAATTACAAAGTGCTTTATGATACACAGCGACAATGGCGCGAGAGGGAAATCCCCCTCTGGCCAAGAACCGAGGATTGTAAACCGGCAGCGAACGCGGGTCCGAACCACAGATGCACATCAGTTCAAAGTGGGTTGTGCGTCCTCTAACATGCTCCCCCGGTCTTATCAGAGTGCCGCTTTCCCCGTCGCAAACATCGTAATTCGTTCCAGTAGACTCAAGCTGATAATCGTGTATGGCGCGAGTTTCACGAATGCTGGAAGAAATCCCCGCCACAAAACAAGTGGCCCGTCCGCAGCGACGCTCTTCGCGCAGCAGTCTATCATACCCGTGTACAGTGGCGCCTCTCCTGGTTTCGGGGTCGGCAGGTTCTGAATGCGACTCTTCACCACATCGAAGGGCATACTAGCTGAGTTACTCACCAACGATCCGGCCAGCGAGCAAACGACCAGCGTTGCCATGCCGCTCTCGGTGAAAATCTCCGGCTTCCACGTCTGGAGCTGCGCCTGAAATCAGCAAATTGTTGTAGATATGATATTGTTACAACGAAAGCGGGCGAAAACAAGTCAACATCGCAGGTATTTTCTAGCGCAGTTTAAACTGAGTCCATTGACTACGACGCGAAAGGTGCATCGATGCTAGCACAAGCAGCAGAGTCTTTCGTATGTTTTGAATACCTTAGCTTCCGAATAGGTTGCGAGTTGTGTTGATGCGAGGACCATTGCTCGAATCACCGTGATGTTTGCACCTTTGTACAAACCATTACTCCCGAGGCCTTCCTTCTCGGCTATCTGTCGGAGACAATCGAAAATGTGTTTGTAGTTGCGACGCTGAGCCTCAGGTAATTGCCCATCGGCTGCCATGCGCACGATTGCAACTTCGCTGGGTGTCCCTATGAATGCACCAACGCCCCCGCTTGTTGCACCAAAAGCGATCTTATGCAAAAACGAAGGCTGCTGAGCTCCGTTGCGATTTCGATAGTCCGATAGCAGGTAGGAATATATGCCCATGCGGCCGCTGCCGTACATCCATTGACGCAAAAAGGCTGCCGATAGGCCATTATAGAGTCCTGCGACACCGTTCGTCTTGACTATGCGACCGACTGTGGCAGCAATGCTCGCTCGCTCGGTGCCGACCTGCATCTGGACGCGCAGCACATCGAAGGGGTGGCAGAAACATGCTGCACCCATCCCGGCAACTGCCGAGTAACACATCCGCGCGGGGAGTCCATCTGCACGGAGCAAGCTCGATGAGGACGAGCTCGAAGGCGTAGACATCTTTCTTATCGACCTTTTCAGAAAAGGGCACCTATCTATCACACTTGCTCATGCGGTTGTCGACGCAGTCGGAAGACTGATAAGCAGAAAAGCCTTAGGCCTCTCTGATTTTTGACAAATCCTAATCACATACAGACTTCTTCACATTAGTGAGGATTGGGGGAGGCTCGAGGCAATTCTTCGAGAGGACCATTTTGAGCATGTTGCTTGCTGCTTCAAAGAGTTGGTAACTATGATAATGGGTTCTTGGGGATGGGGACCATCATTTTTTCAGCTCAACACTAAAAGTGTGAACAATAAAGCAATAAATACGCGTGAATACTGGAAGAGCAAAAGAAACGAATGTGCACCATAGTGGTGTTCTCTTGGAATACAGATGAACAAACCGACAAACCAAAATTAGATTCGCATCCTCCAAAACGCCTAGAAACACACAGAACGATCTAATTGCTCACGAGAATACGGAAGAGACAGATCAAGATTGATAGGGTGACGCCTTCAAAGTAACTCTGGCTCTTCAATAGTAATACTTGTTCGCGAATGAGGCTCACTACTTGTTCGCAAATTTCCCGAACCGATCTGATGATATTCACTCCGCAGGATAATATCCTTCTGTAGTAGCTAGTACGTAGGCGCCGGCTGCTTTCATAACATTGTAGGACTAGAGCTCAACCGTTTCCCCGATCCTGTCCCAGGGTTCCAAGTCGAAACACTCCATATGGTAAGGAGACGAACTCGAAACACGGCCAGAAAAATGAAAACTGAATGAAGGGCCATGGTCGTAAAACTTCTTAAGTGGTTGCATAATCTTAAATCTTGATTCCTACATAGTCGTTTTGCTCCCTGCGAATTTTCGGGTATAAAGTTTGGTGAGTTCATGCTCAAAGAAACTTTGTGCCATTGGCTCGTTTCTATGCCAAAATTCTGCAGGATTTTCCTGGAGCATGGTTTCCGCGATGCTGCAGCACTCGGCTATGTGTTCGTCGCTGATCACTGTCAGGTCATCCTCCAACTCCTTTCTTGTAACTATACCTGTCCTACACAACAAGTCGAGGTGCCGGATCCCTGGCCGCGCGTGCGGGTCACGCTCTGCCGTCCTATAGGCACGGGCCCAAGAACCATTGCCTAAGCGTAAAGCGGAATGATCGACCGCACCAGGAGCAGCAGTAGGAAAGGGGAAAGGCTGGTGACCGCCGAAGGAGCTAGAAGAGGTGTAGTCTTCTTGCTGCTGAAAATGATGGTGCGTCCCCGTAGTTCTTCCGCTTGTAGAACTCATACCCACCGCAGATGAGCTAAGGATCCCTCCAGCGCCAGGCGGCGACGCAAGCGTAGTTGTAACGACAGCACCTGGAGCTGCATTCGAGCGTAAAAGGCCACCGGCAGTACTTGCTGCTCCAGCGGAAGATCCCGGCGACGAGTATGTGCTGTAGGCCTGGGAGGCAGGAGGCACGAAAGGACTCGACGCATTGTTTGGCGACACCCCTGGAGCACTCGGACTAGTGCCATACGAGAAGCTGCCCATAGCGGTTGCCGTCGCCATTTGCTGCCGCACGGCCGGTGAAGGCATGAATTTAGGAGCACGGCCGCTGCTTGCTGTCGAAGCCGCACTGCTATTCGGATTCCTCTGGTTTACGCCACCGAAGCCAGGCGAGCCGGATGGCGAAGACCCACCGCCTCTCTCGCTTGGCTCTGGCTCCACCTAGAATGTTGGAGAGCAATCTAGATAGAAGCATAACTTTCGCTACAACCACACCGTATCTGAAACTACTTGGATGCAGTCTTCTTTCTTCTTCTTGTTCCCCTCAACATTGATAGAATCAATGAATATTCTAGGTAGAGTGCCTCATCCTTGGACGGCATTCCGAATGCTTGACCTGCAAACGAGCCTCCTGCATCTGAAGGTCGAACGGCTGCTGCCATTGCGCGATACCTGCGCTCCGCATGCGTGTCAGCGTTCAAGTCTGGTCTCCCTGGAATGCCACCAACGGCAGAGGCTGGTGCCTGCGAAGCCCCAGACGGTGGCACGAGGCTGCCACGGGCCGCCGACAATGGCGCTCCTGCGATGTTCGTGGCCGACTCAGGAGCACGCAAATTGTCGGCGAAACTGGAGTGGTACAATGGAGTAGGCAGTGGATCCGGAAGCAGCGCCATCTCTGTGCTTGTGTTGCTCCCGCTTGGGGCAAAAGCAGCAAGACTCTGGCTCGTGGCTAGATTGCTACCTGGGTCAGCCGCGAGCGACAAAGCACTTGCCGGTGGGACTAAACCCCCCACTGCGGCTGCTAGTTGCGACGCATTCAAAGATGACGTGACGTGGCCCCCACGAAGACTAGCGATGTTGTTGGCACTCGCAACTCCTGCTGCAGATGCTAGCGTCGTTCCCGCTCCTGCTGCTGACGACCCAGTTATAGCAGCTGGAATTTTAGATAATGTTGGCGTTGCAGAAGACGGGAGATCAACGCGAGGAGCGATCGCCGCTAAAGACGCAAGCGCCCGCTCCATTTGCGTTTTGCCTGACGAAGCTCCACCAGTGGCTCGACCTCCAACAGTACTGCTGACCGAGCCACTCTATGAATAGCATCTATTCCATCTAGCCAGACCATCACGGCAACCCTTTTCCCCTTGAAAACGTATAGCATGATTACGGGGAGCCTCGATGGTCGTACGGATGGAATAAACACCATCCATACACTCGATCCACCGGCAACATCCGGGACTTTGCTGGCCGCTGTCTCGAGCAAGTCGAAATACGACTCGATGAAATTGATTTTCCCGATATGGCTGCTGAAAAAGCTGACGGAACGCTCAAGAACGCCGACTTTGGCCTGTAGGTCCGACAGTTGCTTCGTGACACGTCGCAGCTCTGCCTCCGTCGAGGGGGAGCCAGGGCTCACCTCTCCAGCTAGCTGGTCGCGCGGATGACCAAAACTAGCGAAGGAGGAATCCTCGCCAATCGTCGTGGTAGCCATCTTGATTTTTCTTGGTGCACTACGTAGGTAAATATCAGTTTGTTTTAAGTGCAAGCACGTCTACGCTAACAAGTCATTTAATACTTAAATATTACAAGTAAGCAAAGAACAAACCGACTCAATTATTGAGAAGACTCTTTGGATGAAGCTAGCTGCTAGCACTTCCTCAAAAAATCTGCTAGCACTTCCTCGAAAAATAAAACTAGACGACTCAAGTAATGACTTCTTCCAGTTGTTTCGGCATCTCGTTTTCGTCCTTCACTTTTTCTCTGCTCTCCGTAGTTCCAAATTCATCAACCTTGTACTTACATGTAACATCATGCGCTTCTCACGCAGTACTCGAAAAAACATGGACACGCGCGACCTCTTTTGGAAATGGTACGCTTCGCATAGCCTTTGCTGTTGCTGTGTTTTTTGTGAGTGTTTGAAGAATTTTGTCGTTCTGAAAAAAACATTAGTGAAGACAAACAACAGTGAAAGATACTCAAACAATGTTGACCCTCCTTCATGGACAGAAGACAACTTCCGAGCAACCATTCTTGCACTAGTGCGTGTCCTTTTTCAACGTATGAATGCATTTTGACAATTCAAGGAGCGTGTATTTTTCTGTTCTTGTTGCGTGATTATTTCTCGAATGTATTATGCGCACAAGGCATTCATAACTTGCAATTTTCTTTCTTAAGATGCTACTCCGTAATCAATGAACTACTTTTCTGTGGTAGTGGTCATGTCATGCCATGATACCTCATTCTACGTTTTTCTAACGCTATAGAGGCCGCTCAGCCACCTTGTACCTTCCAATTGAATGAGCAAGATGAGCGAGTGATAGACTATCAAGTATAACCAAAAGCAGCCACGGATCAAGTCCGCTACCGCGACGTTACTAAGCAATTTCAAAAGCTTCGATCGCTAATTGCGTTCGCGTACAAGCAGGAATGATTCTTGTTCATCCCCACAGACAGTTGCCCCTGCGCGCCAAAGAGTGCTTGAAACATGTTTCAGACAAGTCGTTCAAATGACTCCCCCAGTCTTTCGAGAACAATGACTACTTTTGTCTTTTCAAAGGAAGAGCACTTTTCTTTTTTGGTCTTCTGACTGTTTCTTAAGTATACTAGGAAGTTGGCATGACAATACACACCCAGAAATATTACCTTTTTTCACACTACTAGCAGCTTTATTTTTTCAGCACAACAACTATTCATTAACTTTCAGCACAACAACTATTCATTAACTTTGACTCCAGTAGCGGAGCGTGCTTGAACAAGTATCTACTTCGTTACTACATAACAAGATACTTAATCGTGTATCACTCATATCGGTCACATTCGGTAAGCACTGACTTTATTCGAGTCGCCCATCATCCTCGGAGTTGAGCTAGGAGTCCGGGGGGTTCAATGTGCAGGATCCACAACCTAACCTAACCATTACTTTCCATTCCTTATGTGGATACCTTGAGGGTGTAAAAGGGAGCGATAGAGAATAGTCGCCTTGTTCAAGCGGCAGTACTAGCTGTGGTTCTCCATAATGCCCTTCAAATGTCAAACGTACTAATGCTAATGTAGTCCTAGCAGGATGATGAACTTTTTCATCAGAAGACATCAAATCTATGAGTATCTCCTTTGCATTTGCCTCATTCCCAATTGCTTCTGAAGTAGATTGAGAAGCTCCACGGCAACCACTTTTTACGCTATTTCTCAGTGGCGAAAGCGACTCCTGTGAAGTTGGGGCCTGCTATAAGGTGGTGCGACAGAGAAACTGTAAAGAGATCCCTGCGGCTCCTCCTTCCACGTCTTCCCACCAGCATTGCTCCGTTCCACTTTTGTAAACAAGGAATAAGGAGTGCTGGTATTGAAGAGCCACCCCTGAAGCGTCAGAGTAGCGCAGGCTTTTCAGATATGGGAGAGAGTCTGGTGTCCATTTTTTGTCGCTGGCGTAGATTTCCGACCACTTCCGCCTGTGTTCCTTGAGGGCGCAGAGCTACCTACTCCAATTCTGATACCCCTCTCCAATTGCCAAGAGGGTACCTTGATGTCCACCTTTTTCATCACTTTTTGCATCACTGCGTCGCAATAGCCGTGAAGCTTTCCCGTTGCGAAAGAATCCAGTGGTGTGACTTGCAAATTCACGATGGAGAGGTCCCCACGCGGTTTTCTACCCACTTCCTCCACGACGTTCGCAGCAGGAGTCACGGTGAAACTTGAGAGCAAGACAAAAGTCTGCCATTTCCGCAGCTCTGTCAGCACTAGAGAGTTCCATTTCTGGTAAGTTCTCCGAAAAATTCACAATGGTGTCGACGAAATCCCCACCGCACTTCGGATCATCGCATTTTCTCCCAGGCTCGTGGCGTAATGCTTTGGGACTGTTTCGCACGCGATAGTCACGCAAAAACTCTCTTTTACACTTCTTACACCGCTCCAAGTTCCTGTTCCCATGCAACTCTTTTGATTAGAAAGATAGAGATCGAAAGTTTTCACTTGTTGATAAATGAAAATCCGAAATCCGTTATATTCGAATTGGATTCCTCGGATGTCAAACAAGACAACAAGCAGCAAAGAGTTTGTTGAGAATCAAAATACAACACAGTCACAGACTGCCATGGTAATAAATTAAATATGCCATGCTGCATAAGAGAATTGTGCTTCATTGACGCCCGACCGTACATGAAGGCCATCTGTGTTTTGAGAGACCAAGTGCTCTAAATAGCCTCTCTCCAATAGAGTTCGTCATGCCATATGAGTGTAGGTTGGAAAGGCATTCTGCACTTGCGTTGTCTTCGCTTTCACAGCACGCTCCATTTGCTCCTATGAATTAGACATCAGAGCAACCTAATCCTAGACTGATCATTTTCAGATGTTGATGAAACAAGGAAAAGTAGGAAGATCATAGAAGACAGAGAAAAACAAATTAGCATACGTTACGTTGACATTAAACCTGCTTCGGTGTAGGGGCACTACATGATCATGTACTTAGTTTTTGAGAGGTCTCCTCTATCTAGAAAGGGTAGCTGCAATGATGTGATGCAAGTTTTCTAATCTCGTCATAATGAGCGGCTTCTTCGCATTTGCGTCCTTTTCCCATTTCCCGAATCCAGTTGAGAGAACGGTGCCCATCCCACTACGGAAATCGGCTATTCCTGCTGCCGTTGAAATGCCAGCACCAGTGAAGGCAACGGCAAATTTGGAAGCTATCCTTAGAAGAACTCGTTCGTTTGTGCTGCACGACTACTTTCTGGCCTAAGTCTAAGATCATGAACTTCCTAAGATTGGATCTTACGAACGTGAGCTTGACAAGTAATTGACCACTTCTCAAGAAGAGCACTCTAGTAGATAGAAAACGAAATTTCAACTAGGAGGGACGCTGAGAAATGAAAGAGACGATGTGTTGCATGAAGAATGAAACAAAGCTGAATTTTTATCAATCCAGAGCCGTAATTTCAAGGCTTGCACCAGAAAGTCCACCTTTCGATTCATTTCCTCCTCCGAATCAAAAAATTCCTTGCATTCATCGGCACTTCGCGCAGTCGCCGCCATTTTGTATCTACTTATGAACACCTAAGGAAGCAAAGAGTGACAAAAGGGAAAATGAACGAGAATAATGGACCATAGTAAAAATGGAGATTTGACAAGCTATGCTACACAATCACACACTTACGGGTATGAAATGAGAATCGCGCACGCACAGGCAAAAAAGCACACTTAGGTAAGAAAGAGAGAGATAGTACCCAGGCGACCTGTGAAAACGCAGCAGAATCCCTCATGGAAAATCTCTGAATTTAAACCTCCTAACTCAGTTCTTTGCTCAGAAAGCCTCTCTATTACCTTCTCTCGATTGTCATCTCCGCTCCTTTCTAGCTACATCTTCTAGAGTCGTGTGCCCACTTTCCACAAAAACAACTTTAGAAAGAACACCGAAGCCTTAGCAGATTCACCATGATACCTTAAAATTGACGTCCCTCTCAAAATGGGGACGAAACCAATGTGGTTTCTTCAGGAAAAGACACTTGCTGATATATAGACTGAATTCATCGCGCGTGGAGTATCAGAGCAGCTTCAATTTCTACCTCCCTTCGTTTGTATCGCCAAGTAGTACTTGTCAATCAGCATAGCCCTCCTCACAGTCACATATTCATGATCTACTACAACTAGATCGGTCACATGAAACGGCTATCCACTGACATAATTTCCTCCTGTTCATCCACTCTTTTCCCCATAGCGGCTTGAATTTCTCGCGCTCTGGCCGCACGACGATGCTCGCAGTAGTAGCTTGAAGCAACCGAAACTGCAACCAGAACGACCACGATTTCAATCGCCAGCACCACGAGAGGAACCTTAGCCGCTTCCTTTTTATTTAGAGCTGCTCAAAAATCCTTCGTCAGATGCATCTTCTTGGGGCCTTTTTCCCCTTAATTATATGCAAGGGACTAGGACACGACCTCTATCTGAAGATGAACCATTAGGGGAACACGCCTTAACTCTTCATGATCCGAAGTGCTGCTGGTAGAGGACGCATTGCTGGTATTCCCGGTGGTGCCGTTCGCAACGTGAACCATCGAAGAAAGTGAATCATCGAAAACGAATCGCCGAAGCTCGCCGATGCCTGGAGACGACCCCTTTTCCTTTCCGACACTCCCCTGAGAGTTAGACGCGCGATCTCGGTAACCAGACTGCTTGGCCTTTACTCAGTGCTGTCATTATACTTTGTTTCCCAGTTCGTTGATTGTAGAGGAAATAAATATAATCAGGGATGGCTTTCTAATTGTTACGACGAGGAGGACACTCACCATCAGTAGTTCTTGTAGCCTTAAGCTTATGTGCCGAGGGTGGGTTACCATCGCCGGCAGAACTTCTAGTATGCTTCCCGTGGCTTCTTCTTTCTTCTGCAATTTCGGCTCCATCCTTAGCTACTATCTCGGAAGGGGCAGAGTCTCCGTCCTTGACCACTTCTATATCGGCATGATCCGATACCGTCGCCTCTCCATCCACCGTGTCCGACGCACCTGACTCCTCGCGACGAAGAGTCGGGCCCCCTTGCAACCCATGCGCTCCCCACCATGCCCATAGGTGCAAAGTCGACAGTACTAGCGCTAGAAGTCTCAGAACGCTAGACCTCCACACGAAAAACCGAAGGGATCTGCGACCACTGTCAGACGCATCGGTACGCCGCACGCCGACTCCTACGGCACTGGCATGCGCCATGGAAATTCATCTACGTTTCACACCATAAAAGCGTGTTCCATAATGACAATCGAAGTTCAAAAAATGAATAGATACTGCTTGTCAACATCATGGTCGTCCCTCGAGCTTTGTAAGATTCTATTTCTCACTACTTTGACTCCCAGTTACATTGAGCAACTCCTATCTTGAAATTCAAATTTATCAGGGTAAGACCCAAATTTTCGTCAACAAAGATGCTTCGTTTACAACTGCTCCTCTCTTTGTGGAAGACCTTTCCTTTCTTACTGGCCTCTTTCATGTCACTAATAGCCTTTTTTCAACGTCACTGTTATCGAAAGAGCACAGGACCAACTCCCGCTCCTTGGCGCAGCCTCTGAGGTCCACATGGACACCCTAGTCTTCTGTCCTAGCGTGGTTACATGTTTGCACATAGGCTCAACCTCATGTTCTCCTCAGGGTCATTTATATCTTCTTGGGGTACAGCAATGATTCTCTAATTGTCGGTACTATAAATTTTCAGGGGAAGAATTACACAGCCCAGGGGAGGTGGTGCAATGTTCTGGCACCCTCGCAGCCTTTTTCTGAAGGCCTCGCGAACCACGGTAGTTGAAAGTCAGCAAATGTTAAGGATACTATCATTTTTCTTTGATCTCCTAGATTGAATGCGAATGTAAAAGTCCGAATTGAGGAGCGCATCCTCTCCTATTTGTGTTGCTTGAGCACGTCGTCCCGCATCCTAGTTCTGCACTGACAGTGATTTCCACAGCAAAACCGTTTCCCTAGAGTTCGCAACATCGAACATGCACACGTGACCTGCGACGAGGTAAAAGTGTGGTCGAAAACCAAATCAAGTCCTACACGAGTAGAAAGGAATGTACTATTTCTTGCTCAATGAGAACTACGTAGCATTCATGTACTGCCTGGTCTAGAGGTATTATATTGTCATCTTCTTATCATCGGAAAAACATGCTCAACATTGTGGAAAATCCAAAATCTGAAAGTACTCGCTTCGTGTGTTATTGCGCCTGCGAAGGACTTCCCTACTATTGTCTGCCACGGGCCTTTGCCTGGCAACTCGTTAAAATCTGGGTCCTCATCGATCTTTGTCTTGATATAGCGCCTGTCAAATGATGAGAGCGAGTTCTTTTATTCTGATGACGATGAGCGACGAGATGGATCATTCAAGCTGATCAAAGTAAATAGAAAACAAAAATCATCTTGTATCAACATAATACGCGATGTCTTTCTCCATCTTGTGTGCTGCGAGCGCTTCCTTCAAGGCAATTCTTACCTGTGGAGGAGGAGAAGAATGCCGTGTTAATATCTTGCGTTTGCTGTTGTCTGCATTAACGAAGTGGTCTCAAGTCTCACATAGACAGTCAGTCTTTAGTCTCTTCCCTTAGCATTGCTAATGCTATCAGCTCGATTCAACAATAAAACTACATATCATAGCAAGCATGGTCTGATTACCTTATCCCAAAGATGGTCGGGAAGGTCGTTTTGTCTCACATGACAATCCGGTACACCAGCAAGGGCAGCGGCCCTTGGGTCGACGTTTTGTTGTTGTTCTTCTTCGTCAGACATATTTTTGATTTAATGTCTAGTCGTACTACTACTATCCTTTAATAAATCGACGGCAGTAGTTTTGAACCTTGCATGGATTTCGGGTTGGAGGGCTTTGATGACATAATCTTGACATTTTTGAGGCGAAGGTTCTTGCAACCTTTGTGTATTTCCGGCTTCTGTTTGCAAGGATCCGGGTAGGTGACACTTCTTTCTCGAGGATCAAGAAAGAGATATCGACGAGGAGACACAAGCACAACGGGGATCTCTCTATACTAATGCTCAAACGGGCATTGCTGTCCTCTCACAGACTCTCAAAGTTTCATCTCACTATCTATTGTACTCATCCTCGATAATATGTCACCTGCTCTGCTCTCAATCGATTACAATCAGTCTCGACCTCATTTCACCACTCACGCGAATGGAACTTCTTCGAGTATGCATTGACCTTAGTTCTCCACTCAAGTTCTTACACGCTTCACAGGAACTTCTTCCACTATGCACAGCGCACCGACAGCGATTTGAATCTGGAATAATATGCGTAGAAATATGTCAGATTTTAATGTCGAGTGCTGTGAGTGTGCATGAGATGCAGAGGTGGAAAAGGAAAGTTCATTATGTTCATTTCGTTTTGTTCTACTTGTGATCATCATTGTTGTTCGCTATGCGGCTGCGTGTATGCATGAATGCTTATACATAGGACTAGAAGAACAGGGTCGATAATATTATAAAGGACTAGTACGTATAAAGCTGTTTTGAGTCGTTTTAGCACAAATGAGGGTTGCTCAACGCAAACTGTGATGGACCAAACACCACAGAAAAATGCTTACGACAGAGACGCAACATCGATTCCGTTTCGTCCGGTGAGAACAAGACTTCATCGTCACAAGTATCGTCGTTGATCCCACTTTCACCTCGCATCCAGGTACACAACAACGACAAAACGAGACAGGAATGTAGACTGTAGGGCTCCCGTACTAAGACCAAGTCCAGTGCTCGCGCTAGCATATTCACGGCTTCCGCACGAAATCCGTCCTCATTCAAGGCTTTCGCGAAATTCAGGAAGACATGGAAACCAGCCGGGTCCGAGTAAAGCTCCATGTCCATCAACTGGGAAATTTCGCTGCAAAGCTGAAATAGGGCTTCAACGCGCTCTTGCGCAGAGGGGTGCGACGTGGAAGCCGCACTAGCGGAACCAGAAATATTGATAGTAGGATTATCCCCATTCTCGTCGTTGTTGAATGAGGAAAGAACCTCTCGTGTTGAATAGAGAACCGTTCCAGCTGTTTTAGTAGTGTCGCAGGTTGAAGAAGTAATTTCGCCTGGTGCGGACTCCTCAAGTCCTTCATGTTCATCTACTTCTTCAGCACCCGCCTTAATCTTCGAAGAAGACGCGGCGGCATCCTCATCCTCATCGTCTTCTACTTCTTCTCCCTCTTCATTTGCGGCTCCGTTGTCGCGAACTCGTCCCCACAGATCGTCGTATGCTGCTAAGAATTCACGCGTCGCTTCGTTGTCGTGCTCGTCCGGACGGACGTGTCTCAGCTTGTGCTGCTTCAATTCTACGTCTTTCCGTTTCTTGAAGTCGCTCGACAAGTCTAGATAATTATCGAAAACTTCATTTCCTGGTGCGATTTCTCGAATCACCCGATACTCCACAACGATGGTACCCCGAAGCGGCGTGTTACCTTTAGTTTGTGGAGGTCTTCTTCCCGAACACAATCGTAGTGAGAAACTTCGTGCCACGTTTGGCGCCGCAAAGGAGTGGTTGATGAGCGAAGCTGTTGGCCACAATCCAAGGCGTGGGATTTCATCTTCGAGGCTACCTTCGCTGCTTCCTTGTTGCTGTAGATCTATGCCCGGGTTGTCTGTGCTAGAACAGCTACCGCTCCACTGTTTCTGTGCCTCTTCACCCGCAATACGATGCTGGACATAAGGTTCAAGTGGCTCTGGTATAGCATCTTCATTTTGGTGCGATGCACCGTCTTTGCCGGGCGACTCCTCGAATGAGGAATCGAGTGCAGTGGAGGCGATGCTGCGACTAAGTTTCTCTTCACTACTGCCTGGGCCCAACGCTTCCTTTTTCTTCGGACTGCATGTTTTTATGTCGCTATGTTGGTCCATACAAGTTGTACTTCTGTTCTTTTCGTTGTCTTCTACTGCAACTGCTTGTCGCGTAGTTACAACTCGCCCTTCCTGTTCATCTCCACAATTTTCTAGCCCTTCGGCTCCCTCAAGAAGCAAAGAAGGGCTACTACTTCTTGCCAAAGCTTCTGCCCTACCGGATGAACTGTTCGCATACAATTCTTCCTCTTTGGCGATTTCGGTCTCCAAATTTGTGGTTCGGAACTGTGTCCTTGAGACGACGCCCTCAAGCAGCATCCCATCTGCACTGTGCCAATTATGCTGGATTTTTTCGCGAAACCGTCCAAACCCACACGGATGCATCGCAGCTAATAAATTCTGCTCCTTGATGACCAAGTCCTTTCTCTGCTGTCGTCGTTCCAGTCGGTCTTCTGCTTGCAGTTGCTCGACAACATGATCTACTTCAGGTCGTGGATCAGTACTTCTAGTGGTTCTTTCTTCGTTATAATCCTCATTTGCACAACATGTACGAGCAAAAGACTGGTCTTGCAGGCTCTTCATGCGGTGAAGTAAATCTTCGTACGAGTCGGCGAGGAGCAAAGCGGTTTCAGCTAGAACCAGCGTTCCTTCAGGTAATGGCTGTCCCGCAAGCGAGGACACGAAAACACCGCGGCCGCCGTCTCTCTGCGACACCTGGCCTCGCAGCTCCACTGCCGGATGCAGCCAGAACCCTTCATATTGAGACTGCTCAAACATCCTGCTGCTCACGTGAAAAACAACAAAGCGTAAAAAACACAAAGCGAAAAACAAAGGTCTAAATAACTGGTAAGCTTGAGATAAGAGCCGAGAAGTTATCAAGGTCTAAATAAGAAATTCGGGGCGAGGCTATAATACCAGCAGTCCCCGTAGTCGTCTTAAAGCCTGAAATCTCACCCTCATGCAGTTGAAGTTATGTGTTGTACAACAGACAGTCTCCAGCGTCAAGATGTGAGAAAATTGTCAAAACTGTTGGATGATCTTACAATTTCCTCAAGCGGTACTAGTAGCATTTGCCATGTTGATCTTGGTCATGGTCATGTACTTCAGGTCTAACCCTCCCTGGTCAAGTTGATCTCACTCTTCCCATAACTTCTAGTCTTCCTACAAATCCAAAAAAAATATTTTTCAAGCACACCACGTCGATGATATTAGATCTGCGATTTAGAGGAACTATGCGTAGGATCTTGGAGTTGAACACTCACACAGGAGTGCGCGGGGCCAGAAGATCAACGACTAATTCTGTCCTCCCTGCTGATGTGCAGCTATTTGTTGTATCATTTTATTTTGAGCATTTTCCATATTATAATGTAACTTCATTTAACAGCGTAATCCTCTTTATCTGGCAACATCTCTTGCCCCACGGCAAGTGTTATTGTCAAAACCATCAGGTTCAAGGCGCCGACTACATTCGAGCTCACTCAAGTCCATCTTGAGATTCGTCTTGGAGCTGTTTTTTTTGTCTTGTGGAACAGCTCCAAGATGCTGCGGAAGATGGATTAGGATAAGTCTTAACAACAGCTATCCGAATTATGCAGCTTAACTCGTCTATCCGTGAATTGGGCAACATCAGCATCGCCTCAACGGTGCCAAATAACACTTCCAGGAGGAGTAGCTGTTGTTGAAGAAGAAATGTCAGTTAGTGCCACCTGTGTGATTTGTTACCAGCTGAGGAGGCTCTGCAATACAAATAATTTGCAATAAAAAATCTCGTACTTTTAGTAAGTTCCCACCTACTTTTGTAGTCAACTCTGCCATACTTATGATGGAGACGCTCGGCGCTTTTAATCACGTGATAGAAAGATGAACAAAAGCAAAAGCACCGAAACTAAATACATAGTAGGAGTTAGGAGGACTAGTAGTACTCCTATCGCCATCGCGTTCAGCGCCTCATCGAACCGTAAGACGTAGCTTTGGTTCTGCATCCAATAGCCGTGGAACATAACCAGAGGTAGCGTCAAAAAGCCAAAGAACACAAAAAATAGATTCCGTTTCATGGGATTGTCGAATCGATATGCGTTTTCTCCGAAAAAGCTCCTACTTGCTCGCGTAGGAATGTACAGAAAAAGCAGCAGTGCCTCTCGCTCGACGCGCCCACTCGCGTAGTCGAAGACGGATTTCTTGTACATCAGCAAGACGAATTAGAGCTCAAAGCAATTCATCCTGTCTTCCCTTAATTTCTCTAGAGTCCCGAGAAGGAAACCGAAGAAAATGCCCCTGGAAATGAATTGTCTCGAGCCTTAAACGAAGGTCAGAATCAGAAACATGTACGCGAAATAGCCGTTGCAGTAAAGCAATAGCTGAAACTGCAGGAGTGCGGCCACCGGTTTCGTCGCATCTTTCGCCGATTTCCGGTTCTCCCCTGCAGCGAGGACCTCCTTACGCCGCGCAGACGAGACCTCCATTTTTCGAATCGGCACAAAATTGCTTATAGTAGCTATCTTTCCGTTTATTCTCGAACCTGAATTATAGACCAAAACTTCATCATCGTCCTTACAAGTAGTCTACCCAGTAATCTCCTCCTCCTCAGAAGCTCTTCTAGGTGAGGCTACTAGAACAGAATGCAACTGGGATTTTCACCTCCGCCGTGTCGATTAGCAACTTCCTACAAGTAGTACTCGACGAGCTACGTCCTAAGACTGACAAGTTTTACAACTAGTAGAGTCCTCTCACATGCTAGTGCTGCTCCAGTAGTTTTTACTCATTCATTTGAGCCTTTGTTTCGTTACCAATATTCACTCTACATACTAAACTCGGGGGGTCTCTCAAGAACGCTCATCTTACTGCTAGTCTAGCCTTTCCCTGGGTTCATACAACGCCGATTACTAACCGGACTCAAATTTGAACTCCAACGCTGTATATTCGACAACCTTGCTTCACAAGACCTCGCTTGAGCCTGCATCTTCATCATGTGCTCCACCCAAGCCAACGTTGAGCCCTTATTGGGCAGTTTATTGGGCAGTTGTTTTCAATCTAAATTTCCAGTACCTAACGGTGATGGAATAAAAATCTACGATCAGAACAAGGAAAATTGTCATGATGTGTGAGTGTATTCCTGATATCGCCTTTCACAACGACCGGAAAAACTGGTGTTCGATTGATGCACCTACTCCGGAGGTAAACATGCGCCGTCGAACTGAATGGGGTATGTCATGTCGTCTTTCTCTAGGACCGTAGAGATTGAGTCTGATCATCATCTTCACGAAGCGCGGTAGCCCGAGGCATGCGGGCGTGTTTTTTTTTCCATAGGACTATATGCGTCTTCCCCCCCCCCGAATACTAGTTCTTTTTAAATCACTTATAAACATCCACCCTGAGAAGCATAAGGCCGCACAATCGCCCAACAATTCTATTCCTATCTGAAGAGCCGCTGTCACTGCTCGTCGTGCCTCGACATTAGTTATAAGTACTTAAAAGCTTACTCGAACCATTACGGTAGGTAAAAACGCAGAAAGAACTCCCACCGAGGCGGCGGGGAGCCGCTGCCCCTATAGTAAAGAAAATACTTGTTCTTGGAATGACTGACAATGACATTGAATGTGATGAATTTTGTGAGATGACCGTAGACATAGATATCCATCCTCGACATGGCAGATTGCTACAGCTCACTTCAGATATCAAAGAAAACGCTAAGTAGACCACTACATTGAAACCAATTTCCTCTAGCTACTTTCTCATCAAAATATCTAGGATTATATATATTTCAATGCCCATGTGACGAGTGAAACACGCTCTTGAGAAACAAGCTACCTCCTAGTAGGCGGGCCATAGAGTAGGCGGTCCAACTCCGAAGGCCCGCTACAATTTCATCTTTACAACAGTATTATACTATGCTGTGCTCATCTTCCCTATGGAGTTAGATGTCCCCTTCTCTGACTAGACTTGCACCACAACTTTTGATGTTGTGCAGACCTCTCGATCTTTTTTAGAACAAGCTAGGTCTATCTACTCCAGCATCGTGCTCTAAAACTTATGACCTTGCTGGAGGAGGGTGGTTGTAGCATTCAAGAACATTGGGGTAAAAAACTAAGCGTGGGTAACTGGGCATGCGGGCATCGCTTCACAGCACCAGCACCATGATACGAGATAACAGCAAGGCTATCGGTCAATCTGTAGCCTGTCGTAACATTTTTGAAAAAGCTTCTATAAGCCCATTTCTTGAAAATTCTCATGATGATTTGAATCGATTCGGCGACGTGCGTAAGTTTTTTCTGTAGATTTCTACCAGCTAATCTAGCCTTTAAAAATGTGATGGAGGAAATACACTAGTGCGAATCCATATACTCAATTAAGTATCATCTATGTATCTTTCTAACACTATCCAGCTAGTGAATCAAACTCTAAAAGTTTTTATACGTCATAACAAGTGTTGACAAACGATGTATTCCGTATTTTCAACCTACCACAACGATCATGCTCAAGGTGACCGAACAAGATCCACGAAGCGGGACACTGAAGAATCTATGTATCCTCTGACTCTTCTAGATCTTCATCTTTTTCACCGAATCATCAGCAGCGTCATCTAGGTTGTTACATAGATTAAAGGTCGTAGTTTCTCACTATCCGCGTTTGAAGAGTGGATATATTATCCCTTTGCTAATCGCCTGAAATAATCCCTGCTTTGACTTCTCATCAAAGGGGACAAGAGCTCCACTCTCAAAACCATTCCCTCCACATGAACATGATTTTCATCATGGGATGATAATGAATCTTGCGAGACCCAACGCTTGATCATGAATAATTTTAATCATGGGATGATAGTGATATACCACCACTGGCCTTAAAAAGACTGCGGTCCTTTTCGTTGCCACCGTTAACGAATTGCTTGATGCTCTCCAGAAGGCTCCACGCGGGTCCGTCGCCCTCGAACACTTGGTCGAATTTGGCCGCGTAGTTCTTGCGACTCTCCTCGCAGATGTTGATGTTCAGCAAACCTAGGCGCAGCTGTTCGCGAAAACAGGGATGGCGAGACATATCGGCGTCGCCAAGAGAGTCGCCGATGGCGATCGCAGCATTGCGCTCGCCGATGGCGGCCCAGACCTCTGCGGGTGCGCGCTGCAAGTGCTTGTTGTACATGTGCATCAGTGGGGGGCGGACGCCAAGAAGCACACCCGGCGGTACCACCTTACTACTATTTGTTCCTCCTGTTGCAACGGAAGAGGTCGAAGTTGCTGCAGAGGTGGATACCGAAGACGCCGAGGATAAAGATCCCTGCAGCATGCTTGTTGCGATGTCCGGTGACAGTGGAAGATTTGGAGACGCTGGGCAATGTACTTCAACTTCAGAAGAACTGCTCCTCTGATTCACGAGGACATGTTGATCACTTTGTTCTTGACTCAACATCTTACATCCAGGAGACGAACTGTTGATGTTCTGCTCCTCGATCCCAATACAAGTGGAAGCAGAACTGATTTTCTTCATGTTGTTCTCGATCTCGTCGTTGTGTTGAACATGTTCCCCCTGTTCTTCAAGAACACGACTCGTCATCTTTTTACAAGAAGAAGAACTGTTGTAGGAAGTGATGTTCATCTCCTCGTCGATTTGCTCGTTGTATTCAAACATGTTGCTCCAGAGGGTGTACTTCTCGGGACCGATGCCGTGTTCGGCCAGAACCGTGCGAATGACATCCCCGAAGCCTGCGGAGATTACCACGAGCGGAATGTTCATCGAGTAGCAGTAGTCGATCACCTCGCGCATGCCGTCGCGCAGCTCAACGCGATGTAGGTTTTCGTGGACCAAATCGGTCACGTGCGACGGCTTGAAGTCGAGGTCTTGCGCGTGTCGCACAAAGTCGTCAATCGTCTCCTCGTACCACTTGATCATGTAGGGGATTTTCGCGTCCTTCGACATGTGCGCGTCGTTCTCGATCGCGAAGTAGTAGTCGTGCCTGCGCTGGCTTTCCGCGATGTAGGCGGGCGGCAGACGCGACCACTTCTCCACAAGCTGCACTGCAGTCAAACCCTTTTCAGGTCCTTTGACACAAGGTGACACGGCCTCCCCATGGCTTGAGGAGTCATCTTGATGTTGCGCCTTTTTTTGGAGAAAGCGCGTAGTGATGGTGGCATCATAATCACAGAAAACCACAAGTCGGTTCGCTCGACCTCCATCTTGATCTCCTGGGGTGGCTGTGGTGGATTCATGTTGTCGTGCCGCAGCAGTCTCGTTCGGCTGCTTCGTCGCGATACAGCCAGAGGCGGTGTTCTGCTGCTGCTGGGGTACCAGGGTCATGGTCATCTTGTTTTTGTCTCTAGGGATTTCAGATTTCAAAGAACAAGAATTTTATCCTTTTCTGTATGTGTCATGCAAGACCACAACTTTTGAAGATCTTGTGTTCAAGCTGAAATTTATGGAGAGAAGATTTGTTACGAAGATCACAAAGGGAGAAATACGAGAGAAAGCTAACTAAAAAAGATTGAATTTTATTCCACACGACAGAGTGGATGATGTTATCCGATTCGGATTGGCCCTACTAAGTAAAACACAGACTTACTACACACGAAGATCCATTGATTTGGGAAGGCGAAAAGAAAATGTTAGCAATACATTCAACACTTTCAGTGGGTTTTTTAGAGAAGGGACGATGATGATTGAGAAAAAAGTCTTCAGCTTGAGAAGCTCAGTATGCGCATACAATGAATATGCGGTAGCGGTACCTATCTAGAAAAGGGTGGGCAGCAAAGAAAGTAAGCAAATAAAAAACATGTTTATGTTATTGTTCAAGTGGCCATTTCTAATGTGTATGATTTGGATGAACACAGTAGCCTACGCGGAGAGAAAATACCCGGGTTTTATGATATTCAAACAAGAATAATAGAAAGTGGTGATAGATCTTTTAACACTGGAAGTAAGTAGACTCGCCTTCGGCCCACATAATTCAATATGCTGACGAAGACTTCCCCTTACATCCCAAAGCGATATACTGTCTGATTGGGTGAATGGCAAATATGGTTTGGTACAAGTAAAGACGGAACTGCCGCTTTTATGGAAGAGAATAATCAGTAAGAACTGGAGGTTTCTTTACAGTTATACAACTAAATCCTTACAGCTTTAGCTCTTTACAGAACTGCAGGTTTCTTTACAGTTACACTACCAAATCCTTACAGTCTTTTGTTAGTTTCTTTACAGAACTGGAGGCTTGTTTACTCACACTCGAACGACCAAAACCTAAGACAATCTTGGTAGGGAAGGGGGAACTTCTGGACGACAGTAGAAAGTGAGGACACTTTCTCTACAATCCCTGTAACGAATTTCGCGATTTCAAGAACCAGAAGATCTTTCTTATAATCTTTTTCTCTACAACTACATTGGGTGCTGGATAAAGTCAATTTGATTATTCGGGATCTCATTCTCGTTCGTCATATTCCTATTCCTTTTATATCTGGGGAGACCCATCTTGCGATCATTGCGAAGTAGCTACAAATCGATCCTTGTATGTACTTACACTTCGATCCTCGCATGGATTTTCGCATTTTCGATCCACACAAGACAATTTGAATTTTTATCGTTTTCTACAGAGTATGATTTGCAGTTCGCATGACTATCTTTTCTTACTCGTAGAACTTGTCGTGGGTTGCAGAATGTCCTTTTCTCACACAGAACGTCGCACTTCGGTGCAACACAGCTAGGGGATCCTGCTACACATCAACTTGAGAGCTTTACAATGGCGCATATATCTAACAGAAATCTTCGCTTTTCTTCTTTAGTCAACAAGCTTTTTCGCTCGCTCGTGTTACCTTTTTGCACTAGTCAACAAGCTTTTTCACTCGCTCCTGTAGCTAGCTTTCTCCGAAACTCGCTCCGAACTTCTGAGTTTTTCGTGTGTGCCTTCCACTCTCTTAAGAGATGACAATTTTTTCAGATAAAAAACCCCGATCTCGACTACAGGTGATGCAGAATACATAGACGCAGTTGGTCCACAAATTATGCAAGAGGCTGGCGGTTCCGTCTAATAATGAGTGAGTTCATATCCGGGAAATAAGCAACAGCACAAGGAAAGAGGTCTATTGCCCAGCGTCCTTGACGGTGTCGTTGAAAGGAAAGATAATAGACGATTGATTTTCAATACCACGCTGTGAGAACGTTGACATGATCATGTCGCTAGCTAGCTAAATATTATCAGCTAGTAAATAAAAAATTCACGATTCGAGAAAAAACCATAGAATCGAGAAAGACGATTATGAACTCCAAAATGAATAAGACATATCATCATAAGTATTCAACTGGATATGGATATCTTCGTGTTGTAGAGCTAAAATAATGTGCTAAAGATTCATGAATTCATCCCAAGCGCGACTGGAAGGATTAGAGCTACCGCCTTAGCCTCCCTAAATGTATCCTTGTCCCCTTTTTCAAGTAGAAAAAGAAGATCCAAGGACTATGATGTTAGGGACATGCTCGAGCAGTAGCCTTAAGAGAAAGCGTCTTTCCTTTTTTTCGTCCTTCGCGAGCCATCATAAGCCGCTCTCTTTGATCCGGCAGACAGATCGGCGCAGCGCTTGTTGCCCCATTATCTTGCTCGAGTGACTGGGATTGAGTGTGGCCATCAGATAAGAGGTTAGAGGGTTTAGAAAGACTAGGACTGAGTGTGGCAATCAGAAAATAAGAGATTAGAGGACCGAAGAATGTGATTTGGGAATCCCTATTTCTAATTAAATCACGCAAGAAATTCACACATTTCTGCGGGATGAAAGATCCTTGTCTACCACAGTCGCAAATTCTTTTCTTCATTGTCGTAAAAATCACTCATGGCAAAGATTTTTGGTGTTATTGACAACATTATTTGAGAATAAGTACTTACAATTTCGATACCATCAGAATCATGATTTGCGTAGCTCCTATTCAAATCATACGACCATAATGAGAGCTGATGTGCTGCTCGATGTCGTTACAACTGCGTTTGAAGACGCGTATGATGACCCGGCTGCAGCTTTTTCGATACTACAACTGCTTCTCGTGATGCCAGTGCAAGAGCCGTTCTTTCTACCTGCTCCAATGGTTGTGCCATTCCCATTGTTTGACAGAGCAGGGGCTGCAGGAGCAGTACTATTGCGTGCGCCGCCTCTTGTTCCACCACTAAGGTCAGATTTAATAGAAGATACGCCAAGACGCGTTGCTGAAGGACTACGCCTTGGCACATGTTGTTCCTGCTTCCCAAAACCATGCTCCTTGGAACCGGGAGGTCGCACACTCACTGCCAAAGGCTTCGGCGTTTGCTTCTGACGGTGAGCAATCTGATTCCTAGAAGTACTATTTGAAGAAGTCATAGTCAACGAGGTGGTGGAAGTGGCTCCTCCATGTACATCGGCGGACTCTCCTCCTAGTTGTCCTCCATGATTAGCAGAAGTTTGGTGTAAAGCATTTGAAGACTTCCACGAGGAGCGTGATTGATGTCCTCCTAAACAAGAGCCTGATCCTCCTAAAGTACTAGAGATTCCTGCTGAAGTACTAAAAAACTGCTGACTAATACGATGAGACGTTCTTGAGGTTGCCCGCTTTTGCTCTCCTCGTGGACGCGAGTAAGCCCTCGTTTGCGGTACAGAACTACGACTCACTGGCTCCGGACTACGGAACCGTGGAACGCTGGTCCAACTCTTGTTCAAGACGTTTACGCTTTCAGATCCGCAGCGGTGCTGCGCCCCTGCTCTCGAGCCTGCGCGTCCGGACGTAGAAGACACGGATGCCGTAGAAGAAGCTCCTCCAGCTGGAAGAGGTGAGATTGCTCCTCCAGGTGGAAGAGGTGAGATTCCGAACTTATTAGCAAGGAACGAAGAAGAAGACCTCGAAACAGGACTTGCTTGTTGATTTACAACTTGGGCGGCGGGTGTGTTGCTAGCGGCATAGTGCGCTGATTCTTGATGCCCGACACTAGTGGGTGGATTCACCCGCACGACAGGTTGATTACTAGAAGAACTAGTTGTACTAGTCAACCCAGTACCAGAAGTTGTATACGAAAATCCGTTGGCTTGATCGGCAGTATTTTTGGGAGGATGCACCAGAACCGGGGCGTTCACGATGATGCCGCTTCGGTGTTGCTGATTTAGACGGAGAGTAGTTGCCTGTTCTTGCAGGCTTTGGAGGTAGCTGGTGTCGATACTTCTTCTCAGGAATTCACTGCTGCTGCGACGCAATGTTGACCCCTGACCTTTGCGCAGAAAATTCGAACGAGATGAACCGGTAGACCCCGACGCTTGCTGGGTGGTATGCTGTGCACCGAAACCGGAAGAGTTCAGGATGGCGGAGGTATTCAAGCTCCTCTCGCTGTAGTTCTTGCTCGGTTGCACTGGGCCATTTGAAGACGACGGTGGCGCCGCGCCGCGTTTCGATTGTTGAGACACAGAGGTAGATGGAGCGTCATCACGATAATGCTGTGAAGCCTCATCTCGATGAATGCTGGGAGCAATTACAGCAGATGGCTGTTTTGCAGTAGAATCCTGCAACTGCTGAGGCCCCGTTGCCTGTAGCGCAGCTCTGTCGCCTGCCACCGAGCCACCGACTGTCATTCCTGAATTTCCTGAGTTTGTTGGCTGTGAATTGAAAGGGGAAGAGTTTTTTGATGCACTCCGTGAATCTGTTACAAGCGTCGACGCATTCCACGAAGGTTTTGAACTCTTGGTGCAACGGTCTGCGACGACACCTCCGCTGCATGGTTTACTCCCTCTCCGCGACTCGACTGCTGTGCCGCAACTGGAGGAAAACGAATTGGACAAGGCATTTGAGGTAGAAGATGAAGTCAGACCATGTTGCAGCTGCCCATTGGCGGCGCTTGCAGGCCCAGGCGTTGTGGTTGTACTAGTAGTATGTATCACTTTAATATCTGGCGGCCCTCCATCTACTATGCTGCTGGTGTTCACGAGTGACACATTGACACTACTGGATCCAAGAGATTGCGTTGGTGGAACAGTATTTTTGCTAGACGCGGTCGAGCGGGAAGAAGTGGTGACTGTGTGCTTACTCGATGTCGTCGAACCGGCACTAGTGTTTTTGGATGAACCGGACAGTAGAGCGTTATTCACGCCACAAGTGTGGCTCGTTTTGCTCGGCGTGCGCGCATTGGCAGAGTCCTTGCTTGAGGATGCCGCTCCTCGCAGGGAAGAGCGGGTTACGACGGTGGTGGATGCGTCCCAAGCTGCTCTCCCAGCACCAGGAGTGAGCGTTCCACTCAGAGCAACACTCGTCGGCGATGAGGTAGATGCAGAACTGCACGAGCTTCCGTTTCTGTCACGAGCCGAGTTGACTCGCATCCGCGGTCCATTATTTGGCTGCTTCGCGCCACCTCCAGCCGTAGACTTCGTTCCAGATACCACACAGGAACTAGATGCTGATGCTGGAGAGGTTATAGCTCCTGCAGAGTGGACCCTGGCGGATGGCCCGCTTCCAGCAGCAGCGCCAACATGCGCTGGCGGATATAGCTGCGGGACACCGACAGCTACTCCTCCAATGCTAGTGGAAGACGAGTTTAACACATTGCTCCCGCCTCCTGGTAGGTCGATGGGCGAGGACAAAGACGACGATGAATTTTGCGATTTACTGTGCTTCCGCGTGCCGAGAAGAGGAGACTGCATCGAGGATCCGGGTTTTGACTTGACCTGCTTCTGACCACCTCGTGGTGCCGGTTTGAACGGGACAGCCTGATGCATGTCAGAGAGATGTGAGTGTGTGCGAGAATTGGATGAGAAGGCGCAAAGATCTTTACGAACCGGTGATATTGCAGAAGCCTATAAGATATCCTCCATCTCTCAGAAAATTTGAAATCCTACACAGCAACATGCTAGCAAGCTAAATCACAGTATGTAAGGAACCTGTGGTGCTGCTGCGCCCGCATCTACCGAGCTTCGAAAAGACTTGGAGGTAGCGAGAGCTGTGGTTTTAGAGCTCTTGCTTTGAAGCTTCGCCACGATATCCATAGCCGCTGCCTGTGTCATTTGTTGGTCTAGACCAGCGTCCGGCACGCCATTTGCCCCGATGCTGCACGTGGACGACGACGCCGTTCGAGTCACCCCGGCAGTCCGCCTTGAATGTTGTACTAAAGCTGGTTTGGAATTGGATGACGTTGATGCATGACTAGACCGGCTTGGGTGCGGTGTTTGCTCAGACGCACTGCCACGCGTCGCGGTCTTGATGCTCAACGAAGTTGATCCGGGAACAGTGGATCTCTGCCCAGAGATCATAGCGGTCTTGGGCGTTGCGCGGGATGGCCCTGTAGAAGCAGTACCGAAACCCATGTTCGAAGAAAGCGAAGAGGACAGGGACAGCGTCCCCGCACTGCCACGTGGGTTGCTCCCTGGGCCAGTCGCAGTCCGCCCGAGAGCCGCCCGTGTTAACGCTGTTCGCCCACCGTTTTCAGGCCCACCTCGTGTGCCACGGTGGCTTGTCGACGTCGACGTAGCGTGGCCGCTGCCTCCTGAAGATGCTGCGGACGTATTAGATTTGCCTGAAGCTGTTGCTGCGGGGCCTACATTCGATGAAGGCGCCCAAGAGGCATTTGGTCCCCCCGCGGACCGTAGAATAGCTCCCGAAAATACACTACTGCCGGAGGAGACAACTGTGTTCGTGTTGGGCAGACTGCCACGGCCAAATACGTTCTCGCAGCACCGTATGTGGATCGCATACGACTTCGCATTGAAGGACCGCAGGCAATTCGCACACTGCAAAAGGCCACTAGCAACCTGGCGCGCAGACACGATGGCCTCTTGTCCACTTGCTGCCAACTCGTGGGCCCGTTGCTCAAATGTCTTAATCTCCCGCACATCTTCGGCCGATGGCAGTATCGTCCCGTTCGGTTGTAACGGAACTTGCTGCTGCATAGGAGCGCAGATGCTGGTCTGGTCACTCGCGTCTGCAAAGTGTTGTCCAGGTTCTTGAGTCATCGCTTGGCCGGGGGAAGACGCTTGCAAGTACCACTGAGGTTCATACTTGGGCGGCCGCAGTGGCAGCTCTTCTGCTGAGAACGAACTAGAGCTGTCTTTATTCAGCTGGTGCCGCCTAATCCCAAAGCTGGACTGTTCAACTGCATCCGGAGGAAATACGTCAGTTCTTGCGTCGCCTGGTCGTCCTAAACTCGTCGCTGACGCCGAGCTGACCCTTGCTGCAGTACTAGTCAAGTTCCGCTCCTCCCGTAGAGTTGCGGCCACACAAGCGCCTGCGCTTGTGTTCGGATGTCCTTGCACTTCTTGGTGCTTCACACCATCACCAGATAATTCATCTTGCAGATACCGCAAAGCGGCAGATTCGTCGTACTCATCAGGCACTGCAGGCACTTGCCGCGCAGTCGCAAAATTCTCGTCAGGCATCGGCATATTCTGTTGCGTGAAGATGCCCCCATGCTCTGGTGGCGTCTCAAATACATCAGCCCCTGTTGACGATGGCGGAGGCGTGAGAACAAAGCTACCTGCAACGCAAACTTGTTGATGAGATCGACTAGAGGGGGCCACATCCTCTGCTTCGCCTCGACTCTGTGCAGGTCTTTGCTCCACAATAGTCGTCGGAGAGACCCTCTCGTCTTGCAGAGGTGAGATCGCTATGCCGTCCTCGTCGATGCTTGTCACGTTCACCGAGAAGACCTCACTTCGGCCCAGGCTGGCTCCGGCCCGTTTAAGGCATCCGCCGGCGTCCTGTGTCTCATCAAGGGGACTCATGCTGCTGCCCTCCCCATCGCAAGCCGCCGGATTCTTCAGCTGTGTGAGTGAGTGTTTTTGATTTTGAAGCGCGTAGCCGTACTCTGCTGCTGGTCTTGACGAGGGCGATCGCGCTCGCCCTCCAGTGAGGAAGCTGAGCCACAAGCCCCCCCGCCGCGGCGTCGTGGGTGACTGATCCATGTACTACGTACACATCCACCCCAAGGGCCAAGGTTGTAGCTAGCCAATCCACTGTCCCCCAGGTAATACAAACCGCCCAGCGGGGCTTCAGCTCATCGCCTTGCATTGCATGGAGGTCAGGGCGGGGCCTGGTCCGCTGCGGCGAGCCCCTGAAGTGCGGCCATCTAATCCGAGGCGAGTCCTGCCATCGTGCCGCCCTAGCTCCCAATAACTTGCCATCACTTCACGCGAAACATACAAGCTCGCCAGTGTCTACGAACGCACGCTGCCCAACGAACACCGCGGCGCCACGCGGCTGCAGTCTGCGGATATCATGCGCACCCACCTGGGGCCTGAGCGCTTCCCACCAGCCGTAGCCCTGCCCGGCTGCTCCCTCGCACTCAACACCGTCGGCCTGCTCGGCTGGCTCCCTTTCCGCCGGCCTCCGGCTTTGCTTTCGCCTGTCGAGTCACGCTGTCGCAGGAAGCTAGTCAGCCCTTCATCTTCGGCGCTGATTTCGAAAGCCAGGGGCCACCGGTGTGAGTGCGGGGCGCGTGTGTGCTTCCAGGGCCGAACGCCTTGCAGGACAATACTTCTACACTCTAAAGTGGAGGGATCTAACGCCGCCCCCCCCCAGTTTGTTCTCGTTAGGCCTCGACTAATCTTTTCGCGTAAAATTTTCTACATGCGTCTAAAATCAGCAACGTGCTCACTAGCTGACATATTCTATCTCGCGCATACACGTGTCGCTCTTCTTTCAACATCGTTAGCACTCGCTGTGCGTCCAACAAGTTGGCGCTTCCCTGTTCTCTTGTGTTCCTCGTTCTACACGTTCCTAAGCAACTAACCAGTTTCCATATGTGCCTGAGGGCATAGCACTAGATAAATATTCCAGATATGCACACAAGAACTTTTGCTCGCTCTGTTTCTCTTCACACTAATTTTTAAGCAGTACTCTTGCACTATCATGCCAGGGTGAAGCGCTAACTTCCACGCCTCTCCGAAAGCAAAACATCCAGCCAGGGACTACCCCCGCGGATAAGAGTATCCTTTACCCGTCACGTGATGAAGCTCGTCGCCTCTGCCCTCTCACTCTCTCCTGTTTCTCCTCCCACCCGGCCACGGTCCATACCTGCGCGGCATTTACTACAGCCCGCGGCGGACTCCGCTACACAGCAAAGAAGCGCGCTGCTTCTCCTCGCCTAGGTCATTGCTGCCGGCGTTATGGCTTACCGTAGTGGGCTTCGCAATGGCACCCCCTTGCTCCTCAGACTGATCGCCCGCGCCTAAAGGCAACCCATCCGGTGCGCCACTAATCGGCGGAGTCGGTAACACGTCGCCGCTCTGTCCTTGAAGGTTCTCCGCCAAGGTGTAAATCCATAAGTCCATAACCGGCGCAAGCTGTCCCACTCCTTCAAGAGTCCCAGTCGCATCGTTCTCCACCCTCGCCAAATTCTCCCCGCCTGTGGTATTTTCCGCGGTAGAAAACGGAGCGACGACCGGGGGCATCGACGTAGATGAACAAGCAGTCGGGTCGCTCGGTCCCGACTCATTCCCTCACTCCAACAATTCCGCGCGGAAGATTAGGCGGAAGCACGTCGCCCAGATCATCATCGGAACCAAGCGCCGCAGCAGCAACAGCATCCATCAGCGCGCCATCAGCATCACCCGCGTCCGGGTTCACGTCTGCCAGCAGAGCGTCGGGCTTCGCAATGCCCGCGGATTCCGGCAACGAGCCATCTCCAACGTTATCCCCGCCACCAGATGCACCTTGATGGGGCTGGCTCTCGAGGTGGGCGCGTCCGCCAATGCGCGAAGCGCGCAGCCCTTTAGGTCTATACGTGGCGACGCAGGCGGGTGGAAATAAGTCCCACCACCAAAGGCGCGCACTTGCTAAGGTGTTCTCTTGATCTCCTCCCTGTATGCTACGGCATTGCCCTGCGTGCAAGATGTCCCCAGATGCTTATGCGCCCCCGCCCGCAATATAGGCCCGCCCGGCATCCACCCTACACGAAGAAACAAGGCCCCAAACCCTTCACACGCAATACGGCCCCGGCGGGCTTTCTCCGATGGACACGCGGATGACCCCACTGTTCGGAGGCTATCATCTCGCTCGCCGTCATGCCGGGTGTACGCACAAACAAACATCATCGCCCACCACAGGCCCTTACCAGATTCTGCAGCTGCGTCACCAGCTGAGGGCGTCGCAATGACATAAAAAATGCGGTCAAATTCAGTACCTCCATCTCGCTCTTCTCAAGTCGTGTCCCCGACTCCGTCAGCCATGTTTCATTTCGGAGACCCCCGTAAAAAACCATCGTCCCGGGTGAAGGAACAAGTGGAGACGTCGAGGGACTGCTCGTGGCTTTTCGGAGTGCTTGAGCACTCTGCTGCAGTTGTGCGTAATGCTCTTGCAGCCTCATCTGGACACGTGTGGCTCTTGAACCGTAATTGGCGTTAGGCGTTACGAGCAGTTGTTGTGCTCCAGGCGAGTTGTTACCGCCCAAGAAGCTGCTCCCTGGCTGCCCTACTACGCCGGTCGTGCTTCGAGGGTCCCCCATTGTCGTTGTATCGTTACCTCCGGAAACGCAATTGCTCTGGTGTAAGTTCGACAGCACGGATGTATTCGATAGCGCATGCTTCGCCAATGCCGCGCCTCCACGAGACTCATGCGTTACTCTGCCGCTTACCTGATCTCCAGCTGCTAGCGAAGGATTAGGCGCTGCGGGTTGATCTGCTGGCAACACAACACTGCCATAGGTACTTGCAAGCATTGGCGCAGCGTGCAACTTGAAGCGACCCGCAAGACCCGATACAGCACTTAGAATACCCGTAGTCGAAGAAGTGACAGACGACTGAGCAGTGTTTGGGCTAACAATGGCTGTCGCAACGCCATTCGCTGGAAACGCGTTGCCTATACCTGGACTAACATCAACGCCATTTACCACTTTACTGGGGCCATCTTCAGCACGTCGCGTGGGTGAAAGAATCAACGATGCCGGTGATACAAGGTATGCAGTCCTCGTCCCACTACTACTAGTTGGCATACAAGTCGAAGAGTCCAACAAAAAGCTTGCTCCTGCGACATTGCTCGCGCCTTCAGTGTCCGGATGGATCATGGAAATGTTCGTACTAATATTGGGGAGCTCTTCATCGAGAAGAACGACTGGCGTTGCAGAACTACCGTTTCCGTTCTTTGACGGAAAGCCAGTGCTGCTTTCGTGGAGATTACTGCCTGTGCCTTCGAGAACGATGCTGCTATTCGCAACGGTTTCGGTCACGTGCTCTACTTTCACCAGTGTCCCGCTATAATTATTCTTGACGAGACTTTCCGATCCTCCTATCATCTTACTAGCGGATTTCTGTTCTTCGCCGTTGGTGTTCGCGCTTGGTCTGGCGACATCTGCCGACGATGACGTGGAGTTACTGGCGCCAGTTGTAATCGAAATCGCTGGAGGTGGCGCGAGAACGCTGCTGACCCCACGGTCGTATAGCGGAGACGAGGCAAAGCTACCTCCACTCGCCGCCTTACGCGCGTTGAACTTCGGCCTTTTCGAGAGGAAGACGCTGTGACAGTTTTTCGTGTGCTTTTCGAAGGAGTCACGTACCAGGAATGTCCGTTTACATGTAGGACACTCGTATCCCGCTCCCCCGCCAAGAGATACTGAGACTGAGGAGGTGCTCTCCCGCATCGCCCCGCTGGTTGCGGTCGGGCACGTCGTCGTAGCAAGCCCTCCCTTTGCACTCGTCGCCGTTGCAGTTGATGTAGTCGCAGTCCCCCTGGCTGCTCCGGCTCCATAGTCCTTCCCAGGGCCTGTGCCAGATTCTGTGGGTATACTCGTTGGGCCAGGCAACGTTGCATCTCCGGGTATGCTAGAGCTGGATGAGGTTGCATTTTTTCCATCAAGGGTCGTGGTAGGTGCGCTATCCACGGCGGGCATCGTGCTGTATGAGGCACTCCAGCAGAGCGTGAGCGCATACCCACTTAGAACTGGCGGACAATCCAGCCGCCGAAAGAACTTTTCCTCAACGCAAGCCAGAAACTATACAGTTCTGACAAGAAACAAAATCCAGAACCAACAGTCACATGCACCCGCACGGTCCCTTTTTCATATTCTTCAGAAAGACAATTATAACCTGAGTCCACCTGCATACAATAAAAATACACTGGACTCAATTTTTTGTATTGACAGTCGAAAACTTTACGGCGTCATGTAATCAAATGTGTCGCAGACTTCAACAAGGCGTAGACCGATAAAGAACGTGGAAGAACTTGACATAAATGCCTCTGCTTAATTAGGTACATTATGCAGGCTAGACCACCTCGATGGAGGCTTCGTACGAACAAGTCGGAATTCTAAGACGTGACTCAAAACTAGTATCAACTACTCAAAAATTTCATCCCTCGAATTTTTCCGGCTATGTTTGTCTTCTCTCGAATCACAGCCTCATTATGGATGGTACTAAAAACTTTCGACTTCTGTGACTACTGAAATTTGTCATCCATCCCACGCCAAGATGTTCAGATCAAAACGGACCATCTTCTAGTATTAAGAATGATTCTCCACCACCGAGGTGAGTGGTAATGACACTGAGAAGGGCGCACACAATCGAAGGCGCCACGATTCTTCCTACGGATATAGTGATGAACACATTTAAAGAGATGACACGACATAAAGAGGCGACCTCCAGTACATAAGGCCTCGCACTTCTCTCTTTTTTGCTTTTCTTTGGACAGTAACGGATCGATCATGGGTGGAGTTGGTCTCCATGTCTAAAACAGTTCTTGTTGGAATGGGTAGAAGGAAGGACTCATTAGAAAGTCTACAGTCTATGGGTGGATATTGTCTCCAGCAGGCGCCAGGAAAGCAACTGGTAGACATGTCAAATCCGGTCCTCCGAACTCGAATCATCAAGCACTATGACATTATCTTTTGTTTGTGCTGAACGAACTCCAACGGTGGAGCTGGAATCTTCCTTCACGGCCTCCACTCGTCTGCTTTCTTCAATAGATTTCTCCCCCAAAAGATCCACTTCCTCGTCAAACACTCTGCTTAAATCCTCGTGTAGTGTCAAGTGCTCTAGAGCTTGTTGCTTGCTAGGCGTAGGCGTTTTCGCCCTTCCAATAGATTTACCGAGTGCTTCCCTTCCAGAAGTTGTCAGATCCTCCGGAGCTTGTTGCTTGCTTGGCGCTCTTGCCCTCGCCCCAAGAGTTGTTTTATCTAATTGTCTTTCCTCGAGTACCAAGCGACGCTTTGCACTTGTTGCATCAAATTTTCCTTGATGTTGTATTAATTCAACGTCTTTATTAATCATGCCAGAACCAACACCTTCATTCACTGTCGCGATTCCGACTCGTCCTCGTCCAGGGGTCATGAATTCATCGAGTTTTCGAAATTTCAAAGGCGAACATGAAGCTGCGTCGTCTCTATTCGCTGCAGTTTTCCGTCTACTTCCAGAAGTTTTTGGAGTTTTATTTCGCACCGACTTCGACGACTGTCCAACAGAACGCGCTGAAGAATGCGGCGTCTTCATCCGCGCACTCTTTGGCAGATGCAAGGTCGCCAAAGTCGATGCTAGAGACGGATCAAACTGGAGTAGTAAACTCCTTCGAATCGGAATCCACTGGGCTTGCTCTACTGCTGCCGGAGCCGCTGGTGATGCTCCTGCTGAGAGCGTAACTTTATTCACATCTTTCGTCGTAGTTTTTGAAGACGAGCTCGTTCCTGTCGCACTTGAAGATGAGGAAGTAGTTGGCGGAAGATACAATCTCGACTTCCTCTTCCGCGGTACATTAGCCTTCCTCCATTCGTCACCATCGGAATCAAAAGCGTCCTCCTCAGGCTCTTTATCGGTGCCAGAAGTAGCATTTCTTCCACAAAGAACAAGACACCGCCAATGCTCGCCATTCTCCTGCTTTTTCTTCAGTGTCAGTGGTCCCGAAAGTCCATCCCAAGAGGGACCAAACGCCACACGGTCGGAGCAAAGGATTCCTTCGTCTTCAAAACTCATGGTCGTCCTTGTCCTGTGGTCATGTACTTCCCTTTGACCTGACCTATCAAAGCTGGTTGTGTTTCTTGCCAAAGATATTATATTGGATGAATTTTCATCTGCGTCCCCCCGTAGATCATGATCAATCTTTCTTCTGAAATACAGCTCCAACATTACAGGTTTCAACGCATTGATCGTCTTCTCTTTCGGCTGCGGCACCTCCTCTAGTAGGACATCTAGATTTATTTGAAGACATCTTAGACGCCCACCGCGGTCTTGCTCCACAACATCCTCCACCGTCTGGGCATTAACAACGTCGACGCCCCTCGTAAACCGATCATAGACAGCCACTAGAGCAGTTCTGGTTGCGTTCTCCTTCTCCACTAGTTCTAGATGTCTCCGAAGGATTTGCGGATGCTTTGGAAGATACTCAGTGTGGAAATATGCGATAGCCTCAGGCGTTCGGCGGAGTGCTTCTGCTACGTCGACAAGCTTTGTGGAATTCTCGACTGCCCTCCCATGCTCATCAAGTGTGCCTGCTCCTGTCATAGAAGTATAATCACCTTCGCCTCCTTCATCACTCGACACCGACACGCTTCTTCTAGCATCAATTTCTTCTTCCTCTTTATAGGCAGCGGCTTGAACTTTTCCTCTGCTGCTTCTAGACGCAGGCATCCTTCTTGCCTCAGGAATATACAACCATCTACTCATACTGTCTTTTTGTTGTTTGCTGCTTCCACCCACAGCAGTCGCACTCTTGCTTCGACGTTTTGCAGCAGGTTTGAAGCATTTATCCACGACTTTTTCGCACCCTCGTCCTTCCGTCTCTGTGTACTTACCTGCACTTGGAAATTCGTCTACTTGTTCTCGTTCACCATTTCTCCTTGCTTTCCTCGCGCTTTGAACGTCCATTTTGAGTTCCTTCTGGCGCTTTTTCGCATCTTCAGCACTGACATTATGACGCAAACGGAGGAGGTCAGCCCATGCTCGCTTCGGTCCTTTGCCCAAGGCACCTGCTGTGCAAAAATCCGAGCCACTCAACGCCGCGATGAATGCCAATTCATGTCGAGTCAGCGATTCGAGGCCGAAATCGTTAATCTCTTTCTCCTGCAAGACTCTGCGCGGCTGCTCGTTCGGTTCTTGCTCTTGTTCCCTAGATGAAGCAGATCCAGGATTCTCTCCTCCTGCTAACCCTTCTCGGTCTCCCGGTTTTACGCATCTTGTCGTGTGCTCGATATTGGCCACAGCATTCTCTCTCGGACGTCCTCTATGGGGAGTCATGAAACGCGCCTCAAGATCCTCTATGACGACTCCTTTTGAGGGTGAAGTGTCTAGACCTCTCCTCGTAGACCCAGCAGATTCTGCAGGAGGGACGCCGATTAGCTTTTCAAACTCTGCCTTCCGATCTTCGCGCTTTCGGTTTAGAGTCAGGAGTAACCGACCCGTCGACGTCAGAGGTGACGTAGAACTAGTACTGTTCCGCTCGTTTCCAGCAGCATCTTCTTCGGGCGAATGATACCTTTCAAGAATCTGAGTCTTGTTTTCAACGTAATTGTTACTTACATTGGTGCGAGGTGCCATGGGTGTCGAGTCAATAGGTGAACAACTTTCCCGCACAAGCAGCTGCCCTGCAGTGTCTCTCGGCAAATTGAAGGGCTGTAGCTTTTTAATCAATCGACTTGCTCCGTACAGCAAAGCATCGCCATCGCAGCTGTCCACTAGAGAAAAGGACCCCGTTATATTTTTACCACCCGAAGAGATTACAGACGCCTCTTCCAGTTTTACCTGTATCGCACCGCACAGTTCCTCTGCCTCTCCGCTAGCCTCCACTAAAGCGCATCCCTCGAAGGCAGAAAAGACGCGACGTATACGTTCGTACAAAGCGTCACTAAAGCGTTGCGTTGTACTCAATACCGGAGCTTTTGATGATCCTGTCTTATGATCCGCTATCCCTCTATATTTACTGTTGAGTTTATCCAATGGGAGAAACTTGCTATCCAGCACGCCAACAATGGAGCGCACTCCTAATAGCAACAGCCGGCAGAGCTTCCGGAACACAATTTTCACAACAAAATCATCCTCCGTGTCCGGGCCTGGGCCATCTTTGTTCTCCTCTTCAAGCAAATCAACTCTGCTAGGGGTCTTGTCCGCTATCGAAGTACTTCGATAATGATTCGCGTATCGGTCTCGATACATGAACGAAGCCTCGACTATCCAGCGGGATAAGTCCACGATCAGTAGCGTATCCTTCAAATTTTCCTCGAGCTGCGCTCCCCCGTGGACACGTTGCAGTAGAGGTTGCAACAATGTCCAGAGACTGTTCACTGTCATCTTTGTGTTGTTTTACCTCTTCTTTGGTGGAACATTACAGGCAGAGCAGCTAGGATTAGTGAACAAGACTTCGCCATGACATGCATTTGCAACTGGAAGAATATGCAGAAAGGTTCAGATACCCATGAGCTCGGTCTTCTGCTTCACTGTAATATTTTTTTTGGCAAAACTGGAACTAACGCAACTAGATAACACTGACTAGAACTACACGCAAAGTTAAAGAATGCGATGCCACAAAGGACACAGGCGAGCGAAAGCTTTCATCCTTGTCGCTGCGAAAAGGGGCAAAGCGGGGGTATACTAGACATTTTCCACATCCACCAGCAGAAGTTTTCATGCATCCCTGCTCATTACAAGTTTTCATGCTCATTCGATGCAATGATTGGAAACCAAAAGGAACGTTATCAAGAGTGCATTTTTAGCTTGAAGGGTCTTGTCTATCACTTTGGACCTTGTCAAAAAAAGCTCCTAATCCTTCGAGTCGAGCAGAAGCCTGCGACATTTGTGAACCTACTTACACATCTGACCGCAACGATTGGTACCGAGGTTTTCGATTCCAGATAGCTCACACCATAAGATAGATCTTCTCTTTTAACAGAGGACACAGAATCTATTTTTGTCTCCCTCTTCACACAAAAAACACTCGAAATTAACATCGTAGTAAACAAATCGCTCGGGAGGAGACAGAAGCAATCCTTGAACAGATTACATCAACTCAACATACTTTTCTGAAAAAATGGTGAGCCATCCTTTTCCGTCCATGACCACCGCTTTCACCTACACCGGACCAATTCTTTATGTTTAGCAGACGGCGTCACTAAGTGGACATCAAGTTTGTGTTTTTCACTGACATAAGACGTGAGAACATGTAATGCTGATCTCACCACTGAAGAAACATCATGACCCATGCCGTACTAGGCGCGTGTTAATAAAAAGCTAGTAAGTTCTAGTTCATGATAACCTTCTTGTCTGATAATTGCATTCTGAGTCTCCAATAGCGCCTGTCGAAAAGAAGTGTCACATTTATGTCCGCCCAATGGAAATAAGTATTATTATGAATGTGCAAAAAGTTACTCCCTGTGCAGTAGTCCGCCTAATCATCTCTAAACAAAGTGACTTCCTCTAAATTTCTCCCTCTTGCTGATCAACTACCTTCGAATCTCTCACTGTATGATCCCCCATGAAAAATTTCGTACCCTCTAGTCCACAAAATTGATTCCTACTATATTCCCAAACGACTGACTTTAGTGTCAGTTTACTAATTACATTTCTTCGAAATAGACTCCAACCGATTATCTCTTCGATAAGGTAGCATCCCTGACTTCTGATGGCACGCCGATTTTGATGCCACGCAGAAATGGACATTAAACTGATTCAGAATCGACTCGCATTAGCCTCCGCATAGTTCGGAGGCGCGCTTCCTAATGGCATCGCGCACATCGAAGGAATACCACCAAAAGACGGCATTGCCAAAGAGGATAGACTGGAATAGGCCATCGAGGAGGCCGCGATTGTACTAGGCGTTCCAGGGTCATCCACCCCAGGCTTTCCCGAAATGCCGCAATCGACCGGGATCTTGCCGCGATTAGAAACAAAAGTGGCAAATAAGTACTAGATTAAACAGATGTTTTTCGTTTTCCTTTGATGCGGTCGTTGTGTGTCCTATAGTCCCGATGCAGGAATCACAAAACTTTGTGTTTGTTCATCATCTACTGAGTGATCTACTCGTAGTACTATCAATAAGTACAAAGCCTAGCAATCATAAATGACGACTTTTCCTTCGCCTCTGCTCCGCTACCTGCCGAGAGCTGCGTGAGAAAAGTATCACTGAATGGGGAATCCTGCGTTAAAAAGGTTCCTTCACACTTCGTCGTTGCCTCGTCCTCGACCGGCGCATTATCACGTAACAACACTGGCAATTGGGTCTCCCTTGAATCCGACCTAGGCGCTGATGTCGAGGAAGCGGCCTCCTCCGACTGAGAGTCGCGATTGCGAAAGAATGAGATGCTTAGACACACATTGTCTATCCACTAGTGTTGTGTGACACACTGAAAAAGTTAGAATAGCTTGTACAAAAGAAAATGTAACAAACTTCAAACTTCAGACAAACTTCAACCTAGCTTGTCATAGTTCTTTTTCACAACGAACTGCACACTAAAAGTACCTTTTCCTTGTACATGATATTCCGCAACGTATCCATGGGGTGCTGCTTGCGTCGAATACGAGCATCCTCCTGAGCACGTCGATCGTCAGAAGTTAGGATGCCTACAATATACTTCTCGTTCTCCCCATTGCTCAGTAATTCCTCATCCGTCACATCTGCAACAAACCTGTGCAGGGTAATTGTGCTGTCTATCTGTGACTGTATTACATTCTTCGATTTTTTCAGGGCGTCTCTACTACTTGAAGTGCATTCCATAATATGAAGAGAATTTTTCGCTTCCGAATTTCAATAAAGATACTTCTGCATACCATCAAGAGGCGAGGACGAGTAGTTATTTCTACTAAATCGTAATAGCGAACTACCTACTGACGTCGTAGATTTTCTCGCCAACTACTTTCCAACACCGTTGCTTTTTTGCGACAAGGTCCGCCACTTCTTCCTTCGTAAAAGTTCGTTTTATCATACAATCGCGATCGAGCGAGGGCGTCGTCAACAGCATTTTGTTTGTTGATGTGCTGATGGATTCGATATGAGTGTCGATTATTCTAGGAATCCAAATTCGATATGACTTGAAGTTCTTGGAATGTTTTCTGTCGGTCTGTTCATTCTTGCGACCGATCTCTAGTCATTGGGGTAGACCTATGTTATGTTTGGTATCATCGGAGGAAAACATGATCAAAGCTGAACTTATTAAGGTGCTAGAACTAGCCAAAAGAGAGGTGAGATACATTCTGTATAAGTATTTCAAGGCCATTGTGCTCTTTGCGGTAAGTAGAAGCCTCCTTTTGCGTCCTTTGTTCTTTTTCTCGATGTTTAATCTTGTGGCTATTTTGCTTTTGAATTCCAAACTTCTTAGCCCTCTTTGCATTTCTCACTCAAAGATGCTCACTTTCGGTTTCAGTACTGCCACGGTGCTTTTTGCCCTTTGCTTTTCCAGTATCCAGGTGTACTGCAGCAGTTTCACTTTCATCTGCATAGAGATATCTGTTCAGTCAACTCTGTGGGAAAGTATGTCGAAACGAAAGCATGAGACCAAGTCCTGCTCAAATTTTTATCGTGAAGCTCGAGAAACTTTACAAAAAATGATACAGAAGGCTGTTGCGTGTCTATGCGCATGAAGGAGAGGTTGCTATCGATGCATATTCGAAAGAACAGGGACTATACATGTTCTTGTGAACGAAATGTAACTTCAAGAAACGAACATGAGAATCATCTGTCATCGCTCTACGTAAAAAAGGCACAAACGATTATTATGAGGTGTAACAGGACTATTAAGGACAAGCACTTAGTAGAGTCAGGCATAGTTTGAAAGGCATGAACGACAAAGCAGGTACACCAAGATGAGAAAGTCGGTCGGGATGGATCATAGTTTTGACACGGCAAGGTAAGCAATCTTCACACGTCTCTCAAGTTGTTTTCATCACAGCGCATATAGGTAACGTGCATCATCCCGCAACCTTTCTAAGAAATTTTCGCGCTCGGCAAGCGCCGTCTTGTTCCACCCGAAGTCTGTGAGCGACGGCTTCTGGGCGTTTCCTTCGACGTCGTCCGTGCTAGCAGGTGCACCATCTTCATTTTCGTCAACCTGCAAAGAAGACAATGCCGGGTCGTCGCCCTCTGCTCTGGCGCTATTCATGACTTCGGTCAAATTCTGCGAGATGAGGCTGATAAATAGATTTGCCAGCGCGAAAGAAACGATCAGGATGTAGGCAACCACCAACAGCGCCATCATGGGGAAGGCTTCGATCATCGGACGCGAGACATCACCCCAATCGAAAGTGGAATTAGATGAAAAGATCACTCAGTTGTATCGAATGAAATCTAAATCACAAGTACATCATCCACAGCGTTCCATGTTAGATGCGTCCAAGATCATGATGATTGAAGAGACATTAGTGAATAAAGGTATTGCGCAGGGCCATACATATTAAATATGTCTACGGCTTTATTAAACTTTACTTGATAGCATAATGGAGATTTGGAAGAGTGTGAGGCTGCTCCGAAAGACGTTGCCCCACAATTGCACGTTGCTTTGGCCTTCCAGCAGCTCGTCTTCTGGCGCATCATCGTTGACGGCAAACGTCTGGTAGTTCTGGCCCACTAGTCGCGTCATGAGGACGCTACACGGCACAACCATAGGGAGAAACAAAATGAGAAAGTCCCGGATCGTCGCAGCTGCCATCACAAAAGCGGCTACAAGGGCGCGCAACGCCCTGAAGCGGCGGGCACCACGGAAAAGCCGCAGTAGTGTCCACAGCTGGAAGCCGTAGAAAACTGCTCCATAGTCAATCGCATCGAACAAAACGTCGAGAAGACCTAGCACATTCAAGACACGATCCACCCAAGCAAAACTATTGCGCCGCAGCGCGAGAACAGGAAGATAATTCACCCAGAATAACCGGTAAAGATGTTCTGAAAAAGCGCGCAGATGAGAGGTAAGACGAGACCAGTGGGCAATAAGTGCATCCCGTGTGCTGGGTTCTTCTGCTTCAGTGACGGATGTCGATGTACTGCTGACACACAAGGGTGATACGACTTCAACGTCCTTCGCCCGGTTATCGACATTTTTCAGTTCATCCGACACCTCCTCCCGTCCTCCAGCGACTTTTTCTGACTTCTCCTTGTCAGTTACGGCTGGTTCTCCCACCGCTTTCACGTACGCTACCCACCGCCACGCTGCGTAGTCTGTAAACATCCGAACAACGGTGGTCCACAGCACACAAAGGACGAGAAAGATGCGGCAAGTGAACTTAGGATGCATAGGACTCTTGAAACCTCCAGGATCGTAGAAAGTCAATGCGGCTACTTGCTCTTTCGTCCCAGTCACCGCATCGCCATTCGCGTGGCTCTCGTCGCCCCAATAGATCGTCACAAGAAGCACAACCGCGAGCAATCTCACGAAAACACTGCTCTGCTCTACCCAAACCGAGTAGGTGAACCGCACGCAGACTCGTTGAAAGTGGCTCAACGGAAGCGTCTTAGTCTTCTTGGCCAACGTCGTTCTGCAGGAAGCTTCACGAGCATCTGCATTTGTGATGTTGGCATTTCGATGGCAGGACATCTCTTCGCCAGGTGCCATGTTTTCCGTTGAGGACTGATCCAAAGACATCGCTCGTATGCGCAAAACATCTTCTCGTTTCGATCGCTCTTCTAACTGCTTCCGCACCTGCGCAACAGTGCGTTTCACTGCCGCTGAAGTCTTTGCTGCGCGAATAAATATGTCCCTCTGAAGCGACGCTATCGATGAAGCCGTCCTAGGAGCAGGTGGGACAACGTCACTGCCACCTACATGTTGTTCAGTGGCTTCTTCTTGTATTAAAGTTTTACCACTTTTATCAATTGATGTAGATTCGCAACCCGAGCTAGACGAGCTACAGCTAGTCGTCACAGGCGCATCCGTCTCTGGATCGTCTTCCGAATTAACGATCATTTCTACGGAACCGAGTGCCAAAGATGTTGTCCCGGTTGCATTCATCTTCCCCATCCCATCTTCAGCGTCCTTAGAGCTCGAAATCCGAGAGCGAGGGGGAAAAGCTAAGCTCGCCGCGAGGTGGCGCAACCTGCGTATCTTCGCCTCGGCAAAGCCGAAGCGCCGCATCGGTCGGTTGTCCTCCGCATCTGTAGCATACTGCGCGGCCTCGTTCAGACGATCACCTACAAGACCAATGAACAAATTGGCCAACGCGTACCCAACAACCAGTAGGTAAGCGAAAAAGAAGAAATATGAAGGGAGAATGATATTAAGGTTATCAGGAAACTGTAGGAGTCATTGGTCAGGTAGGGTGTGAGGAGGTCGTGTTATATCTTTCTACAAGTAGAAATATCCTGTATGATGTAGCACTGTACATAATTGATGATCTGATTTAAACTTATTACCGCGTGGTTTTACATTTCCAATTCCTCTACTCGTTCTCATAGTTCTCTGTCCACTTCCGTAAATATCTTTCCTGTAAAATAACACTCACACTCACACTGAGCACTTCTCTTCATGTCCATAATTTTTTCAGTACTTCTCTATCTCTATCTCTTCATGATGTCTTTTGTCTCATAACAGAGCCAACACCGGTCTCCGATCGATACTCGCACGAGCGATGTCACCCCAATCCATCGTTCCGATTTGAAACAGTGTCAGCATCGCACGAGGCACAGTACCCCACAGCTCGTAATTCGCTTGACCCTCCTGGGTTGATGCGTCCGCAAAGTTAGAGGTGACGGAATTACGTTCCTCAGAACATACCTGGCGTCTTTTCTGGTAGGAAAAGAGCCAGGGATGGTTTAGTACTGGGGAATGTAATTTGGTGGAAACCCGTAACAAAGGTCGCAGACCGGCCCACCAGCGCGGTAAATGCGCACGCTGTCGGTACTAGAATCGGTAATAAGAGGAGAAGGAACTGGCGCGTATGCGAAATGCCCTTGAAAAACGCGATGATCAGCCTTTTGAGGTGCATGTACCGGTTGTAGACCCGCAGAAGGCGTAAAAAGCGGAAAAAGCGAATTATCAAGAAAAAAGCTGCATCAGGCCACGCTGAGTAGTTCGCGCATTGGAGGCGTTCATATCCTTGTTCGTGGTCTTCTTGTTTCCCAGCTACGAACATTCGACAAAAAATTAGACTCGGCCACAAGTCGATGCTCGCTAACACTGCTACGGCAACATCCGCGCACTTCCATCCATCGAGGAAGAACTTTTTGAAAACGTTGATATTTGACGCCGTGCTGCGCATCAGGTAGAACTCGAGTCCCAACTCCGCATACAGGGCCAAGAGAATCAAGAAAAGTAACGACTGCACCCACACTGGCGTCGGAAAGTACTTGAAGTTTGCTCATGACAGGTGGCTTCTGGGTTCTAGATAAGTGTATTTAACTGTTAATGATACAACTGCTTAGCTGCTATTCTTCCTAGCAAGTAGCATGATATATCTTACAAGGACAACTTCAGACTTAGACATGATCCTGCTAAGAGATGGAGATAATAAAATCGTGGGGAATAAGATGGTTTGATTTGGGATTCATAAGTAGACAGACAAAGGAAGGTCCATCGTCTGGCTAATCTAAACCCTGTTGATCTCATACATCTACAACGTTGCCTCCCCTGCTTTGCATGTGACCGTAGAGTTGATGGACCTCACTAAACTCATCTGCATCTGCGCGTCTATATTCGGACTCGCACACGTTAAATCCAAGGATGGTGGAGAGTACGATACTAAAATAGCTCAGAAACTGCAACATTCGCGCTCCGCGAGGCTCTTTGTGCAGTTCGAGCTGCAGCACAAACTGCGCACTAGGAATGTGCCGCTCCGGATGTACGAGTGCTGTGGCTAACCGTCGAGTTGGGTCTAGCATCTGCTTGGCATAGTTATCCTCATCCAAGCTGACCGCAGTAGCGGATAAGGCCTTATCCACATCATGTCCAGACGAGTTATTGCTCCTCATTGCATGTGCCTCACCAGATTCTGCAGCTGCAGCATGATCGTCGATTTCCGTGAGTAGTTCTGTCACGCGGCGCACCGCTGGCGTCGTCGTAAGTGTGTCGTACACGCTATCGGCCAGCGTTGGCAAAGCGTCCTCCTCTTGTCGACAAAAGTCCTCGAGAGCGACATCTTTATCTCGAATCGGCACTCCCTCAAAATTGACGACGGGCTGCGTGTCTCCGGTCCAACGTCCTGCGACGTCGGTTCGGTCCAAGTTGCGCCGCAAGTTACCGATGCCATCTTCCGAATTCTGCTGACCCGCCTGCTCTACAGCCAAAGATGAACCTCTGCTCTTGTTACTCGTCTGTGTCGTTTGCGCCCTGAGCACAATCTCGTCCAACACCGTTGGCGTCAAAATCGTGGCATATTTCTGTCTATGCGCAGGAATACCGGTCTCATCCTCGACCAGTTGGCGAAAGGAACGCCAGGTCACGCTTCGATCCTCGACAAGAATAGGCACAAGTGGTCCACGTGTCGGCAACTGCAGATGAACCACAAAGGTTTGCGGCAGCGATGCAGTATACTTAGAAAACGTATCTAGAGCTTTAGATCCGAATCGGATTCTTCAGAAAACTAAACAAAAATCCAGTCATTTGTTCATACTCTGAAACGATAACGAGTACATCGAACTTGATATGCAAGTACAAACATTTGTTGAGGAAAAATATCTCTGATTGAGATGACACCGCGCTACTCAGCGAACATCCGGAGCCAGCGAAACTGTCATCCACAGTAAAAAAAAAACTAGTGGTCATAATGCAAACACTCACGGCATTTGCAGCCTTCGCAACTGAACTTACGCCGCCATTCACTTTGTCCCGTCCGACCATGCGCATAACACGACGAAACTTAGCCACAGCATCGGCCCTCGCGGCTCCAGCGCTGCCGTGAGAGGATACTGTGTCCTTTTCCATGTTCCTTTCAAATTTCTGTGTTCATCTTCATTCACTCAACTGTTCACGGTCGAAAAGTCCAATCTTTCATTGTTCTGCAATAGATATCAAGACCCCCCACTGCTCATGATAGATCAACTATCATTTTCTATTCACCTAATATTAAGTAAAAGACCTATATTTAATCACATGTCCAGAAGTGATATCTCCACCATTTCTTCTTTCTCCTTGTAGATATTCAGAATTTTCAATCCTGGGGGGCAAAAAAGTAGCGCCCATGACTCCATCTTAGGTCTTGAGATATTCTTACTTCTGAGCGCCTTTCTACACATGTAAGTGTAAAAGTCTTTACTTATTCATTCCTCACCATACTCTCGTTCTTGCAAAAAGTACCTCCAACGCCTGCGATGAGGAAACTACTGAATTGGGGGAAAAATGACCCGCTACAGTTCGTTTCTTACGTGCTCTGCAGCACGTTTTTCTTACTTCTAGTATCACAGTGCTACCAGTCGGATCGCAGAACTGTGTGCGTTGCGATTTTTCCAGTTCAAAATTGAGATCTTCCAAAAGTACTTCTTTCACCAGTAGTTTTACGAGTTCAGTTTACACGACCAAGCTAGTGCAAACCACCTGATGCTAATATTTCTGCGGCACAGAGTCTTTCTTCCAGTTTACCACTAGCGCATCTTATAGTTTTCTGCCGTTCAAATGACGCTACTGCGCTTCTCCGTCTCGCATGCTGACAGAACTGGCTACAATCAATCAACGTTAGACACAAGTTATTATTATTTGCAAGTACATTTGTTATACCCGCAAGACCCACCCGACGACCTCTAGTTTATCATATAGAGCTACATGATCTTTAACACCGGCACGTTCATCATCATTGCGTCTCGGATGGTCGTTCTGTACTGACAAGACGAAACAGTCCCTGAAAGAACAATCAACTCAAAAGTGCGTTTTCGACTGAAGAAAACCAAGATGATGTGAGAGTATGTTGAAATGTTTATGCCGCTTCATCGCTATGAGTCAGTCATCTTCTGGCGTGATTATATATCGGTGCCCCTCTTGCTTTCGTGTGTTTCTTTTTGCGTACATCAACCTAGATGAAGACCACTTATCTTTGTGCGTACAACTTGGTCTAGCATTGAAGAACAACTTGGTCTCCTACCATTTTCTAGATATTGAAATGCATTATCATACTAGCCCGACATCATCATCATTTTTTCTTATTCAAAATCTAAAATGCTTTGTTAGTACCAGCACCGAGTGGCGCCACATTTCATAAGAAGTAGTAGAAACATGAATCATAAATTGCAGGGTTCTTCTACAACATTCAGTCGGTGAATATTTCGTTGATATTATACATAGGTTCGTGTATCATGTGACTTACAGCATTAGCGAGCCCACTCTTCCCCCAGTCAATATCCGAAAAAAATCTGCGTAGCCCACTGGCATCGTGTTCTCATAGATAGTATATGGTTGTAACTTCTATAAATGATCTATATCTTAGAGGTCGCAGCATTACATTATTCAGCACATCCTTGCCCTATTTCCCACTTGAAAAAAGATCAAGGATGTTGCTGGATGATGTAACATGGAAGCCCCATAATCTCGGCTCCCCCGTCGACACACGACGTGACAACAATCGTTCATATTTACGTTAGGTCATCATCATTGCGTCTCTCATGAAGGATGGACAATAGCAATGCAGCAAAATCGCAGAAAGCAGATCCCAAAGGACGCAAAAGGCGCCATAACCTGGCTATCCTCCGCGCTATCCTCCGCGCGCATAGCGCGTTCGCGCTCCGGTCCATGGGGCAGAACTTGGAACTATTACCGCATTTAAGTAAAGAAAATAACAGCTGACTAGTTTTTATCTGAGAGACTAAGTCTTAAGTGACATCCTCCAAGTGCTTTTCCCACCATAACAGAAAAAAGGTGCCGAGAAGGGGTCGCCATATCCTCGTCGATGCTCCATTCCTACGCTTAGGACATTCCCAAAGACCACCAGCACGGACCAGCCCGCGCCGATCCCAGGAGCCAAGCTTCGGATACTAGGAGGTGTTGATGTCATGTCGGTGATGATGATTGTACTCTAGGTAAAAAGGTGTGAACAATCAAAATTAGTCAGACAATCAAGGGGCGAATGATGATTGTACCTAGTAGTCAGTGATGATAATTGTACTAAAGGTTAATGTTGGTTCTAAGTCATACTGACTTCCGTGATGCGATGTTGGTGTCATTTTAAAATTCAGGTCTACGAGCCCAATAAAAGAGACACAGAGCCTGGAAGAATGGATTATGCCGTGTGATTGCTTCGTGTTGTAGTTCTAACTTAACTACCTGAGGAGCTACATTACATGGGTAGATAACTACCGTAGGAGCCGGATTACATACGAGCTCAAAGGGACAAAGGCACATTCCATTTCAAACGCACAAATTCAAACACGAAGAAACAAGTTGGAAGTAGTACGCCTGTCCGCAATCCGTGATCTTGCCGTCTCTGTCCCGCCACGGCCGAACTCTGCCGTGAAGGCACGGTGCCCAACAAAGCAGAATCAAGATGTAAACGAGGGCTCTTAGAACTATCATATGCATGGCCTCCTCAAGGCCAAGGGCGTGATAATCATCGTCATCAACATTGCGTCCTCGATAGTCTTTCTCTAGTATCACCAAAAATGGTATTGAAAACACTAGCAGACAAACTCTATTATCCACTCACACGGCGATACTGAAAACAAAGTGTATAAGAAAATGTAGAGAAAGTAGAGGGGTAGAATCTGCCGTGATTCAGTTATACTCTAATCAAAAAAACAAGATTCATAACGTGACGAATCCGCGATATGCAAAAGTGTCCAAGGCACTCTTCCGACTAATGTAAGCGACAATCCCGTCCACCACTAGGCAGATGAGAAACTGAAACCCAATGCAGAAGTCATGGCCCCTTCGAGTTAGAGCTAAAGCAAAAGCGTCGATAAAGGGAAAAGTATAGTAAGAATGATCAATGGTGAGATCTCTTCTTCTAGATGAAGATGTTGCAGATGTATCCACGTGGGAAGTAGGAATTATCTTAAATGACACTGTGATTGCAAAAGTCATTTGTCAGAATGATAGGAGATTTGTAGAAGTAGTTCTGGGTACGTCAAGACAACTGTCGATATTCTTGTAACCGGGGTAGCTCAAGAAGAACGATCAGTATACTCTTCTTGATAAACAACTCAGGCTCAAATTATGCTCAGGACTCCCTTAACTGATCTTCCTCTTGCTGCGGTTTTTCTGAAGACAATTCCGCACGATTGCCATTTGAACTTTGTGGAACACAGGTCTTCGTCCCCTTTTTTAAGGACGCCTGCTTTTTCTCGGTGTTCGACATCGGCCCCGTGTAAGTCATCTTGGCGGTCGTTATAAACGCGGGTCGTGTCATGGGTGCCGCTCCAGGTGCTCATTTTACAGGTGGACGAGGGAATGCATCTCATCTAGATCATCTTCTGGGCATCTAGATCTTCTTCTTGCCTTATTCTTATTCAAGATGACTTTGGTGGAGATGTATTCCCTAGCACGCTCAACATAATACTGCTGGGCCTTGTTGTGGAACCATGCCCGTCAGGGGAGCTGGTGCAGCACCATAATGGTAATTCGTAGTTGCGTGACGAACGACGACTTTAGCAGGCCGTTGCGTGTTCTTCATTGCTTTTATTGGCTTCTGCGGCACATAAGGTCGGTTCTGTGGCATGTAAGGTTGGTTCTGTTCTTCGTGCAAAGTGCCATAGGATGGCACACTTGAACGTCGTTGCCCAGGAGTAGCACCATAGACGTTGTTGTTCATCCCGCCAACATTGATATCATTTCCTTCACCCATCTGTGGTGGTGCATGATAATATTGCTCTGCAGGAGGAGCCCACGCATTCGAAGTTACAAAGCCACTCGTGGGTGCAGAGGGTCCACTGGAGGTAGGCTGCATTGAGGAATTGGAAGGCTGCATATGAGGATTGTGCTGCAGCTGAGGATTGTGCTGCAGATGAGGATTGTGCTGCAGATGAGGATTGTGTTGCACCTGAGCATTGTAGGCATGAGCAGAAGGTGGATTGTTTGTCGTCGTAGTCGTATTATAAGATGATGGCGCAGCTGTTGTAGAAGAAAATGGATTCTGTAGTTGACCCTGATTCTGGACAACGCAGTAGAAATCTTGATCGGGCTCTTGGTCAGGTTCCTCATCCGGCTCCGGCCGCTCTCTCGCCACTGCTTGCCCAACTCCGTGGAAGGCCTGCCACGGTTGGAACAACGGGACCGTTTCATCGTCCTCCGCACAGTGTCCTTGTTCGGGATTCAACCCCGCCATCTTTTTGGTCCTCTGTTGTCTCTGTTGAAGGTATGTCTCTGGTGAAGTTCTTCTTCTTGTTTTGTTCGCTTTATAATTTGGAACAAAAATCGGATTAGGACGTTGTAGTCTTTCTTCTTGGCAGAGTGTGAAGATTTCAAAACGTTTTACTGAACATTTCAATTTTCCGTGAATGAAAATCGCAATTGCACAAAATGAGCCTGCTTGATCACACGCAGAGATAAGCGCCGAAGCCAAACTTGATCAAAACCTCCAAAAGATGTGCTTTTGTTGCAATGTGCTGCTGCCTTGCGCTACCCATGATCCATCGCGGCTAAAGCCTGGGAATCTACCACACCAGACTACAACGTCAACTTAGGATCCTCAAGCGTCGCTGAACAATACACTACAACGCAATGGTGCAACCCAACACAATACATCTCGCGCAAAGTTCTGCGCAGACAGCCACACGAACGTCTTCGAGGTTCGAAACTACTCCATATCAAAATAGACGAGGAGGATAAACTTTCTTCGGCGCACTCGGTAGGAAGAACACGCCACAACACCAGTCTCTTTCGGCTTGTCTCTTCTGTTCCTCCTTCGCCTTCCGAGCAGTAGGGATCTTTCTTCGCCTACTTGCAACCAGGCACAAACTACAGGTCGTAGATGTCATCGGTCATACAGCGTGCAAGTCACTGATCACACAGCGTGCAAGTCATTGAATAGAAAGGAGAAGTTACCAGTCACTAAGAGTTGATACGATACCACGAGAATCAAAAGGTACTTGAAGTTATTGTTCTCTTGTGTTCACGGAAACCTTCCCCGCAGCTCGACTGTAGTCAGCTTGGGAGAAGGGAAACAGTGAATTACCCACGACAATCGAGCAGAAGGCTACTACCCTGCTTCAACAATGCCTCCTTGTTTTAGAACAATCTTGACTCCGTAATTGTTTTTCTACGTGAGAATAGTAGGTCGAGATAAAGTGAAGATACGGTAAAGTTTATTCAAACCTGAGTTAAACATAGATACTGATTGCAAAAGCTCCTCGCTACAGACCTGCAATTCGTACTTTTCCTAGTCCACCGCGCAGCTTTTGAAATCACTCCTAGTCTACCACACTGGACCGAGGTCCTCCGCCTTATCCTCCTCCACGACGCCCAACTAAGCGTGTCCTGCTTGCAAGGTCGTCTCCTCTGATATCCTCCAACACACTGACATCGTTCACGAATCGAATGACTCGATCGCCTAGTAGTTGTACTTTCCGATTGCTGCCACGTCTGTAAATCTCCACCTGATGCTGACGTCCAACCTTCCACGTGGTTACCGGTATCGCCCCAAGAAAGTGGAATAAATGCCGCTGCATCTCCTGAGCACTCGACTTCCCTCCGCCTGCAGAGCCGGAGCAGCCGTCTTGCTGCTGAGGCAACGACCCTACGCTTGCCATAATTGACCTCGAAGACACTGAAGGAGGAGGAGGAGGAAGAACAAGAGCTCGACATCTTCATCAGGGACCTCTTTTTCCTGCTTGGTTGTATCTTCCTACAACAACGCTTTAATACTCAGGCGCCAGATCAGGTACACCAGTCCGATCGTCCGACGAGGAGTACCTAAGAGTAGCAGAAAATAAACACAATCAGAAACTGGTCGAAATTTCCTTTGTGCAATCAAAATTGTTGATTATTGATTTGAATTCATCATTTTCACAGTATTGAGACTATTATACATGCAGGGCAGAAATGGAATGCCAAAAATCCACCAATAAAAATCCGACGTGCTTCCCAAAAAGAAATACTACTTACTTACCACTCAGAATATTTCCATAGATCGACTGTCGGTTCGCGAAAATTTTCTTCTTCGTACAATACTAGCTGCTCCATAAATCCGAGATTTGGTGTAATAATAGGTCTGCGAGATCTCACCAGGAAAAAAGCGTCATGCAACGTATAATTGTGAAAGTTCATCAAATAACTGTTCTTAGAGCAGCTCACCCTTATCGTATGATCCATCTTGATATGAATATGCACCTTGATGCTCCTTTTTTCTTTCCCTGTATTCTCGGAGGACAGCTTCAAGAACAACATGCTCTCTCTGGAGATGGATCAGCAGGGGACGAGGCCTTTCTGAGCTTGTGAACCTTAGATAGTCAAAAAACATAATGATCACAATCGTAGCAGACCGGCTTACTCCAGCCCGACAGTGGACGAAAACCGAAAGCTCGCGTTGAATAAAACTGTGTATGAAGTCCTGAGCTTCACCGAAGTACCTGGAGATGACTGTAGGTTGGGAAAGAAATAAAAAGTTGCATTTCGTGTCATGCCATACGTCTTCGATGCGACCTAGCAAATCACCTGTCATCATATTCCATTCCATGAAGTCTAACTCTAGCAGACAAGGTGAAGGTACTAGCAAGGTATAAGTAATACAGCATCTTCAATACAAAGGTGAATACTAGCAAGGTATAAGGTGAAGGTACTAGCATCTTCAATACAAATTGATAGGCTCTCGGCTTTGGTCCTCGACGTCGACGCGGAAATACTGAATCTCCTCCCGCTCTTCTGAGACAAGGAACTCCGTTTCTTGGAGGTGCAGCTTGAAGATAGTCACGGCACAGTAAGATCATATCTATGATGTAGTCCGCCTTCTCACCTTTAATCACTCTCCTGAGTGAGCACCATCTACTTACTGCCATTTCTGGTATTGTATACTTATCTATATTCCTGAATTCTCGTGGTCATGTTCGCAAAAAAACTCAAAGAACTAGCCAGGAGACATAAGTGTAAGGGCAACAGCAGACTATGGCAGCGACGCCTTCCCGGTTTAAGAGCGCAGAGTCCGACGCGGTCTCGATGCCGCCCAACACCTTAGAGCAGCTCCGGCACCTGTCCTTGTAAGCATCCCTGTTGTAAGCCTAAGCGTTCAATCTAATAAAATCATCTCCCCTGAAGTGAGTTTATAATTAGATTGATCGCTTACACCTGTCTTCTTTTTCAAGGATGCTGTTCTTCAAGATGTGAATGTATTCTTCCTTGGTGAAATCAAAAAAAAGCCTTAAGAAAGAGGTGCGGAATAATGAGATCCACTTTCTCTTGCCGGAGAGCACTCGCCCTACTCCCCTACTCGGAAGTAGAGGGAATGCTCAGAAAGACCATATTCGACGTAGTCCATCAACTTATCGATGTTCAAAGTAGCATAAAGGGGGGTACTGATTGATGCAGTCAGCAGTCTCTCACGAACCATAAGTAGAATCGAAATTACATCAGTTATACAACAAATAGTCCTCAAAAATCCTATTTATAAAATAGTCCTAATATAGCTCGGAGTCGGACGGCGCCACAGGTTGCGTTTAAATTGTGATTTTAAAGGATGCTGAAACACTAACGACTTCTCTCTAAACCGACTTCTCTCTAAACCTGTCTTACGGAAATAATAACAATATCCTTATAAATAGATACTTCCGTATCCCTGTTATCATGCAATCTTCGCATTCAACTCGAACTCTCATACTGCAGGAACAAACAAGATCATTGATCCACTATCATGGAGATGATCCGTCACGCAGCGACGCTGTACTGTAAGCGTAATAAAGGCACGCCAGGTGGGCTGCCCAAAAATGGTCTATCACGTGTCCATAATGTGAATGTGTCACCTGCTCGGGCACACACCCAAGATGAATGCCTCACACCCCAACTCATTGCGGCTCCGTGGAAGAAGATGGCACGATAATATTTTCACGAGGACTCAGAGTCCGAGGTAGCTACAATAAGGATCACAACTCCGTATGCGCACGATCTACAAGCAGCGCTGGTACATGTGGTTACCGATGCTTCGATTCATGTAGTCTTCTCCTGCGCCGCCGCAATCTGCTCCAGATACCGGAAAAGATTCTCCGACACCCCTGTCGCTCGTAAGATTTCTGCATTAGGTGTGTAGCTGGTGATGAAAATACGGTTTTTGATCGTGTCCGCACTCATCCTTACTGCAAAGACCTGCCACGCGACGTGGGCAGAAAGCGGCATGTTAAAAAGCACCATCTTCCGCATTCCCCCTTGGAAATGGCGCTGGAGGATGGTAGATGTGGTCGCAACGTTACAGTAAATTGATAAGGATCTTCATCAGGTAGTCAGAACATCCTGGTAGACACTTTTTAGAGAACTGAGTGAGATGATCATTGAGAGTGTTCAAAGAGACTATGCTCTTCTATAAATATTGCATCAAGCGAACAAGCTGTCCTTTCGTCGGGAGAGGCATCAGCATGTAACAAGTAGTCAACTAATAAGCAGTGATACCGATTCCATTTCTTTCGAAATCTGGTTGAGACGCTTGAGAAAATGGTTGTGCTTCGCAACTTGGAAAACCGTAAGCCCTGCGCAATTCACGAACAGGATTTCGCCATCGACAGCACAGTTGCGACACAGCTGCTGACGTCGCAACAGGTACAACAAAAACGCGCACCCTAACTGTTTCTCGGTGAGCTGTCGAAACAAAGCAGGGAGCGAGCGCACATATGCTCCAGCGTGCAGATAGCTGACTGGAACGCCTTCGCGGGAAAGGGGGTTTAGAGCTCTCGATCATCTACAGAGCCTATCTGTCTGCCTTTGATGCACCCGCTCTTGACCACCGCAGAAGCCGTATGGCATTTCCATTATACGACACGCACATACCCTCCTGAATGATTTGGATTTGGAATCAATCAGACCATAAAAGCAGCACCTTGTTGTGTGGAGAAGCGGCTGCCTCAGGACCGTTGGATTCTGCAGAGGCTTTGGATTTTGCACTTCCAGCGTGAGCACTCTCAGGCCAACGATGTTCGCAGTAGGTTCGGACAGCCTCAGTATACATCGGGAACAAGCCACGGCGGACGGTGACATCCAACATAGTGAATGTATCCTCAAGCAGGCTAACATCCGATTCGAAAACAGGAAAACTGGTGGAGGTGCGACCATCTGCATCTGGGGTGGAAGTAGATGTATTTATATTTTCATTCATCGATGAGACGTTTTCATTCGATGAGGGCACCGCACACGTGCGGTACATATCAGCTGCTCGTAACTGCTGGGCTCGAATTTCATCGCCTGGTGAAAGAGTTCTTGATGTTCGTTTTTTCCTGTCCGCATTCGCAGACGTAGTTACCGATACGATTTTGGACGTGGTCGTAACTTGTAGTTCCCTCTCAGCGCGTGCGGAAGCAAGCTCTTCTAGCAGGCTTATTTGTGAGCCCTCACGATCTGCCCGCACTAGGTCTACCAAACACCTGGGCTCCTTAAAGCGGACGCGTCTGCAGAAAGCACGTAGATCCGGCTCACTTTGCCGCAAAAGCGCTCGTGCCAGTCTTTCCTTGGGATGAAGCGGTAGCGTTGCGTACTTTTGCAATGTAGTTCTCGTCGAAGGTACGCTTGGACCTGTAGTTGCTCCTCCGACAACCTCGTTCGAGAAACCTCCACCAACATCGTCGTCTACGACGAGCACGCAACCTCGCAGGAGAACGCGGTACAGGTACGCATTGCGGCTAATGACAGCCTCAACGATCGCATCAGAAGTATTCGCAAAGTTGTAGTTGTGAAATTCCAAAAACTGCAGCACCGCGAATTCTGGGCCGTTGCTGTAGACGAAGAAATACTCAATGAGCCAAGCGGCCGCCACAGCGCGTAGGATTTCCGGGGACACGCGGTTTGAAGCTAGTGGTGACCTTGTCTGGCGCTGATGTGCAGAAGTAAGCGCTGAAGCTCGTCTGTGCTCGTCATGATCGGCGTAAGAAGACTTAGTCAAAAAGGATCCGCCAGCATGGATCATCTCCTCTTCAGATATTAAAGATGTGGCTGCATCACTAGCCGGACTCTGCTTTGGTATTCTTACAACTGCTCTCGCTGAAGATGTATCATACGACTTGCTCGCGAGTCTGTTGGGAACTGAGGCGCCTTGTGGAAAGGCCGGCTCACTTGTCGGTGACCACGTTGGTTGTTGTTCAGCAATTGTTCCGTTACCTGCATGGACATCTGTGTTCTTACTTACAATTCCAGTGCTTGCGCCGTTACCTAGATGAAAAGCCGACACACCGGCGCGTGCACTGTCCGCGGTGCTGAATCCTGATTCTAGATCGCCAAGCGTTAGTTCATTCAAGGATACGACGTCCTCGGACGTGGCATGCGACGACCCGACCGTAAACGAGGAGGTACCGCTTACTGCTCGGACACCCCCGTTCTCCAAGGGAGGCGCTTGACCTGGAACATCGGAGGCTGTATGCCCGCTCTCGCTCCTATCAAAAATGACGCTCGCACCCGTAGCAAAAGAGACATTTCGCTGAGCCGCTCCTGGTCCTGCCAGCACCACAGATCGCATATTTGCCAAGTCGGCTTCGTCATGATTGTAGAGAGTCGTTGTAGTACCATTGGAAGAAATAGGGGCACCACCTCCATTGGCTGCGGTAGTATTTGTGGAACCTGTGCTTCCGCTGGTTGTGAAATTTCGAAAGAAGGTGAAATTTGTCGCTCCCTGTCCTTTTGCACTTTTATCGGGAGAGACCGAGACTGAAGGCGAATCACTCGCAAAAGTTCCACCCTTACTTGCCGGTGTTGCACCTCCCGCTGCACTCGCGGCTTCCAGCACGGATGTACTAGCAACTGCACCAGCAGCTCTTTTGTTTGCTTTCGTATTTTCACCATCGCCTTGTTCATTTTCTGTTTTGCGACGCACGCGCTTCTTCGTCTCGACCGCAAGCATGTCTAGCAACAGCCCCGTCTCGAAGTATTCAGCGAAATACTTCTCTAACGTCGCCGTGTGCGGCCCTGTCCGCCGTAGAATCTCCTCAACGACCCAGGGCATCAAGCGCGCAGTGGCCAAACCTTCCCACCGAACAACCTGCAGCAAGCGCTCGCACGAATCTACACCAGAATCGGCATTCGCACGCCAGCCGCCACTTGCCGCCAAGGACGTCGCACTCTCTTCCATCACTTGTATCCCAAGCACAGCGATAGTCTCTTGAGCTGCAGCATTTGCTCTACGATTCTCCAGATACAACACCTGTTGGCGCTGTTGCTCTAAGACTTCTCGCGTTGACGCTTCCTGTGTCATGTTGTTGTGGTTGTGCACCTGTTCGCCTATACCAGTGCCATCCTGGTCCTGAACGGGATCTTCCGCGATGCTGAGCAGAATCCCTGCGCCAGCATCGAGCACGGAGCTCCCCGGCGAGTCCGGAGATGCAAACGATATTGTTTCACTACCCGCAACTGGTGATGGGCGCGCGCTTTTGCTTGGCCATTTTTAGCGGTACTAGTCTTGCATCAGCCAGACTACTTCAGTGAATGGAATGGCTGTTGTCCCCGTCTGGTTTCTACTTGAAACTACCAGGATGAACAATCTAGATCTGCCACTCAGGAAAACAAAAATCCAAACCAGTGATGATGAAAAACTCCCTTCCATAACGCTTGTTGCCCGTTGCTGGAAGCTCATCGTCTTGTGGACTTGCAGCACTTCCTCCAGCAGTGTTCACTTTCACAGCAACCTGAGGGTGAGGCTGTACCTCCTCAAACTCATCCGAGTCGTCATCCTGGGAGTCTCCAGCTGAGAGGAGGTCGTCTTTGTCCGGTCGTTCGATCTCCCTTGAGTCTGTCCCTTCTGCCCGTCGCCGACAGCAACCATTGCAGATGCCCATCTTTGGAGCTTCTTGCTGGCTCACATAACCTATATATGAGACAAAATGAGCTTAGGAATGCGCGTGGAATGGTCTACCAGACACATCCTGCTGTGCACTCTTTCTAACCGTGTTCAATACAGTTCCGGTGTAGTCGCCGCGGGATTAATACAACCCACGCCGAGTCTGCAGGCACCATCATTGTTTTCACTCTACTTTCTTCAACACCAGGAATGCATCAGGGAATGGACTCAAAACGGCGCGATCGGGAAACAATGAGAAAAAAACACTACACCACTTGTTACCTTCTTGATTCTTGCGAAGTAGAAACAAGAAGAAGCAAAATTACCTATGACGTGATAACTAAGCATAACTACGATCCAAACCGGGGCATGTCGTAAACCGCAAGCTAAGAGCGACTTCGCTCCCCCTCTATCAAGATTTTGACCACGGCTTGTGGTCACACTCGAGCATGTCTGACTGAACCGACTCCTTCTGCTCAAACCTCCCAGCGCGACTCGTTGAATCTTGCACCGACAAAAGTGGTAATTCGGAAGTGACCCAACCGACACGAGGATGTTACATGCTTGCTACAAACGCGACATCACGCCACGCTGAAGCTGAACAAGGACGAGTGACCCCCAATAGGTTCTTGCGCAAAGCAAAGAACCAGTCGTAGGGTAGAGAGCCAAAGGCGTATACACCCAAAGAAACTGCTGATAAGCTTCAACGTGATCTAAAAACATTTGTATTTCTGCGCGGGCGGAGCCTACTTCTGTATACCCGAGAGAGATGGAGAAGCAAAAACTCAAAATAAAAGCAAAATCTTCAAATTTCGAATATCGATAAGACACTATGCAAGCCCTCTAACGAATGTGTCCTCTAACGAAACTCAAACATTTCTTAGTCGAAGCACAACATTGAGTCTACGTTATGGAAATGAAATCCGCGTTCATAGTACTTCGGTGACTGAGGAGTCGAATAGTAGTACCGACGACTTGATAAGTAGGTATGGTGTAGTTGGTTTTAAGAAGTACATGAAGGCAAAGTGGGAATGGATACTCGAAAAACAGGTACAGAACTTCTGCACGCGGAGATGGTTTGCATCTGTTCGGCAGTGTGCCTTTGTAGTTGCAGGTTCACGTTGTCGCTATTGTGCTTGTCAAGGTTTCCCTGACGATTTCTACCAAAACTACTGCACATAATACTTATCATGAATGTCGATGGCATATCAACAACTTCTGCGGCAAGCAATTTTTTATACATACACGTTATAATAAATTGCAGCCAGCACAACAAGTATGGTGGTCTGAAAAGTAAACCTTTTTTACAGTGACGAGACCCAATAGTCCGCATTTTCGATGTTGGCTACTTGGGTCTATATATGGAGCAACTGAAGCCAGATAAAAATCATAACAGAATTTATAAGGCTTGTAAACTATTACGCAAGCATCTTGATGTGAAGGCTGATCGAGTTTAGAAGTAGCGAGCTCAACAGAAACAAAGGAGTAGGAGTGGCGCTATGATGAAAAGCTGAACATTCTTTCAAAACTATTTAGGGCGCAGTAGTATATACATATATCACGAACGAGGACGTATAGGGGACGCGCGTCGTCGAATCCGCAGAAGTGACAGCGTGTAGTATAACGCACCATGAAAGTCAAAAGATAAACTTGATAAAAATTAGCTGGTTACCACGTATACATGGCACTTATAGACGCCACCTTGCCTTTCCTGCTCAATAAGCGACGCATGTACATCTTTCAGATTTCTTCCAAAAACTTGCCCATAGAACATACGCCTCTTAGACGTCTGACCCCACTACATGTACTGGAGATGTCTGCCGACTATGCCAATACTTACCTACAGGCGATGCCTGCCTACAGCGCTCATCTCGTTGAGGCTCCCATCGTCGTTCACCGCATCCCCCGAGTAAGCTTCCTTGCCGAGTTGCGTTTTTCCAGCTGATGCTTTATGTGTTGAACCATCATCGCAATCGCATTATTGGTCTCCATTTCTCGTTCTTATATTAGAAATCACCTATCATGGAACCAAAGGAAGAACTTCTCACATCTACAAGCAAGCACACTGGTCAACATCAGTTGTACACTTATTTTGCAATAAATGCCAAAACTTCACGTTAATGAAATAATGCCCCCGGCAATCCGTAAAATGAGACATTTTGATTAAACTTTTTCTTAACTTTGTGTTAGGAATGATAACATCCGCGTAGCGCTTGCTCGGTTCGATGAAATTGTCGTAGCTGGGCTTTACGAATTTCATGTATTGCGTCAGTATGCCGTTACATTCTCGACCACGTTCAACGATATCACGCTGCAACCGCCTAGCTAATCTCACGTCTGAGTCACAATCTATGAAAATCTTCAGATCCAATTCGCTCCTCAATTCCGGTCCCACTGCGTAGATCAGGATGCCTGACGGGAAAAATAGAAGAAGTGTATTCACTAATATGAACTTCGTATCATTATGAATGATCAATACAGGGGATCAAATGCGCTCATCTATACTTGCTGGAAGCAAAATGTAGTTAGTACCTTCCACGATAATGACATCAGCTGGCTTAATAATTTCGCCGCCAGCATGACCGCCTTTCACCCCGCTAAATTAGAGGGTTCCTTTCACACTCGGCAGTTCTCGTCCTGCAAGTATGGAGATGAATGCTTTTTTCCATCAACTTCGAAAGGCCCGACCCCATCAAAGCTTTCAGGATCTTTTACTTTCTACGACATCACTGCCACATGATCAACATCCTCTTTCATAATCAGTGGCAGTCTTGCTCAAGCGGCTGTGCGTCTTGAAGTCGTAGCGTGGGATCTCAACACTCTCGAAGCCTCTTTTAAGCGTTTTTATCTTGCCAAGCATCTCGTCCCAAGCAATGGCGTCCGGATGGTCAAAGTCGTATTGTGCTGCATCTTTAGAGCTCGCAATGCTTCATCCTCTGCGCTCAATCTCAAAAAAAGTTGTTGAAACAATAATTTATCTTGATCTTCTACGCTATCATTATTCGTCATAGTATTCTGCTCGGTCACATGAGAGAAGGAAACTGATGGAACAAGTACTCTTCTTCTACTTTGGATATGTGCAGGAAGTACGTCAACTTTCCTACGCATGAGGTGAGGGGTTCCTGGCGCTCTTCATTATTATGTTTAGCCTTAACATTTGCCAGCTTTTTTTGCGTCTCGTCGAGATCTTTGTAGAACGCATCACTGGGGATAAAAGCAACGCGCAGATAGTTCCGCAGCTCCCGACGAAAGATATCGCAGAGCGTGGTTTTGCCGGAACAGGTGGCGCCGCAAACCCCGATGACGTAGGGTTTCACCAAGGTGTCGACACAACTGCGCAGATTCTTTCCCTGCATCGCTTGGGCGACCACCTCCTCATGTAGGCGGCGCTTTTCGTGCCTCGTAGCAGGGAAGGACATCAGGTTCTTCACGCGGCCAAGTCCGCCTCCTGCTGCCATCGAGTCAATCACCTGATGATGTCCGAACATCAAGGGGCTTTCTTGCTGGTTTTGTTGACCGACACCAGTGACATCCTTCATCTGTAAAAACAGCTGCTGCGCGGCTAATCCGGCTCCAGTAAAAGCAGTGTTATAGCTCGCTGTTCGTGAAGACAGCTTCTGCTCCGAGCCGGGCATTGCGTTGAGCACCGGTGGAGAATGCTGCAGCAGTTGTGGGCGATGATGTCGTGGAGCACTCTCGCTCACCACCGCTGGTCGATTTGCAGTTTGTTGTTCGTGCTGCAGTATTCCTCCGATTTCTAGAGAGCCACTACGATAAGTTTTCTTCTGCGATGACGAACCCACAGCTGCACTTGCAGCAGCCGCACCCGTTGCCACTGGAGATTTCGCGACGTCCTCATCTTCCATGTGGACTGGTGACGCTGTCTCGCTTCCTCCTCTTTTGCGAAAATACGGCACAGAGCTTGAGGTCTGGCTCCGCTCGACACACAATCTGAAGTCGTCGCTCGTAGCAGCTACAATCTTTATCTCAGCTACAATCTCTGGATTGGTGTCGCTGAGGAGTTCCGGTCCGCCGCAACGGATTTCCTCAGCACCTCCGGCGCTTGCGCTAGTCGGCCGTCTGCACGCGTTGTAGTTAGTCGCTCGACAAGACCCTCCTTGTGCAGTGACATCATTATTCCCACCGCCACAAGCGGCAGACGTAAGCAGGTCGTTACTGGAGTCAGAGGAAGAGGCACAGCCGAGGCCGGAAACGCCGCCACTGTCCGCGCCATTACCGCCAGCGGCAGTGGTGCCCTCCGCCGCGATGTCTTCGGGATGAACATCTAGTTTTGCTCCAATCGCCGATGATCCTAATTCCTCACTGCTAGATCCCGGAACTTCTTGCGATATCACGACGTCTCCCTCCAAGGATCCGCCTGCGTCACCTTCTGAGGTTCTCCCTACTGCCGAAGCATTTCTTGAAGCGCCGCCGTTGCTGGAGGTAGTCGCTGCCATCGATGTTGCAGGGTCGGAGACGTCCTCACCTATAGAGAGGACCGTCTTGAGCATACCGCAAGGCGGATTGCTGTAGGAAGTGCAGCTGTGGCCCGCAGGGGTGACAGTAACGATTTTCTCCGACGGGGTCGCGTTGCCCGGATTGTTCCCTCCACTACTAGAAGCGACCGAGCCCTGAGACTTACGCCCCTCCGTGGACACACGCTTGACAATGGCTTTGCCTCCTACGTCTTCAGGCAAAGCTGGTGCTACGCTAGAATGTGTTCCCGCCGCACTACTAGGCGATGGGCTTGCTGTTACGATTGCGTTCTTGCTCACGGCACTAGCCAAGGCCGCATTCGTTTGCGCAGTGCCCTGGTCCACTAGACTGCCGCTGCTGCTCAGCGAATGGCGCAGAAAAGGGCCTACGATTCGAGGTCGTAGCAATGACGGCGCTGGCTGAATGAGACCAAACGTGGACGGTTGTGCAGTGCCTGAGCTCGTGACCGTAGGCGCTTTTCTTCCACTTCCCGGCGTGCCGCCGGTCCGAAGTGCGCCACTGCTGGTCCCCATGTGTGTCATGCCACTACCACCGTTTGCCAGTCTCGCGAGCTTACTAGTGGTGGCCGCGGCGCCGACCAAGGCTGCACCTCCAGGTGCCAAGGAAGCACCGGTCGTCGCTGCTGATCCGCTGGCGCTAGTCCCGACACCGAGAAAGGTCGTTGGCACCGACAGGTCCGTGTGCCGCACCTGCAGGAGACGGCCCCGGGGCCGAGCGGAAAGGCCGCTCTTTTGCCCGTACACAGCGCTTAGCTGCGGACTGTTGTACGCATGCTCCTCCCGCTCTGGTCCTCTGGTATCCAGCACGTGCTGCGTGCCAGGAGCTTCTGCGCTGTTTCCACGGACAATATCGTCTTTCAGAGCCTCGGTAGCGGGAGGCAACGGTAACGGCGCAATGTCCGATTTCGTGTCGGTTGTAGAAGACTGCTGCATTTCGGACTACCTCTTGTTTTCAAAAAGCGCTCGTCTAGACGAATTTTTGCTAATGAAAATCCAGAAAATAACTCTTGAAATTTTTACGCATCTAATTCTAATGGTGGTAGTGTCTCATGGAATCAAAGATGACGACAGTATCCGCGTCAGAGGCTGCATAGATACTCCTGCTCGTGCATATTCGCGTTACAACGAAAGCACAGACATCCTCTGCACCAGCGATCTGAACACCCCGCAGAGTACCGGAAAGCGCCCTAAATTTCCACTTGGGTGGAAATGCTTCGACCTCTTCGGGAGAATGACAAGCCTTCTTCACAGTCAAATAAGTTAACACTGAGTAAGTTGAAGTCTGCCGGGCGTCCTTTCGCTCGAAATCATCATTTAGTTCTGCACACGCAAATTCTCTGGCTTCACACCTCAGCAAGCTCTCGTCTTGCCAAAAGGACAAGTAGAATTCCTTGAGCACATCGTGCCTTAGTAGTGCCATGTTCTGTTCTCATATTCTTAGATCATGTATCATCAATTTGAGCTCTGTTGTGGGGAAACTCGCCACAAAAATATCTTCAAATGCGACAGCACCTTGTTGAGCAAAAATATCTGCAAAAAGAGCGATGACATGTAGTTTTTAGCATAACTTTTGCATCCACACGCAGCCTCCGTTGAACACGACCAGTGAAATGTCCTACAACGACCGTTTATAAACTTTCGGCTTCTTTATTTCTACGGATATCACGACCTTCAATTGGGGACAATTGATATGATAAAACACACGAAGCTTGGTGGTATCTCAAAGTAAAAAAAAGTGTTTTGGCGAAACTTCTGACTATAATAAACAAGTACTTAGTCTATTAATTTGCGCAGATATCATAGGAAGAGGAAGGGGCTCATTAATAGATGGCAGATAAAACTTGCACAATGCTTTCAGTTTTTTCGCTTGGTCCTGAGAGGTGTTGTTGGGACGAAGATGTCTTTAGATATATAAATAAAGTGGAGGCAGATCTGTTCCTTCATTACATTCGTCAAATAGAAGGTGGGTACATTTTGACTTTATTGCAAGTGCAAATTGTCTTTTATTTGTCGGTTATTGTTTTTCCAATAGCAATGCAGAAAAATCATGTTTTTGGGATTACCGCGGCATTCGAACTTTTGTCGAACACTCGTGAGGTTTACCATTTTGATTTTGGATGTCATAATAATAGTGTGTTGGGTTCGTAAATAGAAAATGCGGATACTAGTATGGGTAATCTTCATCATCAATTATTTCTCATCTGTACAACTGTTCGTATCAAATAGATGTTGAGCAAGCCCTCATCTGCCTCAACAATGCTGTGTTCGTCTCGTACAATATGAGTCGACTAAACCTCCTCTATGCTCGTGGTAAACCACAACGCAGCTTGCAAGTCACACTTTTTTACACAAGTTGAAGTTTTCTTCTGACATTTTAGTACAATGGTAGTCAATCAACATTTAACGAAAGAAGTTCTTGGCAACTTTCTTAGGAATCCAATCACTTCATAACAGAATATTAAGATCTTAAGCTTTCTTAGGAATCAACACTGGAGACCGAACTTTGTCGACGAAAATGGTTCTCGCGAAGCTGCTCCTTAATGTGATGCAGAAGCATGCGGACCGCATTAGACCCTTCCAATTTTCCATCCCGCACGTTGGGTATAATCACATCGGCATATCGTTTACTCGGTTCCACGAATTCCTCCCAGCTACGCTTTACGAAACGAAGGTACCTGAAGTCGACACGAGCGTGATCGTTGGCGAAGTAGCTAAATTTACTTATCTGATCTTCTTGAGCGATTACACTACCGAAGCAAGGTAATAGTACTCATTTGGAACAGTGGAAATTCAGCAATTTGTTTGTAGCATCGGCGTAAAAATTCAAATTTTCTACTGGTCCTTGACGCCAGCTAGATCCCGTCCACGTTCCGTGATGTCACGCTGCAGTCGACGCAATACTACGATGTCCGCATCGCAATCGATAAAAACCTATATTTTCGAAGTGGTGGTTTTCCTCATTATACCCTAAAGGCAACAAGAATTGCAACAGCCAGCGTCAAATTTTATCCTTCTCAGAAGTCGTAGTTGCTCGTTAAAGTAATTATTTGCTGAAGGATATCAAAGCATTAAAACTGACCTTCAAGTCAAACTGGTCCCGCAGCTCACGGCCTGCTGCGTAAATCAAAATTCCTTCGACAATGATGACGTCAGCGGGACGAACCGTGTGCTCCTCTAGGTCCTGCGCATCTGCTTTTGCTACTCTTGCATGCTTCGCAAAGTCGTACTTCGGTAATTCCACAGTCGTTGACCCGTTACTGTTCTTCAGTACGTCTAAGTCTCGAGATAGCTCATCAAACGCTAAAGCATTCGGGTGATCGAAATCATACTGCTGCGAATGCGCTAGCTGCAGCTGCGTCTCCGACAACGGCCGATAGTAACAATCGGAGCTATTCAATTATGGAAAGCAGAAAGTCTCGAGAAAGACACTTAGTCAATTTTTAAGATATTTTACCTACTTACAAACATGTTGTTCAAGTGACATTCCTCTTAGTAAGTACAAATGAGATCACGAGTGACCCCACTATCAATTCACCTTTCATTGTGAGGTAGGCGTTTAAAGAAAAACTCAAATTGACAACAGTAGAAAGAACAATGAGCATCAGGTACGGAATAAAAGCGACGTCGAGTCCTTTCAATTCTCTTCGCAAGATCTTGCACAATGTCGTCTTCCCTGAGCAGGTGGAACCGCAGACGCCGATAACGTAAGGCTTTACTTCACCTCCAGCTAGGGCAACATGATTTCTCAGACCCGCTTTGATTTCCGTTGCCAAGGCGTTTCCGAGCTGAGTCATACCACTCGACCCGCCGGAGCTAACTGAGAGTTGCGGACTCAATTTTTCCGGTGTTGATACGGTGAATTTACCGGACGTTGTTGTATTCCGCATCGTTCTTTTCGCAGCCGAGTCATCATCAAGAGCTGGACTTGCATGATTACCATCTTGTTTTCTTGTGGTGCTATTGGTTGTAGGCTCTGCAACTACTTTTGATGCACACCTACTATCACCAGCTACAACGACATCATCGGCTGCGAGTGTGGCGGGACTTCGACCAGCCGCTGGCGTTGACGGCGTGGTTGACTGCGGAGAGTTGTGACCCAGAACGGTTTTGATCTTGCTCAGCGTAGTATCGCTGCTCGCGGCGCGCAATGGCCGGCTGGAGCACGAACTCTTTCCTTGTGAATCCATGATCGAGATGCACTGTCTGCGAGAAGGTTAGATGCGCTTCTTCAGACACGTCTGCGATGTACAAGACGAGAATCTTTATCAGCTTGTTGCGCTTCTACATGCAAGACTGCTAGTATCGCTTCTTCGTTTTGTCGTCCACTAATCGTCGTCGTCTCAGCAAACTTCTTAGGCAACGAGTGTTCGATTGCACGCGAAAAATCCACTACAAACTAATTCTGCGAAAGATCTTCCTCTACGATGGCGCGGAAAAACCAATGCTTACTCTTTCTTCCACCTCTTCTTGCAAATATTGTGAAAGAATGAGTGTAGAAAGCGGTTCTACAAAGTTGCTTGCTAGAACCAACAGTGTAGAATGGATGTGAAATATAAAACAGCACGACTATGCACAAAACTTCAACACAGAAGCAATGAGATAGCAGGCTGCGGTTGTTTTTTCGTTAAAAAAGCGAGGAGAATAAGAGTGTCGCCCTAGAAGTATGTTTCTCGACGTGCTACTAGAGTTGACTAGTACAACAACTTCCTCTAGTACGTGATGTACGTATTAGAATAAGAGTCTTGAATGAAAATAGAAGGTTGGTGGGATCTTGCTTCTGATAAGCCAGAACTTCTCAGACCTCTAGTTTCTTCAATAAGAGGATCCAAGACCCAGACGCCGCAGTGAAGAGAACTTTTTCCCAAGACCACAAGGATCTATATTTCATGCACGTGTCTACGACTACGACATGTCCTCGCTCGACCAACATCCGTAATATCATCCAATCCCATAAATCAATACTAACAAGAATTGACCTAAAGAAAGCACAAGGAATCCTTCACTCAGACGAGGATCCAGGGTGATACAACTGCTTATACTTCATCCCAATTCAACAAAACATATCATTAATCAGCTCAGTGTTGTAATGAAGGAGCCTCCGGAAAAGAGCCATGTTGATATGCCGCTTGATCTTCCACGCGGACGGATCTTGATTCCTAAGATAGGGATCGCTTTTGTCTCTTTCGTCCGTGCTGTTGTCTCTCTGTGGGTTCATCTACTTCTACTAAGTAGTGGCTCAGGTGGGATCTTTTCGTGGCGTCCTTCTTAGTCGGATCGACATATGAAATTTTGTCTTTTTGCTCTAGACGATGGTCGTTCTTCGTTGAACACAGGATTATTTAGGCGACTAAGATGATCTTCGAGAAGAGCAAGCTCAGAAGAAAAACTCGATGTGAGTTCGATTTGGATATGAGTTCTTTGTGCATTCAGCAATGGATTTCAGGCTTTTCTGACGTCTTGGACATGATTTGACTTTGATAATTACAAGAGGGGAATCCTAATTTCATGGCACACATAAACCGAAGTGGAAGTTGTCTGCTTTGTTCGTTTCTATAACACCATAGACACAGTAGACAGTGCGTTTCTAAAAGTTTTTGGTAAGAAATCATGTGTATTAACTATTTATCTATACAATCGAAGAAATCATAATCACAACACTTACACGATTTGTACATTACGTAGTTATACCTTTACTTAGTGCCTTGTTGTTTCCAATTCTTTTTATAACACTATGAAGGAATCATTTTGACTAATCTCTAATGACTAAGCATGAATGCTACAAGAAATCTCTCTTTTGTGTTCCAAAGAATTTGTACATCGTGAAGGATTTTTTCTTGTATCACAAAGTAACGCGAAGTGAAAGAATGCGAAATTTCATAAGAAACTCTGAATGCTTAGATACAAAAACAATTTTCTGAAGGTATCAGTACGCTCTTCCACTAGTGCAGCTTTACGGCGAAAGCTGTTCGTGCCGCGTCTGTTCTTCCCTGCCTTCTCATCTTTTCCAACAAAACCTAATACAATAAGTCTGAATGCAGTAAAATCTGCAGTGTCATACTAAAATATGTAATCCTAAAGATATCTCTAGTATGCCCTCGAGGAAGTCAGAGGAAAGCATGTATATATTGCTTGAAGGGATAAGTCTACGAGTAGAGGGAAAACTAGCCGGCTGCTTTACTTATGTGCTTTGAGCGCCGCTTTACTTATGTGCTTTGAGAAGAAAACTAAAACATGTACTTATATAATCAATCATAAGAATGCTACACTCTAAATCTCATCGATGGATCAATAATTCAAGTTTATTCCTGAAAGATAGACATCATCTGGCTCGAAGAACAACACGAGCATTTATTCTGTGCACATCTGTTGATCTTCTCACCCCATACCTATCATGACAACCCGGGGAAAGCTAGTAACTATTTCATTTTTAGCAACTGATTCATATCCATACCCATCATGACATAGACTAGCTAGTTCTGCTTCTGTTTCAATTTTCGTGGCCCTATAACTGGCGTTCCGGCCGCAGAACTGCTTTCCCATCGTGCTGTCACTGAGCTCGCCGGAACATCATGTGACGTCGGAGATGAGACCGGGCGGGAGAAGGGGTTGGATAATGTTAGTAGATTATTTAGATGTTGATGATTAGGTGTGAGCGTTCCCGGGTTGTTGCTAGAAGTGCTGCTATCTTTTGACGTTGCTGTTCTTTTCTCCGAAATGTTACCTTGTTGCGGCTGCTCTTGTTGTTTTTGTTCTAGACGACGAATGCGGCGTCGTTGGGCGAGATGCAGCTTGATATGGTCGAGAATCATGCTGATGACGCAGTTTCGACGCAAAGACGCTACGCCCTCAGTGTGCTCCTGGTTGTTGTTTGGGATGATGACGTCCGCATAACGCCTTGAGGGTTCCACGTAGTTGGTGTACGAGGGCCGCACGAAGCGCAAATACTGCTTCAAGATGCCGTCGAACTCGCGGCCGCGCTCTACGATGTCCCGCTGCAAGCGTCGGGCCAAACGCACATCGGAGTCGCAGTCGATGAAAATTTTCATGTCGATCTCGTCCAACAAGGCTTGCCCAGCCGCGAAGACGAGAATGCCCTCCACGATAATCACGTCGCTAGGCTGTAGCACGTCGCCTCCACTCACTCCGGTCAAGTCCACGTCGTCTGGAAAAGGACTGCCGTCTTCGGGTAGCTGAATGCGCGAATGCGTTTTGAAACTGTACATCGGCAGTTGCACGGGTTCCTTGCCTTGCTTTAACGTGCGGAGATCCCGCAACAAATCCTGCCAGTCCAGAGCTTCCGGAACGTCAAAGTCGTACTTTCCCTCGTGCGCGAGGGCTTTTTGCGCGTCCGTCAGGGACTTGTAGTAGCTGTCCGAAGGCAAAAACGCCACTCGACTATCGGTCGTCATGAACTCAGCCCGCAAGATGTCACAGACCGTGGTCTTGCCACTGCAGCTGGCGCCACACACGCCGATCACAAACGGCCGGGGCTCCGAAAAACTGCGATTGTCCGACCCTGTGGATGTGGTTGCGTTCATTGCGGGACTTACCGGTCGTAAAATTCGCTTAGGTGCTGGAACCGCTGGAACCGGCGATGGAACTTCCTCGAAGTCCTGACCAGCAGCAGCGACTGAACTGAAGAGACGACTGCTATCACGTTGGAAATATTCGACATTTGATGTTGGCACATCCTGCTGCTGCTGCTGCTGTATCTGGTGAGGCGGTCCTTCGCCCTCTGGTGCTTGAATGCGAAGATTAACATTTACGGACATATTTTCTGGAGGTGCGTCCTCGTCTGGTGGACTCAGGAGCAGTGTACCTACCTCTAGCGTCCTCTCGTGCAGTGCAGGGCTGAGTTCCTCACTCGGGACGCCGCCCGATGTTCCAGAAGGCGAGTCATAGTAAAGGAATTGCTCTTGACTTTGTTCGCCGTCTTCTCCGCCTTCCTCCTGTGGCGCAGCGGCTTCACCCTCTGCTCCCTTCACGAGGGGTTGCCGCAAATCTGCATTCCACGAGGGAGAAAAGCGGTTTGCTCCTCCAGCAAGCAGTTCGTAGCCTCCTCCAAGGTCGCTGCTGTTGTTGTATATAATCTTCTTCTCAGCGGCACTCTTTTCAGCGCCTCCAGAGTACGAAGAGGCTGTCGCTTCCAGATGACCTCCGCGAAGCGCACGAATCATGCGCAAGCGGTTATAGGCCCTCTGCATGGGTCTGAGACGAAGAATGCGGTCCACTTGCTCTAGCAAATTCTGGGAACGCCTGGCCAACGCGTGGAAGGCAGCTCGGTCCTCGTCACCGGAGTCTTCGGAGAGTTCGCCCACCGTTGCGTGCAAGATGGAGCCACTGAGACGTTTACTACTGTCCATCAGCTTGTGCATATCTTCCAAATGCTCCAAATGCGCTTCTTCATCGTCATGATTCGCATTCTTCATGTGCGACATCTGCGCACGAGTCTCATGACCCTGCGGAGCACGATTTTCGACTTGGTCGTGCTCCGCATGGTCATGAGACTCGTCGGCCTGGTGCTCCGCGAGTTCGGCTGCAGCGTGAGCCGCATCTTCTGCGAGCTCGGCGACGCCAGCGCGCAGAGATTCTAGCTTCTCCGCTTGCGCTTCGCGCTCACGGCGCTGCTCGTGCTGTAACGCCGCATCCTGGCGCCCGTTCAAACCCATGGCGGCCTGCATTTCCTCCACGGACTCAGAATGACCTGCTGATGATGACACTCCATGATGAGCTTCCTCGCTTACTGAGTCAAGGCGCAACTGTGCCATCTTCGCGGTCAGTTCGTCGACGTCGAGCGCATATGCATCCTGCGCAGCGCCTTGCGCTATTACACTGTTGTGCCTATGGTAGGACGAATGCCGTCGTTGCCGATGATGCTGCTGCTGGTGTTGACGCTTTTTGTTTTTATGGTGCTGTTGCAGCTGGTTATGGTGTGATTGCCGATGTTGCTGATGCTGCTGTTCGTGGTTCTCGTGGGGGTGCTTTGTTGAGTACTTGTCTGAGGCGGCACGAACCGCTTCCTCACCCATGCTTGCCGGGATGGCGATGTAGTTGTACTTTCCCTCCGAGATAGAGGATTTGCGGAATGCTCCCTCGCTCGCAACGAGAATCTGGAGAAGCGCTAGTTGCATCATGACCTGATGCTCTGGAGTCGCCTCCGTCGTTTCCGGTCTAGTAGCACTGTTGAAGACCCCTGCTCCCATGCCGATTGTTGTTTCTCCGGTGGCAGACGCGCGGCGCGCGTGATTGAGCGCCTGTTGATGCTCGACTTGGTCATGTTCCAACTGTTCCCTCAGGACTTCAGCCGGCGACATGCCAAGCACCTCCGCGTGTTTTTGCACCTGCTCTAGCAACAACCTGTTGCGCGCCAAATGTGACAAGTCGTCGCCCACATGAAAGACACTCTGATCCACATCCATTTCGCCGGCAATGACTCCCTTTCCACTGCTGCTGGCGCTTCGCGGGGTCTCCCCCAGCGTGTCGGCCGTTCCCAGGGCTGCGGCGTTCAGCGCGAAGTTGGTGGAATTACGAAACTGATGGCTGCGCCGCAGTTCATCCACGTCCAGTCCCATCATTTCCGCCAGTTCCTGCAGTTCCTCTTCATGCTCTGCGTGCATGTCGAGCCCATCCTGCAGTCTTGCGAGTGCACGCTCCGCAAAGCTCTTGTGGAACCGTTCCTCGTCCTGCTTCGCCTGCGTTTGCCGCGGGACCCGAGGCAGAGCGTCAGAGAGGTGGAAGGGGCCGTCTTGGTAGAAGCCGCCACCATCCATATCCACGAAGCCGGCATCTGGAAAAGCCTTTGGTGCAGGTACTATGAAAGCCGCGGTGTCGAATGCACGCGTTGGCACAACATCCTCCTGAGAGGACTGCCCGTCATCTAGTACTTTTCCAGTACTACCAGAGTTTTTCGTATTCGAGATCGAGACTGACTCCTCGACGTGATCCCTCTTCTTCTCAGACACTTCCACGGGCTTGGCGGAGGAGGAAGCGCGAGCATGATGTCCGGGAGGTGTGGAGTCAATATGATCGTGATGCGGACTATTGAAGGCAGTCGGAATGTTTAGCTTTTTTGGACATGCAGCCGCTCTCGGTGAGGTGCCAGTGCGGGGAGAATCCCCATGTGAGAGGTTCTCGAACATCTTGATTCGGTTCTTCACGTTTGTCGGGCCAGTTGATACTTCTCTGCGCGACATGTCAGTTGAGACATCTTCAGAAGCTGTCGGATGCTCCGTACGGGACTCTGGGATCATCTGATGGTCCCGTTCAGAGGAGGAACCGCCGCCTTGACTAGCAGATCCCAGAGCGGTCGACTGCGTCTCAATGGCCCCACCCACAACTGAGGGCGGTGGGCTTACCATGTTTGCGACGGTAGATGGCAAATACGTAATGACTTCAACTTCAGTATTCAAGGACGCACTAGATGAGTCGTTTCGCAACTGCGGCGGTCCTCCAGCGCTTGTCCAGGCAGCAGCCGCGTTTGCTTGAGTTGCCGTCTGAACCCGAGGTAGCATATCGAGGTTTCTCGGCGACAGCTTCAGCCTCGGAGCTCCACCGTCTTGGGACGAACACGTCGTACCCGCTCTCTCACTGTTGTCGGTTTCGAGCAAAGATCCCAGGTCCAAGGAATGCATCTCCCTGTGCGAAGGAAAGGCACTGTTGGCGAAAACACTAGTGCTTTTGTTGTTGTACATCACTGCCTCAGCATCCACATCGCTGTCCTGAACGACCAAGAAGCCTGCGATAGGCGACGCACCAGATCTGGCCTCTGCAAGTGTAACAGTGGCCTGTGTTGTAAAAGTTGCGTCGTGTTCTTGGTCGTTCTCTGACATCTCATCTAAGGAGTCCCGGAGTAACGCGGCAACATCCATCCCATACCCTTGAAGATGATCGACTCCCATGTTATAGTTGGACGTCCGCGGAGCCGACGAACAGCTATTGCTGCGCAGCACCCCATGCGCCGAAGGGTTGGTCATGAATTGGTGGCTCCCGCCTTCCTCCGCGACGAGCTCGGCCACGTCGAGGTTACTCGTTTGATGAACCAAGTCGGGCAAGGCTGCCTCTACAACCGACTGTGGGAAAGCGCGACCGGCTGGCACCGAGTCAGTTTCCAGGACCTGATCCGGAGTCGAGAGCGACCCAGCGCCTTCGTCGTCCTGCGAACATGACTCAATTTGCTCCTCGTTTCCGTTAAACGCGAAAACCGGCCAGGATTCTCTGACAGCTTCCTGCTCCTTTGCGGCTTGCGTGCCGCAAGAGGATTCTGGAGCAGCGGTATCCTTGCTGCGCAGCTCTGACTGAGTCACATGGTTAAAATAGTCCTCGGGAGTCTCACGTCCCTGCGCCAAGTGCTGCGAGATGTGAGGCTGTGGAGCAGCGGAAATTGGCTCTTTAACATTTCTACAACTCCGACCTTCCTTTCCAGTCTGCTCAACGATGCTGTCTTCGTCACCTTCGGTCAGGAGAGCGTTGCCAGAAGATGCACTCGGATACTCGGGCTCAAAAGAGAAGCAGCTTTCATCGCCACGTGCGTTATCTACGTGCGCTGTCTCCGTCGGAGAATCAAAGAGCCCCGATTGAGAAGACTCAAACGCTGCCTCACCTTCGGCATTTACCATGCGGCGCTTTTTCTGGTGCTGGACGTTCTGATGATAACTTTCAACTTCATCCCCCTCCGCGGGCTCACTAGCAGAAGCAGGCACCTCGTTGATTCGTTTCAGAGCGCTCTTGGGCGAAAAAATGTTAATCTTGGGAATATTTCCCAGTAGAGTATGTCTCTTGACCTGGTACGGAGTATCCAAGCGTGGTTTCGGCGAGCCTGGTGGGCGATGTGCTGGTTCTACAGGCTTCACGCGCCTCGAGGGTGCCAGGGTGTCGGTCCGAAGCAGGAGCTGCGGCGCCTGTTCTGCTGGAATCGTAAGTGCCCGCTCGAGGAAGCTCAACTCCTTTTTGCTGTCGTCTACTTTCTGAGGATGCTGGTGTCGTGGCTGCGAAGGTGGCGAAACATTGTTGTTTCTGTTGTCTCCGGCGCCACGCGGCAAAGCATGATGGTGCCGCGAATGTGCGTGCGAACGCGCATGCCGCTCGTCAGCATGCTGCTGCCTTCGTCCACGTGCTTCCATGTTTTTCAGCGCTTGTGTTCTAGGGCTGAAGGGACCTTGTGCTCCTGGAAGTGCTGCAATCTTGGGCACCGCGTGTGGATATGTAGGTGCCGATCTTGTTTCTAGTGGAGCCACATATCTCACGGCTATCTGCCCGCTAATCCGGGAACCACGAATTTCCTCGACTCCCTCAAAATCAACATCCATTGCGCTTGGAGGCCTCTCTTCTCGAGGCGGGGATCTTGATCGCCGCACTGCGCCAGTAAAACCTTGATCGCCGCGCGGTGATATCCGGGGAGGTGGCACCGTTCGTCCAGAAAATGCCGGCTGGTGCGGAGGAACGACCCGTGAAGCTCCATACGAGTGAGCAGCCTGCACATCCTGGGGATTCGGAAGATCCCCGCGAATGGGCACACGCCCAGCGGTCGGTGCCGAGTGCAGGTGCATAGGGGACGCAGCGACAGCCTGCATGGTCACATCTTGTTGCCCCCTGTTGTACAAGTCCGTGCGACGCTCAGCACGCTGCTCTACCGGATTCGACTGAAGACCCTGCCAGGTACTTTGCCCAAGCTGCTGTAACTGTTGTTGCTGGAGCGCCTGCTGCAACGCTTGCTGCTGCAATTGCAGTTCCTGCAGCGTTCTCGGAGAAACTTGCTGCTGCTGCGCCTGCTGCATAGCTTGCTGTAGTTGCATTTGTTGCAGCTGCAACGCTTGCTGCTGCAATTGCAGTTCCTGCAGCGTTCTCGGAGAAACTTGCTGCTGCTGCGCCTGCTGCATAGCTTGCTGTAGTTGCATTTGTTGCAGCTGCAACGCTTGCTGCTGCGACTGTTGCCCCTGAAGCTGTCGCGTTGAGATATCCTGCTGCTGCAGCGCTTGCTGCTGCAACTGCTGCGGGGAGATACCCTGCTGCAGCAGCATCTGCTGCATTGCTTGCTGCTGCAACTGTTGCTCCTGCAGCTGTCGCGGAGAGATACCCTGCTGCTGCAGAGGTTGCTGTTGAAATTGTTGCTGCATCTGCTGGAGCTGCATTGCCTGCTGCTGCATCGCCTGCTGCTGCATCGCCTGCTGCTGCATCGCTTGCTGTTGCGTCGCTTGCTGTTGCGTCGCTTGGTGTTGCATCGCTGGCTGCTGCATCGCTTGCTGTTGCATCGCTTGGTGTTGCATCGCTTGCTGTTGCATCGCTGGCTGCTGCATCGCTTGCTGTTGCATCGCTTGCTGTTGCATCGCTTGCTGTTGCATCGCTTGCTGCTGCATCGCTTGCTGCTGCATCGCTTGCTGCTGCATCGCTGGCTGTTGCATCGCTGGCTGTTGCATCGCTTGCTGCTGCATCGCTGGCTGTTGCATCGCTTGCAGTTGCATAGCTGGCTGTTGCATCGCTTGCAGTTGCATTCCCGGAGGTTGCATATGCATAGCTGGCTGTTGCATCGCTTGCAGTTGCATTCCCGGAGGTTGCATATGCATAGCTGGCTGTTGCATCGCTTGCAGTTGCATTCCAGGAGGCTGTTGGAGCCCCTGCATTTGCCGTCTCTGCTGTTTAAGCAGATCTTCCTGCTGTTTTTCAATTTTCTTTTTTTGTTCATCGAGTTGGACGTCCGCGTCAACTTTGTTTTTTCGCAACGCCAATTTGCCTTTGAGTTCAGCGATACCCCCAAGCGGAACAGCCTCTGCAGCGGACTCTCGCGCCTCTGGCGCCTCCGGTACCTCCGTATCAACATTGTGGTTGTCGTTGCGGTCTTCCGGTGGTGCATCAGTGGTTGTCGTTGGGGTTTCGGCCGCAACACTTATTTCGTCACATCGCGGTCCTGAAGTCGCTGCGGAACTTTTGCTGACAGTCTCATCCGCAAGAGGCTCTTCTGGGAGGAAGAGAAGCGGCGCAGGCCCACTTTGTTGTCCACTGGGCATTGCTTCACCTTCTCCCACAAGTATCTTTTTGTGTTTTGCTGAATTTCCATATGACGCAATCATGACCCCTTCAGTGGCCATCGTCGTGTCATTCTGTGCTTCTAAGATAGCAGGCTTGGTCGCTTTAGCGTCCGTAGAAGACGAGGAGGCTGCAGTAGGTGCAGCTTTGGCAGAGGCTACAACTGGCGTCGACTTCGAGGACGACAGGCAGAAAGGAGACGGCAGCGAGTCGTTCTGGTGCTCAAGAAAAAAAGTGCGGCTTGCCTTTGCACTCTCTTCGTAAAACCAGAGGACCAGCTGATCTTCTATCGGGGCTAGAACGCTTGTGACGCCGTCAATATGGAGGTCCCCTTGCTTTACGGGTTGCGTTTTTGGTGCCTGAGCAGCAGTCGGAGCGCTTTTGGCTTCGCTGCCCCCTTGACGAGACGAGTCTTTCGCACTCGGCTCCGGCTCAGACCTGTGGTGGTGACGCTTCTTGCTGTCCGCCGGCGGCGCCACCGCTGCTTCCGCGCGCTTCGCTGGATTCGCAGCGTCGACTGTAGCAGGAGAGTCGTCGAGCGATCCAAAAGGCTTGTCGTCGCCAAGGATTTCCTTCACGTCAGGGCGCACATCGGAATTCGTGTTGCGCTGATCCGCAAAGAAAGCAGCTACCTTTTCCTTCGCCACGATCTCTTTATTGTTCGTTTCCGGCATCGCATCCAGCCCCGCTTGAAACTCGTCGATTCCACGCACGTCCGTGCCTCCGAATACGGCTGTGTGCGCGTCTTCGAAGAAAGCCACGATGCTTCCGCCGAGGCCGTGCTGCCGATGGTGATGCGGCCCTTTGGAGTTTCTTCGAGATCCTCTCGGTACATACAGAGGCTGGGTTGCCGCGCTTTTCGCCGCATCTTCATACGGAATCACTTCCGGTTGCTCCACAATCGCTTTTGACTCCAGCACTTCTTGCGGACGGATCCGTGGCTCTCCCGGTGTGAGGCTTGGCGTCCGGTAGTAGGTTTTTCGCCGGTTGCCGCTCATGCCGTTTCGGATCAGAGGTTGCGTCACGCGATCCTTCTTGTCTTGGTCTTCGGTGACGATGCGAATGAGACTAGCCACGCTCCCGGAGACCTTTTTCGCTATACTGTCACGCTTCACCTCCCCATCGCTATCTATAGCGTCGTCGAAGAGCCCACGCTCGTTCTCGTAGTTTTCCATGGACTGACTCATAGTGCGCTTCGACAACCTGCGGTGGCTATGTCTACTTGGCCTCCTCACTCCCGTGACGTTGCTAGGGAGCATTTGCACAAAGAAACTTCCGATGCCGGAGTTATTGTTCTTCGTCTCGTCAAGCGCCTCCCCTCCGTACAGCTGGTCCTCTTTTGATGCTCCTCCAGTCTGCTGACCAGCGCCCTCGATAAGCAGAACCTGGGCTGGGGCGTCACCGCATTTCGCTTCTTCTTCTTCTTCTAAAGCTTCTTCGTCCCCTCCAGTAAAAGATTTGCTCACGTGCATCTTGTGCGAGTTTTTGCGCTCTCGCGTCTCCTCTTTGAGCTGCTTCCGACGCTGGTGCTCCTCTTCTTTCATCGATTCCCGCGCGAGTTTCTGCAGTTCCGTGTCGGTTGCCATGAAGGAGTTCATGGTGTTGTCGTCTTTGCTTGCCATTTCGCGTTCCTTGGCGCTGGTCGAAAAGGCCTTGGACTTCGGCGTGAGGCTATACCTGCGCGTCTTCAACCGCTGGCAGGTTTCCTCCCACGCCTCCTTCTGAGACGGGCTCCGCGGTGTGCACTCCACCGCCTGGGCTTCGTCCAGGACGCCTTGGACTCCTGAGGTTTTCAGAAGGGAACCGAACAAACCACCTCCGCTTTCTTCTGCTTCTTCTTCCAGCTCCGCCGCGTCCCCAATCAGTTTGTCCTGCATCAACCTCGGCACCTTCACGTTCGGGTCACCCCTCTTCCACGCCTCCAACTCTTCCAGCTCCGCAGCAGTGAGCTGACCAAAGGTCTCGCCCACTTCTTCCTCAGTGAGAATAAGTGCCTTCAACCCGTGCAGGACCCCCGACATGATGTCGCTGAAGCCCCCCGGGCTCTGCGCTTCCGGAGACTCCGTGCCGCCGCTTTCTTCCGCCTCCTCCTCCATCTTCCGGAGCATCTCAAGCTCGTTGTCCGGGTCGATGATTTGGCTTTGGTGTTTGCTATGACCGTTTGTTCCTTTCTCATGGTGCGAGTGATGTTTTTTGTGCTCTTGTTCTCCACCGTCCTCCCTCTTTCCGTGACGGCGACCTTCTTTGCTGGGTCTCTTTTGCTCGTGGGAGTGCACGGTGGCGATGGATTCGGGCACCAGAGACCCGGTTGCCTCCTTGTATTCGTAGCTCAGACCGCCGACCCGATTCGCCAGCGCACTAAAGCACTGCAGCTCATAGTTGCGGCTGTGCAGAGCCAGCTCGCGCAGGAAGATTTCGTTTGCGACGGTGATGACAGGGCGTCTCTTTTTTCCAGATCGGTGGATTTTTGCCGGCTCCTTCTTTTGTAAAGCAGCTGGCTTCCCAGCTACAAAGAGCGTTTCATCCAAGCAACCTTCCTCGTCGGAGTTGCTCGCATCCTCATTCTCCTCTTCGCTCTGTGTGCGCTCGCTAACGAACGGATCTTTCCGCGACAGCCGGCGAACGTAGCTCAGCACCGACACGGCGAGCGCCGGATCCCGTATTTGCTGTGTTCGAAGGAGCACGCCAAAGGTCTTCTCGTCCATGTGCTCGAAAACCGATCCGTAGGGGTGCGCCACCGCAGTTGCTGTATGCGGCTCAGGCTTATCCGTGTTCAACGCTGTGTTCGTATCAGTGGCAGCGTCTCCATCGCCTGCAGTAGCACAAATCGCATCGCCTGCACTTTCGATTACAGCTTGTTTCTCCGTCGAATCCTCGGTGTCTAGCTTTTGTTCCTCAGTCGTAGCCTCGACAGGAACAAGAGGGATACCATCAGACACCCATTTAGCCCTACGCGCTACTTCCTCAAGAACCTCTTGGTCCGCCTGTTGAAAATTATGGAAGTATTTGTAGACATCTAGAAGTCGACGGAGCTGTTGTATCCGCAAACAGATGAACGACTACCCTGACTGTCTTAGGTTTCTTGCTCTTGGTAGTCGCAGTTATAAGATATATTGAACTGTAGACGACTACACACAATGGTCTTCTCTTATCATCGTCTTGATCAAATCGAGTCGCAAACTACAACCTCCGCCCATGAATATGAATATCTACGTCACACCAGCAGATGAATCATGACTTTTTTACCTGTTCCTCATCTCCAGCACGACAGTGACTGAGAAACTCGAGGTAGTTCCAGACGTACACGGCTACTTCTGCACTCTGACGGCGGGCCCTATTCGCTTCCTCGGGAGAATCAAAGCGCCATGTTTCGAGGTGCGGGCGCTGTAATTCTAACACACCGTCCAATAAAGCGGGGTGCTCGGCTCCCTGACGGAAGTCGGCTAAAGGTGCAACCTTCGGCACTGGGAACAATGCTGCACCAGAGGTAATAGTTCCTTCGTCTACTTTTGAAGATTCTATGACAGGAGCACTGGTAGCATTCTCGCCTTCGGACCGCGGGCCTGCTATTGAGGCCGCGCGACTGGGTGCACCGTCACGCAAGCGCGAGAGACTCTGGCTGCACCGTCGATTGAAAACTTCGGTGTTCAAGCTTCCGCGTCCGCAATCGGGACTTAACTCCTCTTTACCCGCTTCGTTCTCAGGGTTATCCTGCAGCATATCAGCAGCGGCTTTCTCGAGACTCCCGGACTCTCTTGGAGCAGGCACCGCCATTTCCTCTGACGTCACTGCGTGGACACCGTCGTGCTGCGGTGCCTGTGTCTCCGCTTCTTCGACGGGAACTGCGTGGACAGGAGAAGATTTCGGCGCCCGTACTTCTTTCTCCTCCGAAGCCACTGCAGGAGTCGCAGCTAGTGATGCCACCTTGACATCTGATTCCTCCGCGGTGACTGCATGCGCCGGAGCAGGCTTCACTGGACCCGCATCTGTGCTCAGCGAGGTCACCTGATGCGCCGCGGACTGCCTTGGCGGGGCCCCGTTCATCTTCTCGGAGTGCACTGCATGAATGACCAAATGCCTCGGTGGGCTTTGGTTCATCTCCGAGGAAGCCACTGTATGGGCGCCAGAACCAGGCGTGCTACTTGTAGCCGACGACATTTTGAGAGAATGCTAGTTGAGAGAAGACGACATTTTGAGAGAAGACTACACCTGCACTTCTTATACTAGTACACTCACAAGAACAATATAAAGTCGCGGTAGTCAGCACTGATCGAAAGAGGTATGGAGGAGAAGCCACTTTGTTCTTCATGATCTAATTAGTACGACTACAAACAACTGAACATAATTATTGTTCAGAACGTAAAAGGAGGCACTAAAATGGATGTGTCGGAAAATCCAGGATATAAGCTTCGAGGAAGGAAAACTACGACAAATAAAAATCAATTAAAGAAAGTTTCGCGTCACACGTTAAGGGGAGGTTGAGACAACATTATGAGCACCGGTGTTTTCACGTGTTAGTACCAAGATATTTTTGCATATCCCTCAATTGGGGGTCGGTTCTTTGTTGCTACAATCGATCCTAGGTTCATACAAATGCGGTGGGAAATGGACGCGAACAGAATTGCGCGCAGTAATGTCTGCTTTGATTACTTCAACACAAAAGGTAGACAGAAAGTGCAAGCACCTGTGTTTCATCGAAAGGAACATGATATCATGGAGGATCATTTAAGACTCATTGGTATAGCATCTAGGATACCTGCAATCACAAAACTTAATCATTCACTCAGAGTTTCTACAGTTAAAACTTTCAGAAATCAATAAAATTTTTACATTGATGCAACACTGGTCTAACAGGACCATGATTCGCTCTTAGACGCACGCCTTTCCAGAATGAAGGACGTCTACTTCTCTCCTTCTCGAAACAGAGGCAGATCGTAATTTTCGCTCCGCGATATTACAGATCTCAAAATTGCACTATCTCTCTCAGTACACAGAAGCGAAACAATATCATCCTCGTCCTAGGACCAATCTCAGTCGTTTTTCATTCCTTCAAAACCAAACGCTCTCGTGAGTAACACGGAGGTCTCAAGATCAGGCAGGCCACTCTTATCTTCACTCCATCATTTTTATCACTGAAACCAGATATCTCCTCCATGACTTTTCAATTCAGTTTTTGTTATCACGACTCTTCCTATGCCTTGGACTATAGATACCAGTTGAGATATTTGTGTCGCATATGGAATCACTCGACGACAGTCTCAAGTAGGTTTCGAAACTTCCCTTGGCGCGTCTTGTTCACTATTCGGATACTACTCTGTTTCGTGAACCCGAAACACTCTCTCTTGGGATAAACAAAGTTCCTGGTGAAAGTATGCAGGTTATACATTATTATGCCCGTAGAATGATCCGCTGAATTTCGTTAAGGTAAAGGTTTCTGGACAAGATGTTTCTAGCCAGATTGCTCTCCATATGAGCTCTCTCGCGTGCTCACCCAAAACTGAAGAGCAAGATACAATATGTCGAAACAAAGCGCCTACATCGCTAGTAGACGCGTTCACTTGTAAAGCACGGCAAAAAATTCATTTATAGTGATGATCATCACGTCTCTAGAAATCTTGTTCAACTACCTGTACGATACGAATCCTAGATACGATTCCGCTAGCTACTCGTACACTATTCATTGCTACAAATAACAAATTCTATCCTTGTACACCACTTTTCGTAGCGTAGACCGTTTCTGTCGCAACGCATGTTCTCATGAACAACGATGTACAATAAATTAGTGGAGACATCTTGAGACCTGGCTACGTCTCAGCCAAACTCGAGTTATTCGTCGCAGTTTGCAAAACATGGACTTTCTCAGTCATTGTTGCATCCTTTCCAAATAAATTAATCTTCGCAATTCAGTCTCCGAGACTGGCGCCGGAAAGCCTTGTACATATTCTCGCATCCCTTGGTGAAACCAAGATTTGCTGCCACATCGTACAGCGAGACCGTTCCGCGGGTCAGCAATACCCCTTTTAGCACTCTGCAGCTCTCCTTATTCTCTTCCTCGTCCATAGCGAAGGATCGTTTTCTAGCAACATCAGCGAGTGGAGAAGAAAGCAGACTGGAACACTTTTCGCCTGCTCTACGACTGAGACTTCGCAGAAAGGAATGCTAGCTGGGTCGACAGTATTTCCACCAAATAGAAAGTCGCTCCCTAGCACATCGCGGTAGCGAAACGCCAAGTGTCCCGGACGGTGTCCCGGAATGCGGGCCACCAACGAACTATGTGTCGCACCTGTGTCAGAAAGACGAGTTAAGTCCTCGGAACCTGCTGTGAAGATGTTATAGGGAAACCACATACGGGGAGATGAACTGAACCAAGTCTGCCGCCCGATCGTGAACCTCCCAGAAGATGAATCTTCGGATTCCTCGGACAGCATGTCGTATGAGTATCCACTTGCTTCCAAAGACGCAGTATTCCTCGCATCAACTTGGATTTCCGACTTCGCAGCGGCAACCGTAAGGTCGGGAGAACGCTTCTGCCATTCTAAGAACTTCGAAGCGCCCACGTTATGGCTATGACTTAAAAAAAGTGGCTTAGCTTGAAGCGCCGAATCGGTTCTCTTGCGTATGCGTTTTTTGATGCTTTCGATAATTTCCTCGGAGGGATCCGTCATAACGTCTACCAAAACGTCGGCTCCTCGACTACCGATTGACTATTTCCCGAGCTCGGCAAAGCCGCTTGGGAATTGTGGGCACCTTGTTCTTGGCTTACAACGCTTTCTTCATCTCTTGGCTGGTGACGGTCTTCTTGGCATAAGCTCTTTGGTGGCGGAATCACTAGGAAGCCTTGCGTTTAAACCAACGGATTCTTCGGACCATGAAAAATGTGCAACACGTTTCCGAAGTGCCCGCTTTGTCCTTAGTCCGAACGCTTGACTCGCCATGCCCCCAATGCCGTCTTTAAAGAAGAAATGCCCGCCATTTCGTTGTACGCTAAGACGTCCACAGTAGTTCTGACTTATTTGGGTGCTGGGATAGGATCAAATAGGAGTTAAATGCTTCAGAAGGTAGAACTTGAATGCTTGTAGCTGTACATACGAGGGTAAGGGAAGAAGCTTAAAGCCTAAGCTAATCATGAAACATTAGATACAGTCGGTCAAAAAGGATTTCATGCCGTTTCTCTAGGTAGTGGCTAGTATTACCCTTCAGTCGGAATTTAGAACAATTACAAAGGAGAGATGACACTGCGTGGAGGCTTAATTGCACGATTGAATGAAGTTCGATATCGATTGGAGGATAGGATATGAGTGGGCTCGCCTACGGAGAAATCCAGTCGAATACTGCATGAAGAAGTTCAAGCTCCTTCATGTATGATAACATACCATAGACAGACCTTTGAATTCCGCATAACCAAGACCTTTTGGAACGCACATCAACTAGACATTTTAATTCAAAGATAATCAGACCTTTGAATTCATGATCATGGTTATCATGTGTCTGACAACATTTTTTGGCAAGCATTGATTCGTGCCTGACAACATTTTTTGGCAAGCATACGTGTGCTCTAACGGCGTTTCCGTCGTAGTGTAAAAGTTCTGCAATGGCGGTCTAAAATCTATCCAAGAGCGAAAAATTTACAGTAGAGAAGCTACATACTAGTCCTGATTATACACCAGGTTCGAGGTTGACTTAGAAGGCCTCTAGAATTGACTTGGGGGTCTAGTAGAATGCTAAACTTACAGTAAAGACTGGCGTCAGCACGATTCTCACTTGTCATGAAGAAAGAAAATCAAAGCCTGCTTCTTCGTCTAGGTGCCAAATTTGTGAGGTGGAAAAGGTACTCAATCCGGAAGAGGTCACTAGCGCAACTGCAGCATCCCTGTGTTCCACCACATATGCAAAGACAAGCTGGAATCGTGGTTACAAATTGTTGTACTTAAATTTATCTTGTTTTTTTGTTGATGGAGTAGAGCATATGTTGATGTTTCTTACTTTTAGAGAGAAGATGATGATGTGCTAAAATAAATCGAAGCTTGATTATGGGACATAACTACGTCTTACCTGGATAGGTTGCCGCTGCTGGTAGCTGGCTTCCACTAATGATAATTCTCGGAATCCGCTGTAGCCACGAAGCATATAAAAATAATCTCCTGGGCACGAGCGGCAGTTGACGGTGCCACTACTGTGTATCGTGAAAGAAGGCACCCCTGTATCATAATGTGTACCTGTTGTCCTAGGTATGTAGTTATGGTCACCAACCACTTACAATTGTTGCCGCTCACTACTTCCATTACTTCCGCTAGCTGCTGACAGTGATGCAGCAGTCTTTTAAAGTTCTCATCTATTGTTTCTAAGAAACTGACGATCATGATGTTACGATGGAGTCGGTTCGGATTTGAGGTAGGAAGGTTGTTTCTAAGCTCATAGAATTGATATCCCAGCTTCACGGAATACGTCCGATCATTTTCACTCTAGAGCTTCTTCGTCCCCCGTTTCGTCACCCTGTCTTAGTCTCTGGCAAGCCCGGAGGGTCCAGCGGCGTCTTCGTCTTGAGCTGGTTCGGCCAAAGGCTTGTTGGGCGCAGCGGCGCGTCCTTGAAGCAAAGGTTGTGCTTCGTCGAAATCACTGTCGGCCAGACCGCCTTGTGTAGTCATTAGAGTGTGCATCACCCATTTTCATCTCACGGCCTATCTTTACTAATTAATTGATTTTAGTCGAGGGAGAGTACTAACGTGTTTTTTTTTTGCTCATTATGGAAGTAAAGGCTACCTGAGACAGAGAAATGAATGACACGAAAGAGAGTACACAAGTAACGAAAAGGTAGTATCATTCTGACACAGAGATAATTCGAAGACCATAATGGAAGCACCGAAGACACCTGCCTCATTTGGGCTGCCGCTCCGCTCAATTGACGCAAAAGCACCTCGCCCTGTGGACTAGCGTGTGCGGAAATTTGTCTTGTACCCGACACGGTGCGCAGCATGAGTCTTAGAGGTTCATTTTCATATACCTAAGAACTTAGTAGAAGTTTAGTGCCGATTTATTGACTGACAGACGTATTTATGCGGTAGCACATTTCTTCTTTTTCGGTAGCACATTTAGTTTCAACCGATATTCTCTTATGGAATCCCTAATAACGACCACGACGAGGAGAAAAACAAAGAGAACCAATCTGAAGCACATGACGTATTTCATTATCATCACGATGTACCCATAAGGGTAGACCTTAGGATTAGGATTAGGATTCAGTCCGCCGTCCACAGTTTTACGTGCATACGCGAGACCTTTGTTCAACGTCATTATTATGATAATATCACGAACAAGTTTACCTCCTTAAGAGAAGACCTTTCACTGCTTCTGGGCCAAGCTTCACTGCCTCTGGGCCATCCACAGGAGGTCTAGCCGAGTCCACGAGAACAACGGATTCGTCCAATGTTTCCTTGTGTTCACGCAACTTCGCATCGTCTGAGGTATCCGGTACGATCAGATGGTGAAGAAACCATGCAAACATAAAGAAAGCCAACACACCCGCTGCGATAAAAATTAGAGTGAAACTATGAAATACAATAGGATAGGATAGGAGTTGGCTCACCTGTGGCAATAGGATAGGATAGGATAGGATAGGATAGGATAGGATAGGATAGGAGTTGGCTACAAACGAGCAAGAGGACTACTAACCCTATAACTCTTGAAGTAGATAGTCATGTTCATGAAGGGACTGTACTTGTTCATCTTGTGCGTAGCTGTAAGAATGGAAAATGAGCAGTGAACACCTGGAGGTAGTCCTTAGGTATCAAACAAGAAAGTTTAGGCTCTCAGTAGATATGAAAGAGTGGAGATAAAATGGAGTACATACTTACAAGGAAACTCATACAATCATGATGATGTACCCGTCAGAGGGCTGCATGCTACAACTCTAGCTATCTAGGAAAATCATGCATGTAATGTCTGTATTCCTTTCGTGCTTCAACTTAATCACCTAAGAAATATTATTACGTAGAAGCATGGTCATACCAGAAAAACCCAACGAATTCGCATGCTCTCGTCAGGCAGCATTTTCATTGGTAAGTTATCCTGAACCAGACCGCAGAAAACCGCACCGAGTGAGGGTCCGACACCGAAAAACAGGATCATGATCATCTGAATATAATTACAACAAAGTTTACTATGCAACTGGACATTCGGTTTACGTGATGATTAGAGTAAGCTACTTTTACCAGTTAGTTACTTTCATTTAGGGATTTCGATTTAGATTTAGCGGGGTTCCGGCCTCAGCCCTGCACATGTCGCGCTAGAAATGAATAACTGACTAAACGTGTCTATCGAGAGATGAGGGAAGTTTTAGGAAAATTGCAATCATCTTAGGTCCTCGTCGCTCCTCCTCAACCCGAAACCCGAATTGAACAAATAATCAAGACGAGATATTACCCAGTCCGAAGAAGTCCCAAGAAGATAATGGGCGGTTTATAGCTGACAAACAAAATAGAAATACTCCTTGCGCCGTGGCCTTCAGTGCTTCTGGTGCTAAGCGAGCCACGTACAATGACGCGAAGGTAATTGGTAGAGTCACAACCCAAACATTCAGCGCAGCAGCGATGAAGCTCCAAGCCATGTTCGTTACAGTGCAGTGCATGGATTAGCACGGGAAGCAAAAGTAATCAGCAAGTAATTGTAAGCGGAATAAGGAAGAGATACGACAGGCGGACCATGGTGGATCAACATCAGGGCGCTTAGATACTCAATACTCGACTAGGTAGTCATGGATGTTGATGACAATGATGGTACACTTCTATAAAGTTCTAATTTCCATTGAAGTAGATCAAATTTACAGTAACTGAGCCTGGCGAAGAAGCCATAAAAGAGGAGCTTCACGCAGCCGAGTACGAGAGATATCACCTGCAAGAGTCGTATTCCCAAAGAATCTAGGAGAATCACTACTGAGGCATACCCGACGACATCGAAAATTCCGCCCACAGCCTGTGATGAAGTATGTGAAATAAGTATGTACAGGAAGTATGTTGTAGGAGAAGTATGTACAGAAAGTATGTAGGAGAAGTATCGCGGAGGAGTATGTAGTTCATATGCTGGGAGTAGAAAGATGAAAAGTCCTTGTAAAGTGAAGTTGTTAAATCCCAATATGTGAAGCCACTCAAATCTTCAAAAGCCCAAGGGGAAAAACGTAGACGTACCGTAAAGAATGAGTGAAGAATAAGTGTGTTCTTGCTCTTGAGCAATCAAATGGGAGAAACTGTTGAGTAATACCCTTTGCGTAGGCAGGTACCAGGCCGGATAGTTCAACGACTCGAATAGTGGGTACAGCTTTGTCCATGTAACCCCGACAGCAAAACCCAGAGTGAGTAAGAAGCAGCCCAGCTGCAGTACACCACGGGTCGCCCAAAAGACTTAGAGAAAGCTTTAGGGCCAAAAATTAAATGATAATCAACTTACAAAACCGCTCTTCACGACTACCCCTTCGCCTTTTTATCAACGTCAGATTTTTATCTACTCGCTCTAGAAGTATATTTATCTCTACAAGTCCTTCTTGTTGCTGCTTGTATGTAAGATATCAACTCACCTATAAGCGTGAAAGCTGTTCTATCATCAGTGCATCTCAAATGATTCTTCTCAACCATCAGCGAGATGAAACAGTTCCTGAAGCGGTCCGAGGACAAGCAAAGGAAGCGCATAGCCTAGTGAGGGGATAGACAAATTGTTCCAAGTTTCAGTCGGATCAGAGTTTATATGAATTTCCTCCATAGAAAAAGGCTCCAGTTTGCTTCACTTCTTGCCAGAAGTCAACGGAGCGCGTCACGCCTTCGACGCCCTTCGCACTCGGAAACTTGGTTTTCCGCATGCCAACCGTTTGCTGTCGCGAGAGATCCCGTATGAAGGACGTTAACAGGATAGGTGGGCTTATAATGATTCCTACTTGTTGTAGCAGTACTTACGACTACAATTTCGTAGTGCGACCAATTATTCAGTGCGACGACGCACTGACCAGTTCTGACTTAGCGGCAAACATGGATCTGCCTTCTTGGTAGTCACTCCTACAGTTCTTGAAATATTTACCCAAGCGGAAATGATCTGAGAATTAAATGATCATCTAGTAAATCTAAATAGTTTTACCAGTCAGTCGTTCTCCTCAGTACCTCTAAAAAAGTTCTTTTTACAACCCGTTCTAGCCCTTCCTGTCTGTATATATTTTTGTCTCATAATGAATCAGGTGGACCTTAGACAAATAAAGAATTTACATCTACTAACTCCTCTAGAACAACAGATTTTGTCTCAACATAATATTTTGCGTACTGGTGCCTTCGGTGTGCGCGATTCGGTCGACGATTTCTGGGTCCAGTTCGCGCAATTCGCTCAGTTGATCTCGTGGCATCAACAACGGGTCGCTTACGGGATAGGCGAAAAAGTACCAATAATTAGAAGTTGCAGCATTTGCCACATTCTTCAGAATATGTCCTTTATTGACCTGAGTTTTCTACTTGAGAGAAAAAAGGCCAAGGATGCAAGTGCAGAATGCAATGTGGAAAGGCTTAAAATAACACCCGCCAAGAAAAGTCATCCCAGCCATGAAGAAAACCGTCAAGTTCTCCCGCACTGGTCTTTGATATCCGTCTCAGTATGAAGAAAGGTTTCTATAATCGCAGAAAGTGAAAGATCTTGAGAATTCTCAAAGGAAGTGAAACAATTTGGTAACTGGTACATTTCGATCCACGGATGACTGAAGAAATGAAAGCGAACTATTAGTGAAGACAGACGACTGAAGAAAATAAGCAACGGATGACTGAAGAAATTAATAAGCAAACTATAATCATCTTCTAAGTAGTTTAAAACAATTAAATTACACTTACTGGTAACTTGTGAGACAACAAAACTACTCTTTGTAACTGAAATGGTTCGCTACAAATTTGTATATTAAGTAACTACTTTCTCTAAATCGACTTCTCTTCCCTAGTGTATTAAGCATCCCTGTCAACGACCAGTTTCATAGAAGGTCAGTTGTATCCGCGAGAGACACATGAGGGTCTCGGGGCTTTCCTGCTGCGGTCTGCAGAGCGAAAAGGACGTAGAGGTTGATCACAACCCCAAACACAGCGAAGGACCGAACAGTGCCGAAGTAGTTTCTGGATAATGAAGTTTATTTAGGTCCGCTAGAAGTTTAATATTTTCGTCAGTTGTACCAAGTGTTGAGAGAGCTAGTTGTAGAAAACTCTAATGTCAAAAAATTCGCAAACTGACTCTTTTCTGTGGCATCGATTGATGCATCAACGGAAATGCTCGATACAGCCTGACATTCCCTGATTGAGAATGCTCGTGCTAGAGGACCTTCGGTCACTCGACTCAGATAGATCTTGGAGACAAGAAAATTTGCAACAGAAAAAATCATTTCGCCTTAAAACTGCATGCACGGTTACCGCGTCTAGCAAGCTCTGTGCCGTCACTAGCAGACTCTGCGCGAAGAAACCACAAATAAGGACAAGATACTGCGTAGGCGGAATCTTTCCTTTCGCTAGCTCAGCTGGTAACGAATGGAGAAGTTTTACGTAACATCAGTATGAATGTTTCATGTAGGAAGCTCTAAGTAAAAACGAGTATGACTTATCAAACAGCATCCACCCCGGCCGGAAACAGAAATTCTTTGCGAACAACGAGAGCAACCGTGTTCGCAAAAAGAGTAGGCACAATAAAGTAACTGGCTACTTACACAGTCAAACCAATGATTGCTCCGGTGAATAATTAGTGATGACATCAACGATTGCGTGCAGCTTACAGCTAGAAGAATAGGGACAAAAATAAGTGCCTGCTGTGGCGTCACCCATCGGAACGAGCGTGAGCGCGAGTGTGCCTAGTGCGCTACCAAGACAGCAGATGAAAATCATCAAGTGATGCGCCCTATATTTGTCTGCAAGCATCGCGCACAATACCCCAAAAAAAATCGCGCCACGTATTAGAAATTTATTTACCTGTGAATTGCGATGTACTCCTCAAATGTAGGGCTTTTTCTTGTCTTTTCTCACACATGCTTAATCGCTCTCCTCGTATAGGAGGAAGATGACACTCAGTTTTGTATAGGAGATTACTGCCTTTCATTTAAGAATTATTCAAAAATGATAGAACTTGCTTTCTGACAATTTTTCCACCTCCCAGAATAATGTATTTGCCTCTGATGCGACCGTTCTTGGTCATTGTAGAAGCAGGACGGCACACGAGGACCACCCCTCGCCTACTAAGAAGTAGACCAGCAATATTCCGATAGAATATTCTCATAACAGCAGATCCATGAGGAAGAGGAGGCCGACGATGCGATTGGCCACGCCCACTTGTGACATCCACCATGCAATCAGCGGCGTCCAAACTCCAACGGCGCCGCCAATAAAGAGCGACCCGCCTCCCAAGAGTACTAGAGAGCCTAGGATTAGAAGAAAGATGACCATCTATACAGGACGATGACCAATTGGAATTTTCACAGCCGTGCTATTGTTGCTGATCATAGTTAGTACTAGCTGTAGGTCTACTTCTTCCAACCTCTACTTTTTCATCTTCTCTATAAAAATGTGTATGTTGTACACAATAACAATGACACAACATCTTCTCTTTTCGAAGGTTATGATTGCCTACAAAGTCCTAGTACAGGCCGCAGTTGTATCCAACAAAGTACAGCTTACTAGGAGTATGAATATTAGTGCCAGTTGTAGTACTGTAATTCATAATAGCTCCACTTCACACTAATAGTATTATTACAACTCTAGCACTAATAGAACAAAGTTATTCAGTAATAGTACTAGTGTTAATCGAATCATAAACCAGATAAAATCGGCGCATTCTTGGTTTCATCGCCTGGCAAGTGAGTCTCGTCTATTTCTTCGGGTTCGGGCTCGCCTCCGAACATTCTCTTTTCTGTCGCATCTGCGAAAGGCATTTTTTCTTTTGAAGTTGAAGACTGTGTGCGATTAGTGACGATGTGAATCTACTCGGCCATCTGCCTAAGATTTCGCTGGTGACTTTTACACGCTTCTGTGTGTGATAAATACCGACGAGTAACGCGTGCGATAAGTGCCAGAAAGACTAGGGTGTGATTGATAAATATGTTTTCGTTTCGGTTGTAGTAGTTCTACAGCACTGCCTGGAAATACTCTAATAAAGAGCAGAGTAATGAGTAGGTTCAAGAACAACTTTATCGGCTAAAGTATTTTTTCCTCCATCATGCTGGTCTCTTAATCAAAGGCAAGTATTGTGACCTTAAGAGCGTCCTTGGCATTACAACCACGCCTTCCATGCCTCAAGGACAGCAAGCAACTGGACGCTCAGCACAGAGCAGACCAGGCTTGGTTCCGAATAGCCACGCAAGGAAACAAGTTACCATTATCTTTTACACTAAAAACTACCTCTTTCGTCTCCGATAATATCCAGTGATAGGAAATGTATATGAAATCAAAATTATTGATGCTCATCGTTCCAATAAAATTAAAACGATGGTTGTTAAAACTACTAGAGCTAAAAAAAATTATAAATAATAGGCATGATAGCAGTGGTGTTTTCAGGGCCAATGCGGGGAGGAAGAGACAATCGAAGCATCTAGAATGTGTGTAATCTGAGGACAACGAAGAGACAACGAAGGGACAATCATGTAATCTGAGGACTTCGTATTTGATAGTACAGACCGGCTTTTTCCACTATACGACCGACTGTGAATCTCACTCTGACAGGAAAGCTCACTCGGAAGCATCCAGTCGGAATTTCCACTCAAGACCGATGTGCTGCTGTGACATTCGACAAAACAGGATATTTATACGTAGTTCTGTGAGTATGTAAGGTGTATGCTACTATGGTTAAAACTCACGGTCTTTCGTGCTCGGTGCTAGGTGCAGGTAGGTAATGCCTTTTAGAAGCAGGCATGGTCGCGAACAGTCGTGTTTCTAAGGAATACAAGAAGCGCACTCGTTGTGATATTATTGTTTGATGAAATGAATACGTACCCTTCTGATTCTTCTTGCTCCTCCTCGGAAACGTCGTTTCCACTTGCTCTGGAGGTCTGTATTTCAACGTCTTTAGTTGTTTTGATATTATACACGAAGCCTGGTTCTTGGGCGTGTGCATGAAACTGCCTGGAAGCCGTCTTCCGTGAAGGAGTCTGTAAAAGTTTTCTTTTCATAGATGATATGTCTTTTTCTATCTGCTAAAAATATGACAAAAATCCACGCTATTCAAATATTAACGGTTTTGTAAAAGCAATCTGTGCAACCACGACCGCGGACATTTCTCCAAAAACTGAAAAAGTCAAAATTCGTAATCCTTATTCTTCGAGAGCTACGTAAACGTACAACTCAAATGACGGAACTACGAACTACACGGCACACAAGGGAAAAAATTGTTCATCTTAGCTTGTCGTGGATGCTGGATTTGATACTTCTCAATAACGAGATCATGAAGTATTCATAATATGTAGTTTCGTGGACGAGGTGCGCAAGTGCCTACTGTTATGATGTTACGTGGAGCTGCCTACCTAGAAAAACCCAGAAGATTTTCAATCGCTCCATTTTGTGCGTTGTCACTTACCGAGTCGTGGGCCTACTGAGTATCCCTTCTTCGATTTTTCGAAGTGTCGGACGGTGTTGGGGGAAAGTTGTTGTCGTCGTTCGTTGTTGGTGATTGAGTGCATGTGATGTTATCCTCATGCTCGACGCTTTTGCGTAGTAGCCCATTCAGAGAGTTCGCAACGACTCAGTTGGAGTAGCCCATAGAAAAAATCTCCGCTCGAATTTGCTCATAAACTGGCATGTAGATTCCGAAGACGATCGCGAATCTTATAAAAAGCGGACTCTCTATATGAAAAGCAGAAAATCCTTACTCACTATAGGTACTCAAGATTGAAGTTTTAAGAACCAGTTTGTTTTTGTTAGAAGTACTCAGTTTTAAGTACTCAGTTTTAACCGACTCTGCCTGGGTCTGTCAGCATTACATCACAAGGAGACCTAGGCAAAATATCTAGAATATCTGAACGGGCAACCGGCCAGAATCTTGAGTAATATCATGAGTAATCATTTTCCTGTCAGCATATCCCCCACGGTAAAAACCACGGACGCCTTCCTCCTTTGCTACTGTACGGACGCAATCGGACACACTCCCACAATACTTCTCGCGCTTTGTTTGGTACCTGCTTGAAGATAATCAAAAGATCATGATTACGATCAGGTTTTGAAAAATAAAATAACTTTCAGATGACTTTATAGTTTATTTGACTAATACCGAACCATGACGTTGTCGAAAGGCATACACGAGAGCGTTGCGAAAAGTGCCCCCGCCAACGAGGCTAGTAGGTGCAGCAGCGGCGTCTCTGAGCATATTTTTGGTGCCGCACCAGAAGACGAATCATGACCGTTCTCCGTGTCTGGCATAGGCGTCGCAACTTTCTTGTCCTCCTTCAGGAGTCCAAGCCAGCAAGCGAGTGGTTCCATACGTCGCGTGTAGGTCTTGCACCCGTCATAACATTCCTTAGAGGTCTTGAGAACGTCTCGTACAGTAGTACAACAGTGGAAATACCACGACTATTTGGAGCTATTCTTTTTCTTTCAGAAGTCAGAAGAATGATGAACAGGAAATAAACATCGTGGAGAAGATGAATGATGTCTGATTCTCAAGCACCACAGCGTGAAAGCTCCTTCTTCATGCATATTTATTTGACATTTTTGGAAGAAATAATAAATAGAGCTCATTTGCTGTCGAGCATAACCAACATTTGGCCTGCGGTAAGCGCAGCACCGCGAAAACCCATTGCTGCGGACGCCCTATATAAATTTCCCTCCGCCGCAATACACCGTAAACAATACAACGTCTTTTCTCTATATTCAGTTAGAGGCCCCTCTCTGGTCCACAACGTGTCTCGTCATTCGAAATGACTTCAAGTCCAAATAGCGAGACGCAGCAACATTCGCTTAGTAAGAGTGATGCTGCATCTCACTATTTGGACTGATCAGCCTGACTATGTTTCTGTCCATTCAGAAACGCTTGGGTTGCACTTGTAGTACTAGAGGGCTAATTTTGTTGATGTTGAGAAGGCTAATTCTATTGCTGTTATAGAATCCTTAATTCGGGTGGCTTGCCAGCACGGGCGCCGGACAGCAGCAGACCGCTTGCTGGGTCCAAAAGCCCGGCCTCTGCCTGCATCCGGTTCTTGGCTTGGTACACTGGGGAAAAATTAACGGTAGAAGAAACGAGGTAGGCAAAGTCTAATGCTTCATCTTGGGGAAATTATAAAATACTTCCTTAGAAATGCTGCTAATGATCAAGACTTGCTCCAGATGAGATGCTATGTATGCTTGTACTAGGACGAGCCGGAGATCAAATGATAATGATTAACACTACATAAATCAGGGCCGGTTTTGGGGGTTACTTCTCGATGGTGCAGTGAAGCTCTACACGACCAGACTCACAAATTACAAGAGTCGCGTTCATAAAAACAAGCACATAGCCGATAAAACCAGGGATCAGTCCGCCAACAAACATGATGCCAGCGTTTTTTTCTTCAGCCCCAGCGAGGGCTACCAGGCCGTCCCGAAAATAAGGGTAGAGACCTAGTGTAGGTTTGTTAAAACTCACCAGGTTTGTATTCGCCTGAATATTTACTAAAAATCGTGATAGATGCCTAGCATCTACTCAGTATGGATTCAATCACATAAAAATTCCCCAGCTCTTCTCCTAATACTCGGAAATATGAATTCATTCACATAAAAATTCACCACCTCTTCTCCTAGTACTCGGTAATATGAATTCAATCACATAAAACCCGAATACCTCGTCTTTTTGTTCTACCTATATCTAGCAAGAGCGGTACATGCTAACATATACCCATCCTAGTTGCGCTTGCTAGTCCCATGGCACCTGCATTTGGCACGAGACCTGGACGATGGAGGCCTCGCCAAAAGCCCTCCTGTTTCAGTATTTGTTGCGCGAAAGAGAGCATGGTCGTGGGAGCTTGGTTAGAGTAGAGCTTACACTCCCACAACGATCACAAACTTTCTTAGTTGTGAGAGATACACAACCATGATGTCAGAATCAACCTTGGAAAATTGAAAAATTTAGATTAGTCATCAACAAGTAGGTACTCTACAAGTGGTGCTCCTGCGGGTCTTAAGCCAAGCTATTCTTAGTAGATAGAGACACTACGACTAATCTTAGTTATGGAGCCTTAACTGAACAAACTGTTTTGCTCTCTTATATTCTTGGCTCTAGTCGTAACTATTTTGCTGCTCACAGCAGCCACAGAGCTCGATGAAGCAACGGCACTTCCCGTGACCTGCCATCGGACCTTGAGTGTGTCCAGAGGATTAAAAAGTGCTACAGTGGAGGCGACAGAGACTCCTGCTGCAGCACTGTTCTGTAAAAAGTCGTAGAAGGGCATCTGAGGCAAAGGCACTGAGAAGTCAGGCAGTCAGCCAACTTCTTGAGGTGTCGTCCTTTCTCTTTCTTTCCTCGAGTAGCTTCAGTCAAAGACTCCGATGTTTGGTTCTTTTCTCGTCTGCTTCTCGAGGTTTCGTTCTTTCTCCTGCCAGTTAGTCAACCACCCCGCACCGCTCTCCTTCTTGATGTTTCGGTCTTTCTCCTCTTACTGAAGCACACTGGAGCTGTACGCCGTCGAGCTTCCCCCATAGATGCATCTCCAACGAGAGAAGAGAAATCTATTGCCGCCGCCAGAAATTCGCTGCTGCAAGCGAAAGGTCTATAACACGTACAGAGTGCTCCAGCAGAGTTCAACTCAGCTACCGCTACTGTTGGAGCTCACCCAATCCATCCTGAAGATCATTTTGAGACCTTTCTCCCCTTGCAAACCCTCCCGAGGATGCTTCACGAGATGGATTAGGAGAGGCCTTAATGCAGGAGTATCTCCCTCGAAAAAATATCGAATCCGGAGGCTCATGCATCCAATAGATCCTAGGAACGTTTTATTCGACTACCGACTGCAAAACTCCCAATCGACATGCAGCACGTGACGAAGCAAAACCGTGCTTCTCGTCCACCCTGATAATACAAACTCGACGCCCCCAGCAGCCGCAACAACATGGCCCGCACCAAAGTACCTACTACGGCAAAGGCCCCGCAAGCACGTCGGGGTTTTCGTCCTTAGGCAGAAAAAGACCACGAGACGGTTTCTACCACATGATAGCGCGGAAATACTTTCCTTGTACCAGCTCAGAAACAAAAACTTTATAAAAAAACTTCTACTCAATGGAATTTTGAGAACCTGTCACGCGTGTAAATATTAATTGGCTTCGGAATAAAATTGGTTTCTTCGCTCTATCGTTAAGATCAACTGGTCGGCTGCTACCCTACGAGTCTTAAGTAAAAGCATTCAAAAAATGGAGACGGTGTTGTCGAGCACTAACTTGTAAAGTAAGACTTCCGAGGCATCCACTTCTGCGTGAGAAAAAATATATTTAAGCAGGGCGCAAAACTTCAAGAATGTCCCTCATGCGCGCCCACGGATTTTCCTCGCCGAAACGAATTCGCTCAGAACATCAATCGGCGTACCTCGTCGCGTGGCATGGACCCTAATCTGGAGCATGAAAAAGACGTGGCCACGCTTGAAGCACGAGCCTCGCAGGCGGCGCCGCGAGGGCTTTCCGAGAAGCTTGGAGAAGGCTCACGCATGAGCCTCGACCGGGCTGCCGCAAAGGTCTCGGGGCGGCTGCCTCAGGAAGGCCCCGCGGGAGCTCGGTCCCGAAGGCCTCACAAAACCGCCCACCGAGCCTTTCGAGGGCCTCAGCCAGAGTCGTCGAAAAGGCTTCGCGAGAGGCATGGGAGACACTTCCCAAGGGCTTTCCCAAGGCTTCGCGAAAGCCGGCGCGCGAGTGGAAAGCGTTGCGAGAGTGAGCTGCCTGAAAGACTTCAGGAGAGCTTTCAGAAAGGCCACGGGGGGGCTTTTGGACGAGCTTCGCAGAAGCTTTCCGAAAGGCTTCGCGAGAGCTCGTAGGCAGACTGACCCCGCGAGAGCTTCGCCGAGAGCTTCATAAGAGCTCTCCGCAAGATTTCGCAAGAGCACTCCGAAAGGCTTCGCGAGAGCTTCGCTCCGCGACTCCAAGGGGGCCCCCGGTCCCGCAGCAGTCAGGCGCCCGCTATGGCTTGCGCTATATTCCTGGGGCAGTTTGGAGCCGTCTGGAAGTGTCTCCAAAGAAAACGGCAGACGGAGATGTCTCAGATTGATCAAATTCGGGCAATTTCGACCACTTCCAGAGCCCGACACCCCTCGCCGACAAGACTCGCAGCGGCTCCATTTCGTTCGGGAGATAAATCCCCTTCGCCTAAACGAACCGACCGCGGCCGCGAGTGGATTCCAGGCGCGAGAGCTTCCTGACTCCGAGAGAGCTCCAGGTCTTGAAGCAGTCCAGAGCCCCGCCGGAGCTTCCTGAAACACAAAGACGGGCAGCGCACTGCACTCGCCTCATAACCCACCGCCAGCCACCGCGCGGCGCCCTCGCATCTCAGGAGCGAACCAAGAACGTCACGAAGAAGACCGAGGCGGAAACACTGGCTGCGCACGCAGTGCAGCCCGCCGCCAGCCACCGCAGCGCGCCCTTGAGTCTCCTGGAAGACAGGAAAACGGGGGGTAAACAAAGGAGAAGACAAAGGCAACAAAGGCGGGACCGTGTTGACCGGGTCAGCACTGAAGAACCACGCGCAGCCAAAGCCGCAGCATCGTCATACCATGCCCCGGCCAGGTGCCGCAGGGGCATGGTAAAGAAAAAGACCGGCGCAACGTCTCCGACAAAAATCGCCGCAGGCAAGGGCTTCCCGGCTCTCCTTATCGGCTTCGCTTCGTCATATTCTTCCAAAAGATTGGCCACAGACGGGAGGCCTCATCGGTCTCCTTCTGGCGGCTTTTCGATAAAACCGCGCGCGCCTCCATCATCCATCTGCCTCCACTTCTTTCATTTCGCGAGATACGCGAGCGAGGTCGTCGCCGTCTTGTGTTCCCCTGGCTTGGCTCGTTTTTGTTCCAGTTTGGCCGGTCTGTGTTCTTCTGGCCTGGCTGCTCTTGTGTTCTACGTCTTCCCATGTGCTCTCCTCGTGTGCTCTTGCCGCGTGCGTAATCTCTGTGCCGTGGCGCGCCGTCTCTCTGGCGGCCGTAGGCCGCCAGGGACGAGGGGGCAGCGGGTTGCCTTGCTGGGCTGTTCGCGCTGGATTACGCGGCGCACACCACGCGCCCACCAGCGCAGCGCGGCGCGTCGTCCCTCTGGCGGCCGTAGGCCGCCAGGGACGAGGGGGCAATGCGTGACCATCTCGCCCCCCGCCCCCTTGTACAAGGTTAAGCGTTTGCGCGACTGTGAATCCCTATAACGAGCTTGCGCCGAAGACAGAGTGCGCCTCCGGACTGTGCCCAACCATGTAACCTTGTACAAGGGGGGCGGGGGGCGCGGGGTACAACGGGAGGCGGGGGGAGGCGTCAGACAAACTGTCGCCCGTGTAACTGAAGAGCTAAGGCATGCCCTATCGCTCCGCTGGCGGCCGATGCGCCAGAGGGGGCGTCTTGCCAAGCTTCTGCGGTCTTACCGAAAGACGCCCGCGATTGAAGTTACCCCCTGGGCTCTCTTCGTGTGCGTGCGCTACCTATACCGGGCGCACTTCTGAGAGCTACAGGCGCACGGGGCTAGCCTTTGCCCCTAATGGTGCCCCGGACTCTTAAAAAGAAGGGCGAGCCTATGTCTCACGGTGTCGCCTGTCGTCTCGTTCGGTTTGTATCGGTTGCCGGAGGGATTGCAGAGGAGTCGGGCACGCCGAGCGAGCGGCGAAACCGATAAAAGAACGGCGGGAGCATCTGAACAGAGCCCGGAAAGACAGGGGCGAAACCGATAAGGAAACAGGAAGAGGAGAGAGACGGACCGGCCTCACGATCAAGGGTCTGGCGTGCCAAACTGTGAAGAAAAGTGGCAAAATATCGAAAACGGCCCAGAAGTGCCGCTGTCCCTTAACGGTTTCGCTTAAGAGTTTCTCGAGGGGTGGGGGTAGCTAACCCCTCGAAACCGATACCCGCACGAAAGCCGAAACCATTAAGGGGCGACATTTCGCGAATTCGAAACGGTTAAGGGGCTCGCAAAACGGCCAACAACCCCCGCCCGGCGTTTAAAAATTGGAAGCGGGTAAGCCTTGCGGCCGACCAAAATCCGACCAGAGCCGTCCGCTCTGTGTCTAGATTCCTCCACAGTCTAGGCGCAGCCATCTGGCTGCGAATGATTCTAATAGCTACGCTCTAGCTACGTGTCGACGAATGTAGTAGCCTCCCCCAAGGTTTCGGCGGCGGCCACTTGCGAGCCTGCCGGAGGCTTTGCGAGGCGGCTCCAGTGGGCCCTGCCCCAGCCTCCCAGGCTTTCCGAGAAGCTTGGAGAAGACTCGCCCACGAGCCTCGACCGGGATGCCGCAAAGGTTTCGGGGCGGGTCGAGTGGGGGCCCGCGGTCCCGAAGCAGTCCGGCGCCTATTCAGGTTTTTTCTATGTTCTTGCGGCAGTTTGGTGCCGGCTCTAAGTGTCTCCAAAATGACAGGCGGACATGTCTCAGATTGATCAAATTCGCACAACGTCGAGCCCCCACCGACAAGACCCTCAGCGGCTTAATTCCGTCAGGGAGGTGGACCCCCTTGCCTTCCCCGGATGAACGAAGCAGAAAGCGACCCCAGCCGCGTGTGGATTCTAGTCGCGAGAGCTTCCCGGCTGGAAGCGGTCCGGAGCTCGGCGGGAGCTTTCTGAAAGACAAAGACGGAGAGCGCACCGCACTCGCCTCATAACCCACCGCAAGCCACCGCGCGGCGCCCTCGAATCTCAGGAGTGAACCAAGCACGAAGAAGACCGAGCGGGACACACTGCGCACAGCCCGCCACCAGCCACCGAAGCGCGCCCTCGAATCTCCTGGAAGAGAGGAAAACGAGAGGGAAACAAAAGAGAAGACAAAGGCAACACAGGCGGGACCGTGTCGACCGGGTCACCACTGGAGAACCACGCGCAGCCAAAGCCGCAGCATCGTCATGCCGTCCCGCCCTTTGCCTCTCTTCTCTCTCTCCCCGCTTCTCGCTCCTCGAGATTCGAGGGCGCGCCGCGGTGGCTGCTGGCATCGGGCTCCCTGCGGTTCAGAAGACGCATCGCAAGAGAAAGTAGAGGGGAGAGCAGAGGATACGCACACGCAGCGCGTCGCAGCCTGCCCCGTTTGGGTTCCACGCTCAGCGTAAGCCCCAAGCCCGGCCCGAGTTTCGAGCATGCTGCGAGTTTGCGCC